ATTTAAATTGTATATGGAATATTATAAATACATCAGCATAATGCTACAGCATAATGATAAAATACGTCATTTAGATAGACACTGATAAATTTTATTGCATTTAATTCAGGGTTTGAACCTTTTGTTTACATGATGCCAAAATATATAAGAATTTGGTGCAGATTAAGGGTTACTGATTTATGATGTAAATACTTATTACTTATGTAATTTATCGTTTTTTCTTAATCAAGCTTATTTAATATCTTGATCATTTATTTCGGTAGAACTTTTGCATATAATCCCACCACGATTCTTACTGAAATAGCAGCCGTGAGAAATGTATTTCAAATGCACACATAGATACAAATTCTCCCGAGTTGAGTTGTGAGACACCCGAAACACTTACATAATTCTTTAAATAAAAAGATAAATAAAATGGTTTACTGAAGCTATGTACTTATGGAACAAATGCGAGTACATATAGCGGCCACGGCTATTGATGGCACATTTCGTAGAATATACCGATCTGTAGTAGAGCCACAGGAATTATATTATTCAGGACAAAGGTAATATCACGTTATACAAACAAAAATTATTTCGTAGGCATTGCCCGCCATGTTATCCGTTACTTAAAAACCGCATTTATTACATTGTTCGATAATTTTGAGAATATCCCTTTATATAACTTGTCCTTGATCATCAATCCCCGTTCCTCATTATAAGCCGCAAATGTCTACTAGTAAATAATTAGCCGTTGGGTCACTAATGATTGTAAACATTAAGCGCACGACATGCCTTCAGGCACTGAGGTATAATTGCGTCGTCCGTTAATCTCTCGACATCCCTTAATAGATCAATATCATTACTAAATAAACAAACCAATTGTATCTATCCAAGCATGTCGCATACTTTCTCAATATAATTGTCAATCAGTGTCAGTCACAGCAGACGCATAATAGATTCTATTTAATCTCTATAAACTTGCGAAAAGTGAAACCGGAAGTCCAACTTAATTGCCGATTTTTCCAGCCTGCTTCAATAGAATTCTTTGTCTATTAAACATTTCAATGAAAATCTTTGCTCATATTGGAACCTCAGATTCAAGGGTTTAAACTTAAAAGAATATGATTTGTTGATTGATGTAAATCACACTGACAATGATAACCAAAATAAACGTGTTGTCTGAAATAGATCTGATTTCGGATGTAATTTATTCCACGGATTTATATTTATTCCACGGATTTATGTAATATAAATCCGTGTTTATTCGGACATGAAATTATTGATTGGGAAAAAATCTCTTTATAAAAGAAGAGAAGAAAAATGTTTAAATCTCTTTAAAAAAAGAGAAAAGAAATATTCTAAAGTGTTTATAATTGTCTTTGCAATAACTTCACAATGTTGTAAGCACTTCTTAATCATGTACAAGCAAATGTAAGCAATAATGCCAATACATGTATATGAAGAAAAAAATTGTTAACAAATACTTATACCCTAGGCATAAAAAACTAAGGCAATATAGTTTGATTAAAAATGGCTTTACATTTCTAATTTCGTGTTTAAATCAGTGACAACAGATATTAATCTAATGTCCCTATTTATTTATTTATATTCTGACAGTTAAATAACTGAATTACTAGCACTAGTAAAAGTTTGTTATTCTGATATTTTGTTGTTTTATGTCTGACAGAATAAGTTTGTAGAATAAATCAATTAGAGTAAAGACAAACATTTTTTGTTCTTGTCCAAGCTTTTTACTTCTGTTTTGAATTTAAAAACACATCTAAAAGGTCATACATTATCTATACCTGAAAGTAGATTTGTAAGCTTTATTGAAATATTTTTTTAATACAAAAGCCAGGTATTACATAAATTTTAAACTGACAGATACTTCTTTAGCTCGTATTGCCAATATATTCTCCCCTTCCCTATAAGCTGTCAATAATATAAGCTGAGCTGATTGCCTAGCAATTTTTTTTGTAATTCCTGGCTAGAACCCTGTACCTGTAGGTAATGTCTGGCCTTTAAAAACCTAATGACTTTTGTGTGTCACACTGCCATATTTTATAACAAAAATATGTAAAAAATTGTTGATGATGACTTTGAAGAGCTCAGAGGCTAGCCGGAACCTACATCTCATGCAGAATAAAGCTTACAATCTTTTACTAGATTTATCTATTGGTGATTTTTTTGAATAAATTTGAAGAGATCTCATGTATTGTTTTCTTATCTTCAGATACATACACTCAAAATGCATTTAAATAGAATAAGAAACATTTTTTATGTTTTACAATGAGGACTACCTAGATTTGCCAAGGACTACCTGATCCTCAAAGTAGGTAGTCCTTCTGACTACCCCTAAAAAAAGTTAGTGTCGGGCCCTGAAATCACGTTTGTTTATTGATAAATTTTTCATGTCACCTTTTCATGTATAAATTTCTTCTATGTCTATTAAAAACTGAAAATAATTTCAGATATATTGAATTATGCATACGACTCTATTTCCTCCATGTTTAATATTCACTTAAACTTACTATTAAAAGATAATGTTTGATATATGTTATATATGTAAAAATATTACAAATGTAAGCACAGGAAAGCAAACTTACTCATTTAGTGTACATATAGTTTACTGGATTTCTTTTATTTTCAAAATCAAGCATACATCAATGAAGACTACCTCAAAGCGGTACCCCTGAAATAATAATAACATTACATACATTATATATGTAAAACAATTTTAAAAAACTATTAAAAAATAAAAAAAAACCCAACCTTGAATTCAAATTTAACAATAAAACATGATTAAAGTATTCAGACTTTATTTAACGTAATTCATAATTAACGTGATAATGGCGTTCCATAGATTAAAATACTGTCGAAATTAACTTGTTATAAATACACATTTTTAGGCCGTTTTTGAATGTTTACTAAGACAGGAGTTAATCAGAGTTGTAATTTATATAAATTAAACTGTTTTCCATGAAAAGTATAATACAGATCACTTGAAACACCTGTTGACCTTCAACAGATAAAGAACTAGTAAAACAAGTAATAATCTTCAACAAATACTCATAATAAACTTACGACCCCACATTAATAATTTCTATTATGATCTTTAATATTTTAAGGAAAATATACCAACCCACTTTACAGTGTACTTTACTGACATTTATTTTGTTTACACTTATTTTGTTGTTGTTGTCGCCATTATGCAGTCGCTTTTCTGAGTATCGGAGACGCTTTGTTCGCCTATGGAAGACCGTTGTCGTCAGAAAAAAATCACAAAAAATAACGCGATAAAAACCTGTTTGTTTTCAATGTTGCGCAACTTAGATTTTGCTAGACTTTTGATATGATTCATGTTATGAGTCCCCTACCGGTTTACCGGAGGGGACTTTAGGTTTACCCTCCGTCCGTCTGTCCGTCCGTCTGTCTGTCAGTCCGTCCGTCCACAAAACTGGATCCCGCAATAACTTGAAAAGTACTGAAAATATTTTTATGAAACTTGGTATATGGATAGATGGCAGTATGGAGATTATACACGTCTTTTTCTTTTCTTCCTATGTTGAAAATTCTGGTTGCTATGGCAACAAATAGGCTAAAAATATGGCAAATTTTACACATAAACTGGATCCAGTGATAACGCAAAAAGTACTGGAAATATTTTTATGAAACTTGACATATGGGTAGATGGCAGTCTTGGAATTATGCATGTCTTTTTCTTTTCTTCCTATGTTGAAAATTCTGGTTGCTATGGCAACAAATAGGCTGAAAATATGGCAAATTTTACACATAAAATGGATCCAGTGATAAAGCAAAAAGTACTGGAAATATTTTTATGAAACTTGACATATGGGTAGATGGCAGTCTTGAGATTATGCACGTCTTTTTCTCTTCTTCCTATGTTGAAAATTGTGGTTGCTATGGCAACACATATACCCAAAATATGGCAAATTTTACACATAAACTGAATCCAGTGATAACTCAAAAAGTACTGGAAATATTTTTATGAAACTTGACATATGGGTAGATAGCAGTCTTGAGATTATGCATGTCTTATCTGTTCTTCCTATTATGAAAAAATATCAGTTGCCTTGGCAACAAATAAGCTTAAAACATGGCAAATATAACAATATTTGTGATAAGTCAAAAAGAGCTGAAAATTTTTATGAAATTGCATCTTTAATTCAAGAGTTATCTCCTCTTTAAGAATTTTGCTTTTAAAATGTTATATTTTGGTAACAGGGATGTTTCAAATATTAACTTTAGAGTGTCTTTCAGTCTGTCTGTCTGTCGGTTCATAAAAACTGTTTCCTGTGATCACTTTTAAAGAACTTTTCCAACAAGTTTACTTAAAATAGAGAAAAATTGAAACATAAGTGAATGGCCAATGGCCCTTCAGAATGTTGATGGGGTTCTAACCGGTAGGGGACTTATGGATTGCTTGCAATACTATGATAATTGCTTGTTCCATATACTTTCTATACCAGGTAAAATATTTTCTGTTGCAATTTGTTTGAGGTCGATTTACAGACTGACTGGACTAGAAGGGAACCTGAGTTCTTCCTCCACCAGTAAAGCTTGAAAATCAGCATTTGACCTATACTGTGATGGTGCGACGTAAATACAAACAAATAAAAAACACAGAAAAAAAACTATGATGCTCACTTAGCAAATACTTAAGTTAATTACAAAAATTGGTGTTGCTCTAGTGGTTAGCCAAAATCTTTTTTCCTGTTTCAGCAACATATTCTGTGTTGGTAAGCTGTAAAACCAAACAAACAAACTGTTGGCTTTGAATGGACATTTGAGCCGCGTCACAACAAAACCAACATAGTGTGTTTGCGACCAGCATGGATCCAGACCAGCCTGCGCATCCGCATAGTCTGATCAGGATCCATGCTGTTCGCTTACCAACCCTGTAACAAGTAGAGAAACTGATAGCGAACAGCATGCTGGTCGCAAACCAATTATTTTGGTTTTGTCAAGACACGGCTCATATCTTTTTTCATGACCAGGTATTCAATGAACCAGAGGATGATGTTTTGTTGAGGAATTTCGTTTTCACGTCTCCACACACTATGTTGGTGTCTGAAAACACAGGGTGTGTAGCCTGTGTCGACACAAGAACAGCCAGGTAAGATTTATAAACACTTTTCATGATAGAAAAAAGGGATAAAAAGAAAAATAGGGATAAAAAAAATTACTAATCTCATTTGGTGGGAAAATACGGTAGAAGTTATTTTCAGAAAAGCCACATGTAGTTTCCAAAAGCTTTACAAAAGTTTTACAATTTTCCAAAAATTTCAAATTTTTCAGGAATGGTTTTGTTAATGTCATTAATGCAAATATGATTTTTGTAACATATGAATTGAAATGTGGCATGGACAACATTGTTCTTGATACTTGCATAAAAATGAAAGGAATATAGCATATTGAATGAGTGTAGATTCCATACTGAAGTTGATTTGAATTATTTTCTGGAGGCTCTGGCAAACATATTGTTGTGATTTTATTCAACCTTGTAGTAAAGCTATATGAATGTATGTGTTATATTTTATTTATTGTTTACCAAAAAATACAGTAAATTAAAACATTTATTGGCAAACTTATATTTTAAATATTATTGTTAAATTTGCTTATAGCCATGATTGTATTATGCATATATGGTGCCATGTGAAAATATATGCATAGGATAGCAAGTCTGAAAATAGGCATGGGTATATTTTAATTATGTCTAGAGGTGCAATCACTTGTTTTGATGCATCAAAAACCAGTTTTGTAGATGCCGATTTGTTTCAGTTATCAGCTACATTGTATAACAATTCAGATTTGATTCACACCCAAAAAAAGCCATAGAAAAGATGCGAGTCCCTCTCTGACTAGTCAACTGTTTTATTATGTTGCATATGTCAGATTGGTTAATTTAACCTTTTACCCCATGAGCATATTGTGAAAAATGGCGGTTTTCATTGAAAAGCCTCCTGTTACAAGTTCCAACTGCTATTTAACTATGAAAAATGCTTCAATACTGATGAAACTTTGCGCATATGTTGACTGAACCATAACCTCTGTTACAACATGCTCAATCTTAAATTTCACATCCTTCTTCTGGCAACCCCCTGATGTATCATTTTGATGGGGGACCATGCTGACAAAAAGTGGTCACTTTGAAAAAGTGGTCACTTTTTTTTAACGAAAAACAGTGTTTGGACCTAAATAGGTCATTTTTCACTGTTTGAGGCCTCAGAAAAGGGGGAGGGGGTGGACAAAAAGCCGTCAAAACACGTCTATATGAGAGAAAAGGTTAACTTAGTCATTAAATAAATAAAGTAGTGTTAAGTAATTAAAATGGCTTCAAATGTCAATATAGAGAAGTTCATTGTAAAAAATCCTCCCAACAATTAACAGGTGAACAAACATGTCGGTTTTTGCGGGGGTAGTGATTCAGACGATGTATCATATATGTTTCAATTTTGGCATTTTAAGAATAAATGTAAAATTGAAATTGTGTTGACTTTCTGATTATATTGATGATTATGTATGTGCCAGATTTGACATATATTTGAGTCGTGCCACGACAAAACCAACATGGTAGGTTTGTGACCAGCGTGGATCCCACTATGTTGGTTTTGTGGTGAAGCGGCTCATTTGTACTTTAAAATGAGGAGGTATTTTTAATTTCAGCACCACAGCTGAACAGATGTATAAATTAAGTCACAAATCTTTTAGGACTGTCAGTTGTCATCCAACACAGCCCTACTACTTTTGTACAGCGGGTGTTGCAGGGTAAGTTGGTTTATTTATAGGAAGTTAAAAAATGTTGGGTTGTAACAATGTTAGGGTATTAAGGCGTCTTTAACAAAATAACGTCTTCCCCTTTGTATGACATGATTTATACACCTTTACAAAAACTATGACATTACATCTTTACCTTTGTATGACTTGATTTAGGCGCCTTTTGCAAAATTACACAACATCTTCACCTCTGTATGACCAGAGTCATGCATATAAAAAACATGTTACTTCAGTGCTTGCTTGCGTGATTTTATCAATTATTGCATATTTTCATCTTTATTTATGTATATCTGCATGAGCAGTTTTTATGCAAGAATTATCCGTATTGAATGATATGAGGTGCTCCTAAAAGTAACAAGCAATTATCATAGTATTGCAAGCAATCCATAAGTCCCCTACCGGTTAGAACCCCATCAACATTCTGAAGGGCCAATGGCCATTCACTAATGTTTCAATTTTTCTATATTTTAAGTAAATTTGTTGGAAAAGTTCTTTAAAAGTGATCACAGGAAACAGTTTTTATGAACAGACAGACAGACGGACTGAAGGACACTCTAAAGTTAATATTTGAAACATCCCTGTTACCAAAATATAACATTTTTAAAAGCAAAATGCTTAAAGAGGAGATAACTCTTGAATTAAAGATGCAATTTCATAAAAAAAATTCAGCTCTTTTTGACTTATCACAAACAATGTTATATTTGCCATGTTTTAAGCCTATTTGTTGCCAAGGCAACCAATATTTTTTCAAAATAGGGAGAACAGATAAGACATGCATAATCTCAAGACTGCCATCTACCCATATATCAAGTTTCATAAAAATATTTCCAGTACTTTTTGAGTTATCACTGGATTCAGTGTAAGTGTAAAATTTGCCATATTTTCAGTCTATGTGTTGCCATAGCAACCAGTATTTTCAGCATAGGAAGAAAAGAAAACTAGAAATGTGTCCATAGGACACGGGTGCCCCCACCACGCCACTGTTCTGTCAATCTTTTTACTAAGTCAAGGGAAATAACTCTACAAATACTGGATAAATCCACAAGCAAAACCCCAGGTGCAAATCTAAAATATGCTGAGCAACCTGCCTATAAGGTTAAATGACTATGACAAATACTTTTTGAGAAACTTGCGACACAAGTTGAAAATTGCAAAAATTTTCTAAGTGAAGGGCAATAACTCTAAAAATACTAAATAAATCCAGACGAAAATACCTGGTGCACAACTGCACATGCTAATCAATATTCCTGTAAAGTTTCATGACTCTAGGTCAAATACTTTTTGAGTTACCTGCGACACAAGTTGAAAATTGCAAAATTTTACTAAGCCAAGGGCAATAACTCTGAAAATAATAAAAATTTTCAAACGAAAATACCCATGTGCACAACTATACATGCTGATCAACATTCCTGTAAAGTTTCATGACTCTAGGTCAAATACTTTTTGAGTTACATGCGACACAAGTTGAAAATTGCAAAATTTTACTAAGTCAAGGGCAATAACTCTGAAAATACTTAAAATATCCAGACGAAAATACCCAGGTGCACAACTACACATGCTGATCAACATTCCTGTAAAGTTTAATGACTCTAGGTCAAATACTTTTTGAGTTACATGCGACACAAGTTGAAAATTGCAAAATTTAACTAAGTCAAGGGCAATAACTCTGAAAATACTAAAAATATCCAGATGAAAATACCCATGTGCACAACTACACATGCTGATCAACATTCCTGTAAAGTTTCATGACTCTAGGTCAAATACTTTTTGAGTTACGTGCGACACAAAAGTGAACGGACAGACAGACGGAAGGATGGACGGAAGGCAGGACGGACGGACGGACAAGGGTAAATCTAAATGCCCGCCACTAACGTGGGGGCACTAAAACGTGCATAATCTCCAGACTGCCATCTACCCATATTACAAGTTTCATAAAAATATTTCTATTACTTTTTGCGTTAACACAGGATCCAGTTTATGTGTAAAATTTGGCATATTTTCAGTCTATTTGTTGCCATAGCAACCAGAATTTTCAACATAGGAAGAAAAGAAAAAGACGTGCATAATCTCCAGACTGCCATCTACCCATATTTCAAGTTTCATAAAAATATTTCCAGTACTTTTTGTGTTATCACTGGATCTAGTTTATGTGTAAAATTTGCCATATTTTAAGCCTATTTGTTGCCATAGCAACCAGAATTTTCAACATAGGAAGAAAAGAAAAAGACGTGCATAATCTCCATACTGCTATCTATCCATATATCAAGTTTCATAAAAATATTTTCAGTACTTTTCAAGTTATCGCGGGATCCAGTTTTGTGGACGGACAGACAGACGGACAGACAGACAGACGGACGGAGGGTAAACCTAAAGTCCCCTCCGGTAAACCGGTAGGGGACTAAAAAAAGCTTACTCCGCCAGAAAATGTTGAAAGTATCGGAGGAAAGAGTAAGCTATCTAAATCAGTGTTATTTTTAGCTATTTTTGCATGGGTCTGGTAAACTTTCCAAATGGCAAAAGTTTTCCCCCCCAACCAATGTCCCAATTTTTCAGATTTCTTCATAACATAACAGTTGTAGCAAATACATGTTTTTATGGAATTTTTTTCTCCCATACTTCTAAAACATTCCTGATCCGGAAATCCTGGACACATTCTTTTGAAGGAAAAAATCGATGTAGATAATTAAGACAGCAATGCAGTCATTTTGTTGTTGTTGAATATTTTGTTTGTTATACAGGGGCTTTAGTGTTTGGGATCAAAGGAACTTGAAACCGAAGAAGAGCAAAGCTTTATGCGAGCTTGCTTTTGGAAAAAACATTAACAGTGCATATTTCTCACCTGTGACTGGGAAACACATTCTGGCGACATCAATCAACGATAAATTAAGGTAAGATTATTTTACATTACTTAAGACTTGTGATATGTATGTAATATATATCATCCATACTCATAACATACTCTGGATATGGAAGGCATATTTTTAGCTTGACTGCTCAAGAATAGGGAGAGCTGTTATTCTTACGTCAGCATGGCCGTCAAACTTCGGTTAAGTTCTTGAGTGCCAATTGGTATCTCCAAAACTATGGAATGGGTTGGACTTTTCAAAATATTTAAGTTTAGTTTATGCAAATAAATTTTAGTTAAATTGTGTTGGAAGCCATAAGGTTATCCATTTCTGGAAAAACCAGTACTAAGCAATGATTGTAAAGTTTTTTGCTCAAGGAGACAGCCGCTTGCTACTGACTGGGTTTGAACCCATGTGGACAGCAATCCTTTGATTACTACTCTGACGTGTTGACCACTCGGCCACGCCGCAACTGTAATGTTTCATAGATATTATACTCACTATGAAAAAAAAGTTATGTTTTCTATTAAACCAGAATGTATTGCTTTAATTAGTGTGTTTCTTCGAAATAACACATATATTAAATCTTTTCTGAAAGGAATTTATGTTAGGGTAGCAACATTTCTGGAAGAATTATGTTGAAAATAATTTCTCATTTGCAGAATTTATGACAGTTCAAAAATTGGGCCAAATATTAAAGTGAAAAGATGCATTTGGTAAGATTTCTAGCTAACAAAGTCAAGTCTTAAACTGCTGGAAGGTCAGTGACTCTACTGTGTTAGAAATTTTGCATAGAAGAGCACCCGAGTCCTCTTCTGCCTGTTTATCTGTAAAGTCAGCATATGACTAAAAAACAGTGATGTTGAGTCCAAAAACCAACTAAAAAAGGACAAACATAACAAAAAGATCAACAAAGGAAATTAACTATAGATGATATCTGTTAAACATTTAATTTAAAGGAGTCCTCATTAGATAGGTTATAATAATTCTTAAAGGCTGTTGCTAGGGTTACTCATAGACAATTCGTCACCTTAATGCTATAACGTAATAAGTACTCCTAAATTTTAAAGCAGTTAATCAGTTATTGTACTAAGATGATGAATTGCAAATTATGTCGGTAATGTCATTTCATCTTAACTAAAATTTTCTCATTCAGTCATAACAATCGAAATGGACGTTTGACATTCAGAGCTGCTTGGCACCCTGCCAGAGAAGATTGTTTTATTGTTGGCAGTATGAACTGGCCTAGAGAGGTTAGTGATAAAAATATGATTAAATCTGTATGCAAGAAAGATAAGATTGAAGAGGAGTAAATTTATGACTTTTCTTTTTGGGTTTCAAGTAAGTTTATTAAGTGTTTATGTTATGTGAAAGGTGGCTTTATTACAAGCATTTTTTCCTCATTTAAAGTAGGTTCATATTCTGTCTTTAATTAACATTTCATTCATGTTACACAGGGATTTTTTTTGGCTTATTATATAGCCGTTTTTAGGTCATATTCCCAATTGAAAATAGTATGTTATTTTCCCAATCCACAGGAAAAAATTCCCAATTGTAAGTTACAAAATAAATATTGAATAAAAGTTCTAAAATCTTTGAAAATCAGGGCTCATTCACTGTAATAGTGCTTAAAATGTTTGAAGATGCCATCTTAGACAGTAATTGTTTGCATCCATTTAATCATTGTAAAATTTCAGTCATGCATTTTTTCCCAATTCTTTACAAAACACTGCTAAAATTCCCAATTCCATGGGCATGGGTCATGTTCCCAAAATCCTTAAAAAATCCCTGATGTAAGAAAACTAGCCCTACGAGTTTAACAAAAGGTTCATGGTTTTACTTAAGTGCTCTACCTTATATTTTTGTTTTATATGTTCGAATTAACCTATGTAGTATTTTAAAATTTTTATGCTTATGTACATATACCTTTAATTGTTGTTAAAATGTTTATATATGCAGAAATTTTAAATTTTTATGTTTTTAGACTTTTGGACCTCTGTGAGGCTCTGTTACGCCATGTGTATATAATTCAGGATCAGGTTCTCTTGACTTTAAATTATTTACCCTAAATTATCACCGGAATCAAGGGTCTTTAACTCTGACCGCTCTTTTAATTTCAGATATCACTGATCAGTGTTGCTGGCAAAAAGCTGCATGCCTTTAGAGATGAAGAGTACGTAAACAGTGTATGCTTCCTGCATGCTCTACATCCAACTCTTAACCTGGTTGCCGGCACCAATAATAGTGGCAGAGTGTTTGTGTTTATGTGATTATAAAACAGGAGATGGTGTACAAGGCACGTTGTGTGTTTATACTTAGACATGTGTTCATAATATTGTGTTCATTGAAGTGTTGCGTTACAAAGCAGACTGTGTTAAAAAACAGACTGTGATTGAAAGAATATAGTGAACTTTACAAAAGTAATTTGTTAACATTACCAGAAAATGTGAAGAAAGTGGTCATATGATGTCATATTTGCACATTGCAATATTCAGGTCTGTTGACAAGTGATATTTACCATAACTGTGTTCAGAAATTAATCTCAGGAAAATGTTGTTGTTTATTTGCATGTTATTTTTTTTATTTTCCCACCATATGATATGGTTAGGGGTACACTAGAATCACATTTTTGTTTGCAATTCTCAGATTTGATATTTTCAGACTTAACTTTAAATAAACATAAAAGATGAATCTGCAATGATAAATTCTTTGAAAATGCTTCGGTGGGGTTATTTGTCACTTCTGTAACAAATTTCCAGTTTGAATCTATTATTCTCGGTGTTGTGTAAATATATTTCTTGCCATGTTTTCATTCTTGTATTAATGATTGTATTGGCGGAAAAAGTATGGTTATTTTATTTTTGTCACTTTGTAAATAGTGTATGTTATTTTATTTTGGTACATAAGTATCTTGTTTACTTTTAAATCGAGACTTAGAGGTACTAACTTGTCTTTTCAAAAAAATAATCCAACTTTAATGATTAGTGGATCTTTGTCATTGTAGTGCCAAAACTAAATAGCGGATCACTCATAACACTTTCTAAAAGTTTCTAATATGGAACTTTAAATATTTGCTGAACATGACAGAGGGCAGTTGTAAGACAAGGGGCATAATTCTGAAAGGAATCATTTTAGAGTTATGCCCCTTTTTAAAACAGAATTTTTTTTGTCAAAATAGCTTTTCAAATGAAAGGATTTGTAAACTATCAAAGGTTACAACCACAAAACTTGGTATACTTTATCATGGCAAGGTGCATTTGTTACACATGGGACATGATCTTGAAAGCAAAATGTTTTTTTGAGTTGTTTTTTTCTTTGAAGTTATGCCACTTTTAAACTTAGAATTGTTATTGAAAGTAAACATACGGTATTTAAAGTGGTTATTGATAGAAAGTACACATATTAAAAATATCAGAGATATTGTACTTATTTCTGGCTTACCTGCAGAGTAATGGAGACGAGGCACATCTGTAAAACAAGGGACTTAAAACAGGGATCATTATTTGTAGAGTTTTGTCCCTTTTTCTCATGGAAATTTACTTAACCCTTTCGCTGCCAGAGGGTTATTGTTTTATTGATCACCTATTTGCCAGAGGGTTTTCTAAAAATTACTATATTATTAATTAATATAATTATTATTATTTGTTATTAGTATTATAATAATTATATATGTTTCCAAATATGTGAGTATAATAATAATTATTGTCGATGGTATAATTTTCTTTATAATTATTATTATTATTATTATTAATTTATTATTATTACTTTTATTATTATAGAAATGGCTAAAGCCGTCCATATGGCAAATACGCCGAAAATAACAGGGACGGCATAAGCCGTCCCTATGGCAGCGAAAGGGTTAACATTTGAAGAAATACCAATATCTTGAACATCTACTATCATAAAATTATTCATTTTATTGAGATGTGAAGTGTGTAACAGCCATAACACTCTTAAATTTATCTTTTATTATTATTATTTGTTTACTGTTACTGGTGTAACCAGTGTTTGCACTGCATTTGGTGCGCTTTTTGATAAGGTTTAAGTTCTTTTCTTTGTTTAGTAATTACTTAAATTGATTTTCAATTTTACAATTTTCCTCTCAAAACTCGATTTTTGTAGTTTTAGCTCATTTTAGTTTTTTAGGATTGATGGAGGAGAGACCAGCTCCAGTTATATATATACAATTTTTTTTTGTCTGCATGATTTTCGTTTTTTTAAGTTGATTTTTAATTCGACTTCTTTTTTCAATGAAAAAAAAAAGAGAAATTGTTACACTAATGTTGGCGTTCCTGTTGCTGTCCCCAAAACTTAAATGTTAATCATAACTTTTTAAGTTCATGGTGCATTGTCTTCATACTTGGCTTACCATTGATATATGACCTTTAAGTAAACCAGGCTAAGCTTGACCTTCATTCATAAATAACCTTGACCTTCAATGTCTAATGTTTGCTCGATTTTTGCTTAAAGTGGCTATAACTTTGTTTATTTTGAATGAAATGTCTTCAAACTTAAACACTACAATCTTTCAAGATAGACCTATAAGTTAACCAGACAGACTTTGACCTTCACTCATAATTGACCTTCACGGTCAAATAATTGAAAATTTCTTTCCTTTTTTAGCTCGACTATTCGATAAGAATAAGTAGAGCTATTGCAGTCACCCGAGCGTCGGCGTCGGCGTAACCACTTATGTTAAAGTTTTTGTAATAGTTCAAATATTTTGACATATGGCTTTGAAACTTTGCACGTTTGTTCAACATCATGACCCCAACCTGTAAACAGGAGGAGGTAACTCTATCAAGCATTTTGACAGAATTATGCCCCTTTTTCGACTTAGAATTTACGTTAAAGTTTTTGTAATAGTTCAAATATTTTCAAAGTCCATTGACATATGGCTTTGTAACTTTGCACACTTGTTCACCATCATGACCCCAACCTGTAAACAGGAGGAGGTAACTGTATCAAGCATTTTTTTTACTATCAAGCACTAAGAATAGTCGAGCGTTGCTGTCCTACCGACAGCTCTTGTTTTTGCAGTAATTCTTTTTTCCCTTTCTTATTATAGATTTGTTTAAACCGTTTGTATGCTTTGAGAAATAGTAAAAAGATTGAGTGTTACCCTTGCCGAGTAGGAACTATTGATAAAACAAATACCATAGAATTTTTTTTTCCAAATGTTTGCTACATATGCACCTTAAAGATTTATCAAGACTGAAATTTGTGAACATACAATCTGGTCAGTAAGTCCAAAATTTAAGTTGTGTAAAAATATATGATTTTACAATAGCAAGTCTTGCTATAATCTTCCTGATCATGTTTTCATTTTTTTTTTTTTTACAAAGTCCAATTAGTTTTATTTCAGAGTTATATTTAGCTTAATTATTCAGGAGTAAGTTACAAAAATGCAGTTCATTAAATTATTAGCACATGTTATGTCAAACGTTTTTGTTAGATTTAGATCACTTTGTTATTTCATACAATTATTTAGGCCAGTCTTTTGATAATTTGATACATCAATTAAAATATTATGAAAAATTTCAATTGTTTATTATTCTTTTTTAAATTGCAAAAGCAACCTGTACCTGGTAAATTTCATGAATTAATACCAAATGATGAGGTATTTAAAGAATATGAATTGTGTCAATATGACATTTTTGCATTGTTTGTATTTCTGTTGTTATATTTGGTTGATCAAAGATAAGCAGAGTAACATAGCCAAATACAGATGAGTAGTTAACTATCACGAGTCTGTATCAGAAATAAACCCGGTATTATCCTGATTAAGGTCATTGTTTGACTGAAACCTACTCTGGTGTTTTTGACGTGTAGTTCCACAACCTTGTTTACTTAGTTCAGAAATAAACATGTTTTCCCTTCAAGCAAATGCTGACTTTTTCAATTAAATCAGAGACCTTGACACATACTGATATTCTTCAACACACGAAGTCATTATAATTGAGCCGCGCCATGACAAAACCAACATAATGGGCTTGCGACCAGCATGGATCCAGACCAGCCTGCGCATCCGTGTAGTCTGATCAGGATCCATGCCATTCGCTAACAACTATATAACAAGTAGAGAAACTGATAGCGAACAGCATGGATCCTGATCAGACTGTGCGGATGCGCAGGCTGGTCTGGATCCATGCTGGTTGCAAACCCATTATGTTGGTTTTGTCATAGCGCTGCTCATATAATAATTTGATTTTCTAAAAATTTAAAGGAGCTCCACTGAGGTCAAAAAGCCTTAAAAAAAAATAGAAATTTTATAGACGGTAGATCAAGTGAATCATATAATATGGAAAAATCTGCAAAGGTACTAAGAACTAAATTGAAAATCGATAATTATTGCAATTCTTAACCTGATCTGAGTGAAGAAGAGAGCATTAAGTCCCTTGCTTTGTCCGTCTGTCACACTCTTATGCTAACTTGAAGGAACTTGAATAGAGACCCAACAAGAAGAATTCAATGCAGTGTCCAGGAACCGTAACTCTACCTTACTTAAATTATCTGACTTTAGGTAATAGGATGCTTGTCTAGTGCAAAGCTCTAAACAACACGTATATTAACAGATTTTGTGCAAAAGCAGCCAACAGCCAAAAAAAATAAACATTTAACGGCAGCCCCAATTGTAAGTACATGTAATAGCGGTTACAATTTTTGCAAATTCAAACGGGGATTAAACCCACATATACACGTAAGGCACTTCAAACTGCATTTATAGATCGTAAAAAGAAAACTGTATTGTTAGTGTTTTTATTGTACAAATTCCTTATCCTTTACAAAGATCAAATTAAATTAACATTTACTATATTATAACTCATACTATCATAATTTATATCCAAAAACGTAGAAAATATACATATAAAGTATCACAGTTGGTATTGTATGTGGAATGTAATGCAAAAAGAATGAGATTTTATTTATCATGATTTGAGCCGTGTCATGACAAAACCAACATAGTGGGTTTGCGACCAGCATGGATCCAGACTAGCCTGCGCTGATCAGGATCCATGCTGTTAGCTTACCAACTCTTTTACAAGTCGAGAAACTGATGGCAAACAGCATGGATCCTGATCAGACTGCGCGATTGCGCAGGCTGGTCTGGATCCATGCTGGTCGCAAACGCACTATGTTGGTTTTGTCGTGACGCTGCTCATTTGTTTTCATGGTACAGTTAACAGGTTTATTTTTCAAGAAAAAAAAAGCATAATCTTTATGGAAATAAAATCCATAATTTTTTTAAGCTGAATTATCAATGGATATTCTTGAAGGAGAATGTGCAGGGGAAAAAAACTGACAAAGAAAATCAAATTAACATGAAACCTGTTTGAAGCATATGATCTTTCAAAAAGTGTATTAAAAGGAAAATTAAATTTAATCATGAAAAATTTGTAGGACTAATGTTATAAACAAGAAATGCTAATTAATATTAAAAGATGAAGACATGGTCCTCCAGTCCCAGAAGCTGTTAAGAATGATCAGTATCAGTAAAGTAAATTGATATTATACCTAATATATATATTAAAATAAATAACACAAATGTATAAAATCTTGAATATTTCATGACTATTCATCTAATTTTAAGGCTTTCCATTCATTGACAACTGGTCTAGTGAGACTTTCTATTTCATAGTTTATAAGTTTTGAAAATTACACCTTTAATGAATGTAAAGTTATACAGCTGCATTTTATTGTCATAGGTCCATGCATGTGGCATAATCACAGATTAATTTTACCGCTCAAGAATCCATGTAAAGATTTCTCTGGGACGTTATTCCCTGTCTTAATTGCAGCCTGCAAGCTTGTATTATGATAACAAAGAACATGCCCTCAAAACGCCACCCCTATGCTTCTCATGGTTTAATTTACATGAGGATTAAAAAATTGGCAACGTCCTTGATAATCATATCAGAATCCAAAGCTTCCTAACAAAAGACTTAAACCCAAGGATAAGGGACAAGTGGTTTGAAATCCAGCGAAAAGGGACATTCATATGTTTTGATATCAGTAATTTAAATCTGAGGCTCTAAAATGGGCACCTCATTGTTCTTTGTTATGTCTATACTCATCTTTGATTCATAGAATAATGTTTACCGAAAAGAATGCCCAAAAGCCAATTGTCAATGTATGGAAAACCTTAAATATTAAAATAATACTACTAAAATATCACAGTAAATTAACAGCTTATATCTTTTCAACAGTGTATAAAACAAATCTATTATAAAAATCAATGGACGGATTTTTTTTCTCCTAAATTTATCACAAATAAGTGCATGTCCTAATTTATACAAAGCTTACTCATGAAATTATAAAATTCTTTGCACCTAAAATAATTTAAATATACTTTTGATCTATCTAATAAAATGTTCTTCTAACATAATTACAATGTAACTAACATAATGTTCTTTAAAAATATATCAACCATATATAAGCTAAATTATTATAAGAAAATCACAAATGAAAAATTCTAAACTAAAATTCTAAAATCAAAACAAAAACACTTCAAATCTTACATCTGCTAATAAATAAGTCCTCAAATTATTTACAGTAAGGAATAACCACTATCCAGGAAAAATATAACTTTATAATAAATTAAATTCGTTATTAAGATCAACACAGTGTTTCCAATAAGGACACAAGATCAGGTACCCTAGTGGCTATAATATCTGCCTCTCAACCCAGAGATCCAAGGTTCAAGCCCTTGCAGAACCACAACCATATTTCCTTAAATGATGACACTAATACTGGTTAGTTCAAGAATGTGGACTTGAGTATGATTCAAATATGTGTAAAAATCTGGAAAAGGTGTGAAACAACTATATATTATTAAAAATACAGACTCAGTTTGAGTCTGGTAATGAGAGATAACGTGAAAGTGTAATATCCCTCACACCCTCTAGCACTGGCTTAAGCTGTATTCAAATCTTCTAAACTAACATGCTGGAATCAATAATCGCGAAGGACCAGAAAAATGTCACAACACTGAAAGCACTAAGCCTCAAGCATTAATAATTGTAAAGAATATCTCATCAAATCAAGTTGATAGAAAACAATATACAAACTGGCTGGTTTGACCTTACATTGGTTGCATAGACAATTAAATCATTATTCCTGTTAGAAGTTTGACCATCCACAGCAAAAACTGTTTTCATAAAAAAAATATTACATATTTGGTAAAAAACAAACAATTTTCATAGCAAAAAAGAAATACTTGTGACAAGAAGTAAGGTAATAATAAAAGACTTTTCATTATTTATCAACAATATGGATTCATGAATAACTTTTAACTGCAATAGTTTCATTCATGGACATTTAAACACTTTTGGAATTTGGAGGCCCATTACCAAGAATACAGTCAAATAAAGTGAAAAAAAAGAGAACAAATAAAGTGTAGTTATATAAAAATTGTTGACAGTGATTTAGCCATAACATTAAATTCAGCATTTTAAAGTCTGGTTTTATTTCTAGATTTATATTTATATCAATGTATCAGCCAATGTAAAAATCTAGAAAAAGGGGAAATGACCTTCCGATGCAATGAATTTAAACAATAAAATTAGAAGAATGAATAGCTGCTGATTTGGTTTATGTGGGGCTGTTCATGATATATAAGTGGAGCATCTTATAAGCTCTCATGCCCATAGCAAAAACCATCATGCAATATCAACTGAGGTATTTTATACCATTATAAGGAGGTGGTGGTCACTTATGTTTTTAAACACAAAGACATTTAATTATAGCAGTAACATCATCAACAACAACGATTGTAATCGATGACTACCATCATCATCACAATTCTCATCATATTCATGATTAAAATTCATCATTATCATCATCATTGCCAATGTCAGATCATTATACAGTCATAATTATTTCAATAAAAAAAAGTAATACAGGCAAATGTATATGACAACCAAATCACTGAGATTATTTGTAATTAAATGTGTATGAAATAATGCAAAAAAAGCATATTTAATGAGTGATATGCCTTGCTGCTTGCTTGTATAGTGATTATGAATAGTAAAAAATAATCCAATGAAAAATTATGCCTATAAAAATATCAGTATGATAATCATGTAACTTCTACAGTATTCCCATAAACATAAGATATGTTTTGTCATAGTTAGACATTAAAAGTCTTAAGCCCCGATTCCCTGAGCTAATTTCAAGTACGGTAATTGAATCTATCTCATTCTTGAGTTGGAACTTTTAACTTTCAATTTCACTGGGATGTAAGAAAATCAAAATGATTTCCTAACCAGTTCCCTATTATTCTTATGCTTATACTATGAACTCTTCTAACTTTGTAATAAACTCTTTCTACTTTGTTTTGGACTCTTCCGTAATTCTAAAATGAACTATTCCCACTTTTCCCCTTTATTTAAGGTTTAAATTTTAACAAACTGGTAATACAGTGTAGATATTGACACCTTAGTGCAGCAATGGGGTAACTCCTATTACATCATAAAAGGAGTTAACCCATTACTGCACTAATGTGCAGGTAAAAGGGTTTCTCCCCAGTGACAAAGAAAACTTGTTTGACACTGTTTAACATAAAAAAACTTAATATGAGCTACCTTCAGACAGTGTGGATATACAGGTCAAACTGTACAAGTCAAACTGTCTCTATAAACCATAAGTCCAATATGGTAAAACTTGGTACATGTACTTGTTTAATTAATAACAAGGAGTATTGAAAATTACTACCAGCTGAGGCATAAAAAGTTACCCTTTCATGATGTTTTACAATGTAACAATAAGATATTCCATTTCATAGGCACAAAATCTATGCCAGTTGTATTGAAACATTGGTTCTATCTAGCATAAATATAGGTGCTAAGACTTAGCAATTGTACAAATTACGAAAAAATTTCTAATAAAGGCATAAAGAGAATTTAATTTGGACTACTTTTTGCGTTCAACAGTTCTAAAAATCATGCATCAGTCTCTGGACTGGTTATAAATGTGGTTTTATTTTCTTCATCTTTCTTGGTGTCATTATCTGCATCAGCATTTTTCTCCTCTGAATCAATCACAGTAGGGTTTAGTTCAAAACCACCAATGTTTATAGACATTTTCTGACCTTGCAATTTTATAATATCTGGTGTATCGTCATCATCATCATTATCAACATTACCATAATCTGGTTGAGCATCCAAACTTGCAGCCTCAATATCAAACTCTTCATGTTCCGGTGTTACAGTATCGGTGCTCGTAGATTCAAATGATTGAAACACTTCAGTTGTCTCATTAAATGAAACACGTTTCCTGGAATTACTTAAATCATCTGGAGGAGATGATGGTTCACCTGGATCAGAAACATCTCCGGTTTCAATATTTTCCTTGATTTCAGGTTCCTCACTGAATTCTGGAACTGGTATAGTTTCTCTCTTACTTTCTTTCAAAATACCAACCAAATTAGGATCACTTTCAGTTTCAGTTACAACAGTAATGTTAACAGTCTCAGCGACATTATCACTTGTGCCACTTTCCTGACTGTCATATACAGTGTACTGATCATTAGTGGCTGTGCTAGATAGTTCAGAATGCATATGTAAATTCTCCACTCTTTGTTTCAATATTTCAATATCCTCTCTCAAATGATCTTCATTTTTGTCATCATTTTTATTTTCTTTGTCAAGTGTTAGCTCATTTAAATTATCATAAGTTTTGTAATGGCTATGACTATTTTCAGTACTATCACAATCTGTCACAACTTGTTCTTCTTGTGTGTTTTTTACATTTTGGTTTTGCATTTCAGACTTTTCTCCATCATTTTCTTTTTCTGTATTATCACTTTCAGTTGGTTTGGCTTCATCATTGTTGCTATTATCATAAGTCTCTACCATAACATTATCTTCTGATGAAGAATCTGATGATTCTTCTTGTTTACGTGGAGAATACATTAATTCAGATATCTTTGGACGTTCATCTTTATCAGCTTCTGATTCTTTAGCTTGATTCATCCTTTCAGCTTTGTACTGTTCAAAAGCCTTATCATCAAGTTGAGCTATTGCTGCCATATCTGCTTCTGTAACACCTTCTTTAATCAACTCTGCATTCATCAGGGCTCTTTGTTCAATTTCATCAAGGTTGTTACTTATCTGCTGTGCAAACAGCTTTCTTTGCCGAGCAGCAACATGTGGTGGAATTCCTTTGTCTGGGGGAAAGGGCAAAGAGTAGGGATTGCTTACATCCTCGTTATCCATAACTTTATCTACCCGCTGAGGAATGACTGCCTTGCGTGGAGACTTTGCTGATTTCTGAGGCGAAGGGACCTTTCTACGCCCTGATGGAGCTGTTGAAGGCCTCTGGAGTTGCTTCACTGTCATAGCTGGCTCTCCAGAATCCTTTCTCTCACTCTCCAATCTATATGCACTTCTTGGTCTTTCATTTTCAATGGCATCTCCATCAAACTCACCTCCTCCAAATGATTTATTTGTTTTGTTATCAAATTTTTTAAGTCCTGTGTCAATTTTTTTCCTCATATTCAATTTATCTTCAATACGTTTTCTACCAAGGGCTGGAATTATTCTTTCCAGCTCTGGATCAGATTTTGCAAGTTCTCTTTGTCTCTTAGCATTTTCTTTTTTAACGATATCATCAGACCTTTTCCTTTTTACCCATTCATCGTAAGACAGCCTCATTTGTTTTGCTCTTTCTTTTTCACTTTCAGCTTTATTCACTTTTGCATCATTTTCAGTTTTTTGAGCAACACTTGGACTTTTACCTCTCACTTGTAATTTCAGCTTAATCTTTCCAGCAACAGGTCTTTTATAAATAAATTTTGTTTGAGGAGGATGCGGCCCTTCTTGAGCAATTTTGGCCTGTTTCTCCTCTTCTTCTTTTTCTCTTTGAGAAAGAATCTTTTCTCTCAGGTTTTCATCATCTTGATCATCTAGCCTTTTAGATGGAGCAGACTGAGGACGGATTCGCAGGGAATCTCCAGGTACACTTTTTGTTTTCTTGTAAGACTCGAGCCATGCATCTTCTTCCCTTTCCTTCTGTCTTTTCTCCTTTTGTATCTTTATCCACTCTTTACTTTTCTCTTTCATCCACTTTTTAACAACTTTCTGTGACTTCATTCTATTTTCAAACTTTTCATTGGCTTCATTAACAAGTTTTTCTCTTTCTTCTCGCTTCTTTCTTTTTTCCTCCTTTATATGCTGCCTATAGATCTTGTCCTTTTCTTTCAGCCACTTTTTCAGCTTATCATTCTTGGAATATTTGATGTGGTCATCTATAGATGGACCGGCTCTTGGTGTTCTAGGTGAGGAGCTAGCTCTACTGTCTGTCTTGCTTGAAAAACTTGGTTTTTCAGAAATTTCTTCCTCGGTATCAGACTTTGCTGGTCTGTAGTTTGCTTTAACCTTTTTCTTCACAGCACGTTTGGCACTGCTTGGTCTATCAGCATGTATATCTGTCCTAATCTTGTATGTATTCCTGGCTCTTTCTGCGGTCATAACACTGCGTAGTGTTCCATAGGCAGTTTCATCTGAAATAGGAAGAGACTTTATTAAGATTTTAAACAGATTTTAATCAAGTAAGTCTGCTGTCCATATAAAAATGTAAAAAGTTTTCAACTTCTGAAATGAGAACCCTCGTTCAAAATGAATATTGCAGACAGACTAGTATTCAAAATTCTTATCATTATGTAGCACTTAAATTTTCCTTTTTTTTCCTTTGAACCAGATAATACAGTAGACAAACATGTGTAAAAATGTTTCTAAGAATTACAGAAAGGCGAACAACTGAGAAGTGATCCCTGTAATTGTCGCCCAGATGACATAAAAATTCCATACCACTTTATCTTCATAAATTAAGTCAAAGTGTAATCATAAATTAAGTCAAAGTGTAAATATCTAGAAATAATGTAAGGATTTTAATTGCTTCATATGTTGTGAATTTTTTTAATGAGACCAAAACAAATACATTATGGATAGTTCCATCATGCTGTCATAATTTAATTACACTCTGACCATGTTAAAAAGTACTTTGTAGCAATTACAGTATTCCCCTACAGGTAACATGTCACGCTTGGCATTAATTTTGTCAATCATATAAACTGATACAAAACTTTCATCATGCCACCTTGTTTATCCCTTTAATTGTAAAAAGCAAGTTTTCTAAAATTTACTACATTCACCTTAGCAACAGTGCATAGCTTTTGTTGATCATGTTAAATGATACAAAATTTTGATCATGCCATCTTTTTTCCTTTTAAATCATCAAGGAAGATCAATCAATCTAATCTCATTCAAATGCAATCAATAGCTTATTTAATGCAATATTCATTGGAAGACTTGCTTCAATGAAATATTCATGAACCATCTGCTTTATTTTTATTTCTTACACTGAATGAAATTAATGTACACAATTTCCTGTGCACATGGAATTGATAATGATTTTAATTAATTTGATTGGATTTATTATGTTTTTTAATTTATTTCCAGAATGAACTTGTCATATTTCCATTTTGAAACAGTCCTTTTTCATTCTAAGGGAAGTCATGATGAAACCTTGGGTATTTATTGGTACTGCCTGTTCATTCTACACAATCATGCTAGTCCTGGACATCTTGAATTAAGATTCTAAGGTATTTTTTGCTTTGGGCCAGAATCTTGCTTCAGAGAAATAGCCCATACCAGGCACTCTCAATTCATGAATTTTGGTAGCAAAATTTGGCACTGTGTTCCACTTTAAGTATATTTTCCATCTATTTTTTCAAGGAAATTCCCTTTACAAAACAAGAGGGCCATGATGGCCCTGAGGTCGCTCACCTGTATATAGGCTTATGAGGAGATGTCATTTAAAGTAAAAGTTTACGGACGGACGGACGCTGGACGAAAAGCGATCACAAAAGCTCACCCTGTCACTTTGTGACAGGTGAGCTAAAAAAAAGTTTATACAAGTGCTGTCAGAAGGACAGCGCGCTCGACTTTTTTAGTGCTTGCCTATAAAACAAAACTTTGACAGTTAAGGGCACACAAGACTTTAACTAGGAATTTCTAAGTACAAATCAAGAAACATTTTCACAGAGTTATCTTCTCTTGCTTACAGATAGGTCTCATGATGGCACATAAGAACTCCAACTTCCAAAGTAATATCTCAAATGGTTAAGTCAACAAGTGGACAAGAATGAAAATCTTAACTGAGTTTCTAAGTCAAAAAGGGCCATAATTCAAATAAAATCCTTAACAGAATTACCTTTTCCTGCCCATGTTTTGGGACCATGATGGTAAACAAGTATTCCAACTTTCAAATTAATATCTCAAAACAGTTCAGTCAAAAAGTGGACTGGTACTAAAAACTTAACCAAGATTCTAAGTCGATAAAGGCCTTAATTTTTAAAACAAATCCTTGACAGAGTTACCTTCTCTTGCGTACAGATGGGGGTAATGATGTGAAATAGCATTAAAAGTTTCAAAGCAATATCTCAAAGGGTTAAGGCAATAAGTGGATTTTACCCATATTCAATGTATTTTCTAAGTCAAAAAGGGGCATAATTCTGTCAAAAACCTTGACAGAGTTATGTCCTCTTGTCTGTTGATGAAGGTCGTGATGGTAAACAAGTATGGTCAGTTTCAAAGCAATACCTCCAATGGTTTTGAAATAAAGTGAGGTGGTACAAAAAACTTAACCAAGCTCAATACACTTTCTAAGTCAAAAAAGGGCCATAATTCTGTCAAAAACCTTGACAGAGTTATGTACTCTTGTCTGTAGATGGAGGTTATGATGGTGAACAAGTATGGTAAGTTTCAAAGCCATACTTGTAATACTTCTGAAATAAAGTGGGGTGGTACGAAAAACTTAACCAAGGTGTGACGCCAACGCTAACGCCGACGCCGACGGCGGGGCGAGTAGGATAGCTCCCCTTTTCATAGAAAAGTCGAGCTAAAAATCAACCAGCTTATATCTGCCAAAAGCAGGAGAACACCTTGACAATGTCCTATTGAAATTTGCTATTTGCAAATTAAAATTTGTAATGATTTACAACACTGAAGAATATTGTCACTAACTCTTGTATGTATGCTAGTGCAGCAAAAATTAATGTTTGAAATTCCCCTACATTTTTTTAAGGAAAACACTGTGAAAATTTCCCCTCTTAGTGGTACACATACTGTTGCCCCAAAAACAGAGACAGCCCAGCATACATAAAATAACCTTGAACATTGCCTGTCGGAGAACAATTAGTTGGACTATACACCAGGCTCTACATTTTTGGCCAAATGCCCTGCAGTGTCATTTCCAGGAGTACACTGTATGGTTTCAACCTCAAATAGTTGTTGATCATTAGCAGGAATTCCATTAACATTTAAATTGGATCAAAATTATGTAACAAATTAGCTTGTCATGTTACCCTTAGAGAAGTCAATGATTCAGTCTACTTAAGTACATCATCAATAAATCATATTACAAATATCAGGTTTGATACATTAATATATGTATCACATCATTTCTACATCAGTTGCCTATTAAAGCATGAAACCCTACAGACGTGAAGGGTGGGCGTTATGAACTTAAATTGTTCCATAACATAGACCAGTTATAATAAGTGCTCATAAGGTCAATGTGCCAAGAGATTGAGAAAATAAATGATAACGTACAATCGCAAGTTCATGACAAATGCTAATATTATTCATCTTTTTTCAATCACTGTATTTACAAGAATTTGTAACAGATTAAACAACGTCCCCAGAAAATTTACGTAACATGTAACATAAAATAGTATTATTTCAAAAGTTTGATGTATGGATCTGGACTTTCATTGCAAAATCTTGATAAATGCACGTGCAACAATAAATTATAGGAAATTAAAATATATTGAAATTACTACTGTTTATGTGATAATAGAAAGGCGTTTGATCAGTTTTTTATTCAATGAAGTATTTAAAATATATTTAAGATGGAGTTATGGTTTTCTTGCAGTAGACTCCCTCTCATTCTTTATCTATATATATGGAATCTCTGGACAAAGAAAATACAGACCATGTTAAGTTTTGACTTCTAAATGTGACCTTGACCTTGGTGGGGTTACAGGGTCTGGCTGTTGTGCATGACAATAATATGGTCTAAATATGGTGAATATTTAATATGCAAACTCATTTCAAAATCCTTTGATGAATAGAAAAGTTGTTGACTAGACACAAAACAGGCCATGTAACAGATCTTGTTAAGCTTTGACCTCTGAGTGTGACCTTGAACTTTGAGGTTGGGCTTGACCTTGGAGGTTGCGCTGGACTTTGGGAGGTTGCGCATCACATATTGTCTCATTATAGTATAAAAATGTGCCAAGTTATTTCAAAATCCCTTGATGAAAAAGTTATGGTCTGGAAACAAATATACCCTCCATCAGACAAAGATGACTTTTGATCTCCAAGCATGATATTGACCTTGAAGGTATGAGTCTTGGTGTTTACCTCAACATTGTTATCCTTTATGAGTTACAGACAAGACACAAAATGAGATGGATTGACAGACGAACACTCTTCTCAAGTTGCATTTTGGGGTTATATTTTTAATTTTATTTTCTTAAACCCCATATTATGAGCAAAATTCATTAGTTTGACCACTGATCAAAGACTCACAAAAGGGTGGCAGCATGGCCCACTAGTTAACACATCTGACTAGTAATCTCAGAATCCTTTGCTGTATGGGTTCAAACCTGGTCAGGGGCAAGCTGTTGTTTCCTTGGGCAAAAAACATTACACTTGCTCAGTACTGGTTGGTTCCAGGAGAGGCAGATACTTGAGCATGTCTACAAGCTTAAAGCATCGCTTACAATCAAACTAGAATTAATTCTGTATATACTAAGACTCACAACTTCAGATATATCTATATGATTATCTGAGTTTTATGATGACTGAGGTTTTTATACTTACAGTTAACTGAATCCAGATCACTATCATGTCGTCTTGGAGGTCGTTTCCCTGACGTTGGTCTCGATGACCGATTTCTAATATCTTCTGGAAGACTCTGTGGAATAATTGTATGGGCGGACTGTTTACCATGACTGGCGTTCTTGTACTGGTCCCTAAGAAGCTCCATCTGGTATAAATGATGACGGGTCACATGACTTTTTTGGTCAACAAATGAGCATGCCATAAGTTCTTCTAATTCTGTATATTTTTGGTGAAGTTTCCCTTCAAGATATAGATCTGGATCAACTTGAAGGATTTTATAACCTTGTTGTTTCTTCCTAGACAACAGTGGTTTTGACTTTTTTGCTGGTTTAGGCGGTCTTGAAACATTTTTTACAGGCTCACTTTTTTTACTTTCATCCTCTGAAGAACTCATAGTTGATGAATAATCATCAACCACTACCATTCGCTGATAATCAGAACTCTCAGAGTCAGATTTTATCCTCTGTTTACCATTTTTATCAGCATGCACAGTTTTCTTAATTTTCTTTTCAATTTTTCTAGGTTTAAAACCATTTACTTGTTTTTTCTTTCCCCTTGACCTTTCATTATCCGAGGATGAGTTTGATGAACTACTTGAGCTGCTTCTACTGCTGCTTCTGCTTCTACTTCTGCTTTTACTTCTGCTTTTACTTCTGCTTTTACTCCTGCTTTTACTTCTGCTTTTACTTCTACTTTTACTTCTGCTTCTTCTGTCATTTTCTCTTCTACCCCTGTTTCTGTCAGAATCATTTGAATTATCTGATTTTTTCTTTTTACTGGTATCTTTATCTGAATCAAAGAAACTATCAGAATCATTATTGTCTTTTTTGTTTTCTGGACTTCTAGACCTTGACCTTGACCTATATCTTTCTTTTTTAATATATTCATCATCTGATGAGTAAGTATCAGATGAATAACTGTGTGGTGACCTTGGCCTTTGACCTTTTGGCGAGGACGTCCTGTTATTCATTTTACGACCTTTTGTTGTCTTTGGTCGCGCTTTTCTCCCATCTTTAGAACTTAATTGGTTTCTCTTATACTGGTTATAATCTGCAGAAAATGGTCGAGTTACTTTTTTCGATTTTGAATTAACTCTGTCCGAAGAATTTGAGCGATTTCTTTGTTTCCGTATTTTCTTTCCCCTGAATCCAGCATGCGGGTCACCTTTCTGAACTTTGGAACTATTTTCCATATCTTTCATCTTGAATTCAGAAAATGATTTATTTATGTTACTTGTTTTAACGATTTTATCTTTATCTACATCGTAAAATTCAGAAGAAGTGCTTTCCCTTGTGTCAGTTGGTATAACTACATTTGGAGCATTTCTTTTAACGTCTTTGGCCTCTTCTTCTTTGACGAGGGATTCCAGTAAATTTAAGCTTCGTGGTCTAGGAGGTAATCCAGGATCATTCATCTCACATGGTATCAGGCTTGGATCTGCAAATAATAAAAAAAAAACTTTAAATATCATATCTACATCTATACAAGAGCGATCAGTAATCACATGTGTCGCCTCATGATGGCCAATTTCATGTTTGGACAAATTTTGTGACAGACGGACAGTGCACAACTAGACTTGGTACTGATCATTCCTGTAAAGTTTGGATAAAATTGCACCAGTAGATTTTGAGGAGTAATCCGGACAAGCTTTTGCGTATCTGGCAACACACAGAAAAAAAACACCTTTTTATCAAAGGGCCATAACTCAGCCAAAAATCATTCAACCGGAAAACCCGTGCAATATGCGCAAGGACTTGAGCTACAGATCAATCCTGTAAAGTTTCATTGAAATTGCATTAGTGGTATAAGAGAAGTAGTCCGGACAAACTTTAAAAATAAAAATTATTAAAGGGCCATAACTCAAACAAAAATCATTGAACCGGAAAATGCTGACAATATGCACAACTAGACTTGGTACTGATCATTCCTGTAAAGTTTGGATGAAATTGCACCTGTAGTTTATGAGGAGTAGTCCGGACAAGCTTTTGTGTATCTGGCAACACACAGAAAAAGAAACCTTTTTATCAAAGGGCCATAACTCGGCCAAAAATCATTCAACCGGAAAACCCGTGCAATATGCGCAAGGACTTGAGCTACATATCAATCCTGTAAAGTTTCATTGAAATTGCATTAGTGGTATAAGAGAAGTAGTCCGGACAAACTTTAAAATTAAAAATTATTAAAGGGCCATAACTCTGACAAAAATCATTGAACCGGAAAATGCTGACAATATGCACAACTAGACTTGGTACTGATCATTCCTGTAAAGTTTGGATGAAATTGCACCAGTAGTTTATGAGCAGAGCTGCATTACTGGTACTGGTACTGCAGTACGTACTGCAGCGATTTTGCAAGTACTGGTACTGATACTGAATTACTCTTACAAAATTTTGCTACTACTGGTACTGGTACTGCATTACTGTCTTAAAAAGTGGTACTGCTACTGCATTACCCAGTACTTTTGGTTTTGATAAAAATGAAAAATAACATCAATTTTTCTCATAAAATAAAGCTGTAAATACATTAACTATATTTTATTTTTGTGAAAAAGTAAGTTATCAAATCTAAAGATAATTTGCTGCAATATTCCTTCAAATGTTAACATAGTATTCATCATAAAAAGCACCAAAGACTTTAAGTAAAAATTAAATTAAGATAAACAGACTCAATAACTCTTTACCCTAAAATATCCTTATTAAAATCTTTTATTACTTTGTATTTACTAGTAAAAGAGCAAAATAAACACTAATTAATTTCTTCTATTCTAAAAAATCCCATTTCAAGTGAAAAAGTGATATTGTTAGCACCATAAAAAGTTGTTATTTACTTTGGTTTAAATTGAACAGAGGTGTGAAGGTGTGAAAGGCAACAAAAGACTGTTGTGTTTTAAATGAAAGATGTTTGCATTGTATTTATACAGTTGACTGGTTACTAAACAATTAGATATGACATGAATATGTGTTGTAAATATTGTTTATAAAAAGTATGTTAAAACTATAAACTTTAAGTTGTAAATATGTTATGTTAACTTTAAAGCAGCACGCCTCCAGATTCATCCTAATTTTCATGAAAATTTTGAAAATGTATTTAAAGGTTAAATATTGTTAAATGAACAAAGAAAGTACTTATAACATTACAATCGGCACTTAAAAATCCACGTAAATTACCAAAAAAAAGGTCAAAACATGCATAAATAGCCCCTACTGCGTTAGTAACGCAGTAGAAATATGGTGATAAATAATACAAAACACAGTCATTAATTGCACATAGGATATAATTTATCACTTGAATCTTTAATTTGTTTACTTTTCTCAAAGTTTAAGTAATTTATTTCCAAGTTTATTTTTCTTGAAATATTTTGGGTCATCTGGAGGCATGCAGCTTTTAAGTAAATAATGACTTTATTTCTTTGCTGAATAATATTTGCTATTATTTGTTTGTCACTGTATTTATTCAAACTTTGATGAATATATAAAAGTAATGGTACTGATACTTAATTACTTCACCAAAAAAAGTACTGGTACTGCAGTACAGAGCTGAAATCTAGTACTGGTACTGGTAATGGTACTGCATAATTTGCCAAGTACTGGTACTGGTACTTAAGTACTACACCCTTAGTACTGATGCAGCTCTGGTTATGAGGAGTAGTCCGGACAAGTTTTGTGACGGACGGACGGACGGACAGACAGACAGACAGACAGACGGACAGACAGACGACGGAGAAGTGATCCCTATATGTCGCCACTACTCCGTAGAGGCGACACAAAAACTAAAATGTAAGGAACAATGTGAGCAAGAGTTTAAGAAAATGATTCTTAATGTTTGAAGGTGAAACAAGAAATTTCATAAAAAGGTATACTGTTAATCCAGTCAATATCCACTCTAGAGTTATATGGGTTTTGGATAGGAATCCTGAATCCAAGTAGAAATGGTCAGTAAACAGTTAAAAATAAAAGTAACTTGACATCAAATTGCCATAATTATGTTCAGTTTGGTATTTTACTATGAAAAAAAATAATCAAAAAACCAAATGCTAAAACAGGAAATTTTCTATAAATACCGTTCAGAAAGTATTCTAAAAAAAGAGTGGGGCTGCGATGCTTTTAAACTTGAGGTAGTTTTTATATTGTATAATACACATTTTTCATTATCAATTATTAGTCCAATCACGTTTTTAATAGCAAATCTTTAAAAATAATCATAATTCAACTCAACTTGACACTGTGAAAAAAATGAGCATAAGCTTGTAACTTCAAACATTTTCTTACCAATTAATTAAGTTTATTATTCTTTAATGTTAAACCATCTGCCTTGCAATTCATTCTTAAAACTGATTAACAATTTGTACCAACAAGGATAACCTGATAAATAATAAATCGGGCAATAAATTATTTATAGCCCAGGGAATGTAAATAGCTACAGTAATTGACCTTTAACCCTAATAGATCAATATAATCACTGATCTTATTGCTTTATGAGGAATGGTCATAAAATTACTCTTATCAATACGAAACTTAACATCTCTTTACTGATAAATTCAAAAGAAAATGTAATGTACATATATATACCATAATGTCTTACAATGGTATGTCTTATTATAATTAAGGAAGGACCACCCAATCTATTATCTACAAAATATGAAGAGAAACTTGGGTGTTCAGTTATTCTTTCTTTTTTAAATTAACAGAACAAGTAAACAAAATTATTGGTTAACCCTCAAGAATTTCTTTACATTTGAAAAGACAGAATAAACATTTATCTATCAAATTCCATTCTAAATGCAGGATTATCTAAATAAAAAAGGTCATGAATAAATATTAACAAAAGAATCTTGGATGAATTCCATCAAATAATATAGATATAGTCAATTAAAAGTGTATACAATGACTTAAGTTGTTGTTTTAAAACAGCTGTTTATATTTGGTTAAAATTCAATATTGTATTACAGATTTTAAAGCATTTTATCAATCTTAAAAATCTTAAAGATAAATCATGCATCAGGTCACTAACTTAAAAAAACAACATGCACCTGGTCACTTACTTAAAGATACAACATGCAGCCAGTCACCTACTTAAAGACACAACATGCAGCAGGTCACTAACTTAAAGATTCAGCAGGTCACTTGCTTAAAGATACAACATGCAGCAGGTCACTTACTTAAAGATACATCATGCAGCAGGTCACTAACTTAAAGATACATCATGCAGCTTGTCACTACCTTAAGATACATCATGCAGCTTGTCACTAACTTAAAGATACATCATGCAGCAGGTCACTTACTTAAAGATTCATCATGCAGCAAGTCATTTACTTAAAGATACTTAATGAGCAGGTCAGTTACTTAAAGATACAACATGCAGCAGGTCATTTACTTAAAGAAACATCATACAGCTTGTCAATAACTTAAAGATACATCATGCAGCAGATCACTTACTTAAAGATACAACATGCAGCAGGTCATTTACTTTATGATACATTATGTAGCAGATCACTTACTTAAAGATACATCATGCATCAGGTCACTAACTTAAAGATACATCATGCAGCTTTTCACTAATTTAAGGATACATCATGCAGCAGGTCACATACTTAAAGACACAACATGCAGCAGGTCACATACTTAAAGATATTTAATGAGCAGGTCAGTAACTTAAAGATACATCATGCAGCAGGTCACTTAATTAAAGATACATCATGCAGCAGGTCACTTAATTAAAGATATATCATGCAGCAGGTCACTAACTTAAGGGTACAACATGCTGCAGGTCACAAACTTAAATATACATCATGCATCAGGTCATTTAATGAGCAGGTCAGTTACTTAAAGATAAATCATGCAGCTTGTCACTTACTTAAAGATTCATCATGCAGCAGGTCACTAACTTAAAGATACTTAATGAGCAGGTCACTTACTTAAAGATACAACATGCAACAGGTCACTTACTTAAAGATACAGCATGAAGCAGGTCATTAACTTTATGGTACATTATGTAGCAGGTCATTTACTTAAAGATACATCATGCATCAGGCCACTAACTTAAAGATAAAACATGCAGCAGGTCACTTACTTAAAGTTTCAACACTAACTTAAATATACAACATGTAGCAGGTCACAAACTTAAAGATACATCATGCAGCAGGTCACTTACTTAAAGATACAACCTGCAGCAGTTCACTAACTTAAGGATACATCATGCAGCTATTTTCAGCCTGAATATAATTTTGACCCAAAATAAAATATAATATCAAATTTTCATTATCACATGTAGATGTATACAATAAAAGTAACCATCAACTCTAGCACAAATATTGAAACCATACACATTCTTTTTCATTTTCTTCTTGGGTTTTAAACCAAGACTATTGAAGTCCAAGCTCCACTTGGAAGAAATACCTTACATGAAAAGTTATTAACTAAATTGGGTATAAGTATGCACCTAAATAGACCCACCTGATTTGACTAACCTAGCTAGTGAACACTGCTTCCATATAAAGCAATATATTATTTAGTTAGAGTGATTTGATTGGAATTTCAGTTGGAAGTCAGTAACCTTTACTGACTTGATTGTCCATGGTTTTAATTTCATAATTATGAGTGCTAAACAAAATGAAGAAGTGCATGCTTCCTAAACCTTTGACCAAGTTTGTTAAAATAACAACATGTGCAAAATTTCCATTGAAGTCTTTCAATGGTTTCACCGTTTCAGCAATAGAAACTGTGCATAAGGCCATTATAACAAGGAATTTTCTGTTGTTCAGTGAAAAATCAATGCAATACTTAAGTTATTGGTCTTGGAAAGTGACCTATCATCGTGACCCCAGACATACATGTGTGAAGAAGCTTCAAGTGAATACATTTGATAAATCAGAAATGAAGCTGCACACCAAACCTTAAAACCATGTATTACATTAATTAGAAATTGAAGTAGGAAAGCCTGCCACATTCTCCCTATCCAAAACCTGTTACAAATACTCATATTGAGTCATATTTTTTATACTACCACCTTAGAACAAAAACAATACAGATAACCAGCCTATAATTGCAATCTTTCTATTTTCTATACTAGAAAAACTTTAATTGCCAGTTTTATAAAAGGGATTTATAAATACTAGGGCAGTCATTGATGGAAAAATTTGTACTGATATATCGAGAGACAAACATCGATGATATATGGTGTTATGCATGCTTGTATTATATATAGACAAATAGTAGTACAAACAGAAAGTTTGTTTTTCCTGTTATTCTTGTCAACATAGTTTAAAGTTCAAGTTAGTCAAGAAAGCTGGAAAGTGACTTTTCTTATTAGGTAAAATAGAGAGTTATATTCACTAACAGAAGTAAATAAATTTTAGCTTGTAATGTATTGATATTTGAAAGTCTGTATCGATATTGTATCGGATGATGAATATCGATTATAGTTCGATATTTCAATATTCAATAACAGCCCTAATTAATAAATACCACTATGAATTTCCATTCTGAATAACTATTTCTTGCACACAAATACAATGTAATTTATATAAAAAGAAAAACAAAGCCAGTATCTCTACCATATCATTGTGGCAAAAATTTCTGTCAAGGACTAAGAGGTTATGTTGACAAACTTCATTACTAATTATAACAGATATACTGGCATCTATTCTGATTATATTGATAGGTTATACATGTAAAACCCTTCTTCCATCTGAGTCATTAATATAGCTCTACACACTCGTGAAAGTACCTTACTATGGGCATACATGATGGTATCATAATGCTCTTTATGAAATACATTGCACCACAGTATGATAAACTAAGAATTTTTTATATACTTTAAAATGTCATTTTTCATGGAATAAATAGTTAATGCTATAAAGTTTTCTCAACTTTTCAATGAGGAAAATATATTTCCGTATCAAACAAAAAACAGATATTAAAATAAATAAAAAAATAAACACTATGTGTGACCCAGGTATGGCACTTTCACATTGTTTTTCTTACCCAATTGATCATCTTTCAGAAGCTCACATTTCTAGAACATTAATTTTCTTTTTATTTAAATTGTAAGATCTGATTTCATTAAATTTTCCCAGCTGTCTACACTTGATTCACCTGAATTTTCTGTGTAAATTGTATTTTAATGAAGTTTAAATGAACAGACACAATTATTTCTAGACTTTCTTATAATAGAAGGATATAGAACTTTAATTTGTATTAATTAATATAAAATGTACATTTGATATTCACGAATTCGAAAACCTAGCTAAACGCCGTTTTCCGGTACTTTCTGTACATAGCTCTGGGGAATTCACCCAATGGAGTGTAATAGCGAACTCGATGTTTTCGGCCTTTTTTTTAAATCAAATTGAAATAAAGTAATTATTTCTTTATAAGAAAATAATTAGATATCATTGTATGAATAATTCCATACAAAAAATAAAGTAAATACACAAGTTAACGCAGAAAATAACCTTATTTATTATGGAAGATTCCACTACGTCTGTTTGAATTTTATTGATTTTCATTATAAACAATTTATTTTTTTGAATAATTTGGAATAGATATTAAAGGAATATTGATAATTTTCAAAAACATCAATTTTTTCACCTTAAACGGTTAAATACTGATAGAAAAATCGAAATATCACGTAACTGTGTTATGTACTTCATTTGATGTAATTCCCCAGAGCTAAAACGGTAACGTACCGGAAAACGGTGTTTAGCTAGGTTTTCGAAAAGGTCAATACTTTATAATACATTATATTTATCAAATATTTCTGGCCGATTGGTACATTCTGTTAAAATTAACAAAATAAAGCAAAAATAACAACTGTGAGTTAATACATGTATGTGACATTTTTGTATGTGTATTCATGTCTCACCATTCTAACAAAATATAAGGTTCCTAATATTTAGTTCTACAATTAAACTAATTAGTAATATTTATCTAAAACTTTCCCGTATCTATAACAACCTACCATAATTAGTTTTCCACTTTGACAGCTATTTATGAAGAAAACAAACAGAGTTAAGTCCTATGTAAACATTTTCCTCAACATCAAACAGGCATGTGTAAAAATGTCCAATACTTTCAGACTAGAACTAGCACGTTTTAATTAACTTAATTAATTAATTCGGCTAAAAAACGTCTAGATCCAAAACTTATCTTTCACAAATTTTAAAGATATTACAATATTTCAGATAATGAAATGGTTAACCATAGCGATCAATCTAGTTCAATTGATGAATCGTCAGGAAAACAGTAAACTATGTACAAAACACATCCATGTTGTTTACAAGCTCCCAGCAGCGCACCGGTTTTGCTCTTCTGTTAATAATATTGCCTCCCACCGTGGATTTATTTAGCGCTTCATAACTTGTCAAAGAAAGGAGTTATTTTATAAGGATATGCTTGAAATCTTTACAACATAGTTTATGCATGTAATTAGGTCTAAAATTATGAGTTGTCATTCATCAAATGAATTAAATTTAATTTAAATGTGAATACTACCGTATGATAGTAACAGCTGTCAAATGTAGCTCTCGTACATCGCGAGAGCACGCGCTGTTATGGCGACGTTTACATTGTTTCAAAATGGCGACCACCTTAACTTTGTTATGAGTAAAGTATACAAAAATAAAATGATTGTTTAAACAAGATTCATATTGAGACAGATCTTTGAAACTGGTACTTTTTACATTATTTATATTTTCATGTCCAAATACTAAGTTTCTACTCAAAAAGGTATCCATTAATATAATAAATTCATTTTTAATTAAATGACAGGTGCTCCTTAATGAGATATATATTGATATTTTAATGAACAGAAATAAACAGATTTTTTTTCAGTGCATTAACCAGATTGTCCTTTAAAATGGTCAATATCTACAAAATTGTGTTACAAAGCACTATAAGAGCATGTATATCAAATGCCATGTTTTAAAGAGTGAGAACTGTACATGATAATAATAGCTAGAGGATTTGTCACAGTATAGATTCACTTATATGGGGAGAGAATGTGTAAGAACCTGGTATAGCCGGGTACCCTATTGTACGGGTCACAGATTGGAGTCTTGGTCGGTCTGCGCATGTTTGGGATGTGGGATGTGATTGTATTAATCTCTTGGGTCAAGTCACATTGTTCTCTGCTGCCATTTGTAAATCTTTTGGGAGTAAGTCACGGTAAAGAACTGTTCTTTGACTTACAAATTTGTAAGGAATGTGTAAGCAGCAAAATAGCTCAGCCATCCATAAAGCCTGCAGAACAGAACAGTATTCTGAGGGTCTGCGGTTTGAGTCCTGGTTCTTATTCTTCTTAATTCTCTCCATGCCAAGAGGCACATAAGGCATGGACATTAGCATGGACATTTGCCTTCCACATGTTGCGGTCTGAAGCCTCTCTGCGCACTGTGCTCCAAGAGTTCCATCCCACTTTTTTTCTTTCTACTGCCACAATTTGCTGCAGTGTTGTTCCCGCTTCCTTCTTCACTCAGTATTCTGAGGGTCTGCGGTTTGAGTCCTGGTAAGGCTACATATTTTTCACAAACGTTTTTGGTCACAGCTTTCAACATATGGTGCACAAATCTTGAAAAAATATTTCCAGTCCCCTCATGTTAAAAAACCTTTGTGAGTCCTTTTAATGCCTTCAGCGCTTTTTTCGCTAGTAAGGGAAAATGTCAATAGAAGGGAAAAAATACCTGGCAATAAATCTTTAAACTTTACAAACAATGCAGGATTATAATTCAAAATTCTAATGACCAGTTAACTGACATAATGTTCCTTTATGATACAATTGGAATTTGCACAGTAAATAATTTAAGAACAGAATCTGATGTTAAAAAAGTGAAAATGAATACACTTCAGGAAATGAATACACTGATTTTGACAAAAATTTCGTTATTCAAATAATTTTAATTTGTGGGTTTTTTTTTTAATTTTCTTAAGATAGGCTTTATAAACATTCAATTCATTGAAACAAAATATTCTGTACAATTTTACAGGTATGCTAGATACAGTCATGCCAACCTTGGAGGAGCGGGAAACCCTCATGAAACCCAAGGATGTACATCATCCAGGATTTCACCCAAAACCTATTCAGAGACTGGCTGTGCGAAAACCTCCTAGAACAATGCTGAATATTGAATGTAATCATTATCTACGTTCTTGTACAGAAGAATTTGCACATGGGCACCCAACTATGGAATATAAACTCTGGCTTGAAGCCGGTAAACATGGAGCTCCTTTCCCCCAAAGACCTGATGAAAATTTTAATTCAAATGTTTGGAGGAATTTCAGAAGGCAGTATGGATTTCATACAAATGCAGAGGGAAGTAAAATGTCCGATGTTATAGCTGCTATGTATCCCCTAAACATTCCTGCACCTTCAAAAGTTGGGGAACAAACATTTGAGAAGTATATTAGGGAGACAAAGTTATTCCGAAGTGATAAATATAAGTCATTAGCTATGTCAAGGACAAAGGCTGATGTTGAGGAGTTTAGAAAATTAAGGATAAAAAGCCAAGGAAGAAATCCACCAATTGATGAAGATGGTAAAACTATTTTCTGTAATCAACATAAAGTAACTTTTGAGTTTCAACACTTAATAAAGAACCTATTAACCATTAACCTGCTGAATTTTAATAATATTGCACTTTTCCAGCTTCCATTTTTGGAACTGTCCTAATTATCCATTTCTTAAAAAATATCAAGGTGAAAATTTTAAGTTAGTCTGAGCTTACAGTATAAAGCCAGGTAAGACTGCATGGAAGTGCAGACTGGCCTGCCTCTATACTGGTGGCAAACTGTCATCACTTTCAGTTCTAGCAGAGACATAGATAACAGAGATAGGCAACTTCCTAGCCAGTTAAAATATCACGCGTGCCTGCTAAACTTAAAACTTGTAGCAAGTAAAACTTATTAACCAGATATCAAAATCATTTAAATAGTACATTTTCTGAAAGGTTATGCATTCGTCTATGGCTGCAGGTAAAAATGTTTACAGTTCCCATTTAAATAAATGTTACATCAATTTTTAAAGAGAACTACTTAATAATTTTTGTTACAAAACTATTCATATGACAAAAAACTGGCTCAGTGGGTATGTTCTGCCATGTTTTTCTAAGTGAAAGGCATGGAAAGTTACCAATATTTTAACATGCAGCAATAGATAAAAGATTTACCTTTCAAATGGTATATAATATTAAAGGATCAAATGTACATCCATAAAGTTTTATTTGCTACAAAATGCCTAATTTTTCACTTTTTGATAGGCATGAGTGATATTTCACTGGAGTATATAGGAGCTGCTTATCTCTGTTATCTATGTCTCTGGTTCTAGCAGGGAAGAGTGAATCTAATTTTTTTAACTTTTGTTACGTGAAAGTGAAGCCATTTTTGTCAAATATTTATAATAGCACAGAACATGTTTATGTCACTGCTGTATTTATCTGCTGGAAATCACAAATTTATTTTGGAATTTCGGTTTTCATTTTTTCATTTGGGAAATGGCCAATATATTTGGTATTTTTGATAAATATATATACATGTATGTGAAAAAAATCAAGGCTGTTTAAAAACTGCATTAAACGAATTGAGTTTTGTTACCAATTTTTATGGTAATAATATCTTTTCTTTTTTCTAGGTAAAATATTGCCGCCAGAGAACTTTAAAAAGTACGAGCACAGATTTATACCACCACCAGAGGTCCCACCAACTCCGCCTCCACCGAACCAAAAAACTGATTCTCTTGGTCAAAGATACGTTCCTAAATCCAAACCACATCTTTGGAAGCTTTCTTATAAACTGAACAATCCTGAATACAATGCTGTGAAAAAAGAGATCCAAAAGAGGAAAGAAATTAAAGAGCGTCAAAAAGAGAGAGATCACCTAAGCCCCGGTCATCAGATCCAGCTGGTCACGCCCTCTCCAATAAACCCACCCACCACGCACAGATGAAGAGCTTCTTTAATTTTTTAATTGTTATGAAGTTATTATTGATTTTAATAGTTTAAAACCAACTGTGCCTGCTCAGTTTGGATCAACTTATCTTTACTAGCAACCAAAATGTCAGTCTATAAAATTGTATTCTTTAACAAAATCAACAGCTTGTCTGAAAATTCTTTACATACATCTTTCCTCTAAGCTTTTGTTTCAAGTTTGTGCAAGAAGCTATATTATTGTCACTCAGTTATTTACTAACTGAACTTTTTCACAATTTGACACATTTCTATATCATAAAGCACCGTGAATATTTTATGGTCTATTCTTTGCAGTCATCAAAAAAGAAGTTTTTCTTTTTTAAAGTCTGTTAAGTTATTAAAACAAATATGTTATTTAATTAAGTCAGAAGAATATATTCTTACTTTTGCATTTAAGTGTTCATAATGTTTTATTATCCCACAGTAATGCAAAATCTTTTTTTTCTTAAATGCAACTTATCTGATGCCTTGATAAAAAGAATTTAAAAGATATACATATATCTTATATTCTAGAAGTTAAATAAATGAAATTTACATCTTACTACTTTAGTGACTTTACTGTTAAGTCAGTGAAATCATGGTGCTGAAATTTTTATCCACAGGGATATAGCTTCATTATATTATATAAAGTATATTTATATACCATATTGTTTCTATTTAAAACCCCAGCACACTTTTTTTCAAAAGTGGATGCTTATTTATAATAAGGAGCTATGAAATTGTGCTGTAAAATATGTTTAATTTCAATTTATTAGTTATGACTTTAAATTAAATGGGGTTTATTTTTTTGTTCTAATTATTATTTGTTCTTTCACTTTACTGTGAAAAGAAATATTCATCTGTAAAATTATGGAAGGGGCACTTTTTAATTGGATTAATTGGAGCATTAATTGGAGACAATACAGTATTTATTCACAAAAAAAGAATTAAAGGCTGTTCAAGTGTTGCCAGTTGATATTCTTTTACAAATCAAATTTAAAATGTGAAAGAAGAATTATTGTTTTACAAAAAACAGATAAATAAATTACTCTACTTTCTTGAAGTGATAGATATTTACCGAAAATCAGTATTTTCTAGTATTACTTCTGAAGCTACATGTACATGTATATTTGGTAATACACTAACTTTTATGTTCAAATTCATGCTTTTTATGTATGTCATGCTTTTTGATTTTGCTTTTTTCAACCTTTACCATTTGTGGTCGCTTGACTTTAAAAAGGTGTCAAATAATGTCCAATATTGTATTAACTAGATTATCCAGAATGTAGATTATCTGTAGTACTTTAAGTCCATCACAATTATCTTTATAATTGAAGCTTTATGTACTTATTAAAGTAACAAACTAAAATGCATAGTTAAAAATATAGGCTGGCATTAGCTGTTATGATTTTCTTTTTTATACTAACTTAAGCAAGAACTTGATTATCATTTTATTTTACTAATTTGAATCATGTTATATAATTCTCTCAAATTTAATTATCCTCAAATTTGTTTATGTTAAAAGCTATTTTGTGCTTATGTTACTATAGTATTAAACTAAAGTGTTGTAACTTTTAAATTAAGAATTTTCTGAATTCCAAAAAACATTCTTGAATTGATTGTGAAATGAAAACATCATTCATTTCTGACTTTGAAACTTTGGTTAATATGAATACAGAGTGTGCCAACAGCATTGTTGATGTTTAGTGCATTATGGTGTTTGAATGAAGTATTTTGAGCTTTTTTTAATCATCCTTTTCACTCTAAGTGGATGTTTAAGCGCCTTTTATATCTGTGATATTTATTGTTATGTTTGTGATCATGTTCCAGTGTTGTATTTAGTACTTTTATACCAGTCTGCAAAAGCAGCTCCCCCATTGGTCAATTTCAAATTTTGAATTCAAACCAACCAATGACATGTGGAGATTTGAGACTGATCCAAGAAATTATAGCTCTGTTCTTTGTGTTCTCTGTTATATAGAATATTACATAGATTTATGTTGTCTTGATATAGATGTTTTGAATGCATCATATTTTGTGTATTTAATATGTTTTCTATAAAGTTTTATTTCTGAAATGCATAACTCTTTATTTGTTTTTATTTCAACCTGAAGCACTAAAATTATTTCTATAATCAACAATTTTTTAACAATTTCATGAAGATATATAAATCAGTAAAGTCATGCTTTTAGTTACCAGTTTTTGACACCTACAATTATGATCTCAATGACAAAGTAAACAAAGGGGTATAATTCAGACCAAATCCATGGCAGCCCTCTACAAAGGGGTATAATTCAGGACATCAATATGATCCCCACCCAAGTGCAGGCACAAACTTTTTTTTTAAATGTTGCATCGACACTAACTCCTATACTTGTTTCAGCGGGATAGCCCAACTTATCATTCTTTCAATAGGCAGGCTAAAAATTGTTGTTTTAACAATCTATTTTAATATGCACCTACATAGAATGTTCAGAGTGCATTAGTTTTATTTTCAAAATTGTTTAAGTGTTGAAGGAAATAAGAACTTTTTTTATTCAACTTTATTTGTACATGCCTTCAATGTTAAGCACGTTATTTTAAAGGAACTACATTTAAAAAGACATTAATCCCGGTGAATTTACAGTTTCGTAAAAGATCACTTTAACATACTTGAATGTCGTATACACACTTATAATAACACTACAAACAAATGTTTAACTTTAAATGTTATTGAAATAAAACCCTGATTTTTTCATACCTAAAATGTCCTCAATTACTGAAAATGAAATATGGCCCAGATATCTTCAGAAGTTGTCAATCTCTTACATTAAGCCTTTGTGTTGATTTTATACCCGTTGAGTTTAACTAGCTCTTAGAATGGTATTATAATGGCATTAGATATATCATGCACACCTAGAAACAGTTAACTCCAATCACACTGGCTTACATTCTATTTTATTTTTTAAATTAGTTCGTTTTTTACACCCCTGCTTAAGGCTTGAACTAGCAACCTCTGGATTACTTATCAAATGCTCTCCCTTTTGGGCAAACTTGGCCAAGTCTTAGTGAGGAACAAACAACAAAAGACTGCTTCTTCAAAAAAGACCAGCTAATGACAATTTCAGATATAAAATATGCACAAATAAAGTCAAATTCATAGTGGTACATTGTATTTAATACAAAGACGCATTTAAAAATCTATGTTAAAATATTTAAAATTATCGAAATTGATACAGGAATGTATTACTAAGAATGTCACAAATAAAAGAGTACAAAGTCATATCAATACATGATCATCAAACTGAAAAAAAGACAAACTTTGATTTCTGACTAGAAATTTCTTATGCTTGAACTATCTTAAGCCAGCTAGCAGGATGATTTCCTAACATGAACATATTCAAGATTCTAGACAAAAATCAAGCATAATAGAGGTATTTGGTATGTGATTTACTGTCAGCTATCTCCAGCACTTGGACTTCTGAATAAATTTACATTTGTCATGATTCTTATCCCTCCAATACTTAGGCCTACAATAATGAATACATGTACTTAAAGGCCTTCCCCCAAATAACTTACATTTTACATGATTCTAATCCCTACTGACAATACTAAGGCCTACAATACATGTTCATAAAGGATATAAATCTATATTGCACTGTATGTTGTTTTTCTGGTTTTTTGTTGTTGTTGTTGTTTTCGGTTGGGTTTTACAAACACAGTACATGTATTGGTCATATGGCAACTTTCCAGCTTTACGAATGGAGGAAAACTGCAGGTGCCCCTTAGGCACAAAAGGGCATCTGAGTAGAACCATCAGTATTTCGTAAGCTAGCTGGATAGCTTTTTCACATATAGAATCTGACGACACTTGCCTCATTTTGACCTACAGTGGTGAGAGGCAAGTGGTTTGAAGTCAACGACCATAACCGCTTGACCATGGACGCCCCTGCACTGTATGTAATGGTTAGAATATTGTTTTCATCTTAAGAAATAAGAATCATCTTAAAGTACCATCAATTTCTAATGTAACAGGTAGTGCATGCTCAAAATATTTGCTATATCTAAAAATAGCAGCTGAATATTTTGTTAGATGACATTCTATCCTCTTTTATCACATAATTCATGCATGTTAAATAACTTTGAGTTAAAACTCTCTAGACCATTAGAGTATATAAAACAATGTGACTGTTTAGTTTTTAAAATACATTGTACATGTAATAGTAATATACTTGCATTTTGTCAGTTACAGAATGAACACTAATTAAAGTTTATCAGAGCTCAAAACCATTATTTAAATATGGCTGAATGTGATTCACGGCTAAATACCAAAGCCAGATCTAATAAACTGGTATTGTTTCTACCTTATGGAGCTTTAATCATGATCAAGTCCTATGTTACATTGGCACTTGATTCTATAAATTCAATGCATTTTTTCAACCATTTCACAGAATGAAGAAACTCTGGTATTGGGTAAATCTCACTAATATCTCTTAAAAATGGTAGCATTTTTTTGTATCTTGACAAAACATCAAAACCACAGGTATGTTGAAGTTTACGTAAGCAGACGGGACACAAGAATATCGGCTGTGAGGCTGCTTCCTGCATGCTATTACTCTCGTTCATCGCACACTGAAAATACCAGCAGTGTTGAAGGCCAAACAAATGACATGTTTCATGGGTAAGTACCTGGAAAAAGAAAAAAAAAGATTATAAAAAAAAGATTATATATTTATGCTGCTTGTTAATCAGTCATTACCATATGAAAGGCAGTTAACAATGTTATGACTCCAAGAAATGAAACAGGGCGCAAGACAACAAATGGACACTACATGTACTTTAAAAAGGAAAATGTATTGGCATTCAGATACAGACCATAGAACAAAACATAATCTCCCATACAATACATAATATTATGAAATAGTAATAATATACTTGTATCAATTCTTAACTTTTAACTCCAATATAATACATAATATTTTAAAACAGTAATAATCTAATTATTGCAACTCCTTCATATACTTTCAAAAATAGTAGAGATCGGGAAACACTGTGGGAATTTTTATATTACGCATAATGAGATATAATACAATAGGAAATGAAAATTTACTTAACCTTTAATATTCTCCACATAAGTTTTCCGTTTATTTCTGTGATGTCTCTATGTGTATCGGGATCATAAAACTTTGGTTCATATCGTCCGAAACAGAAAATACCCGACATCGTACCATAGTTGGCTTCACCTAACACAAAATTTAACTTTTCAGTTGGGTACAAATCTGTCCATGATATACCCATAATGCATCTACCATCAGATGGCATACTCTTTTGTAAACTCTTATAAAAATCCTGCACAAAATACTGTTTCTTTTGAGTTTTATGATGAAGTCTACTTTTTATCTTCCATTTTGATTGCATAACATCTATATTTGGTAATAAATTAACAGTCATTCCTTCAAAATATATATCCATCATTGCTTTCAGTAATCCAAAGAAATCAAAAGAACCGCCATAACTGTTTATGTTAAATTCAGCTTCTGTTATAAAACTTGGAAAACTGTCAACAGGCTGTATATAAATTTTTCTTTTCTCTCCCTGACAGCACATTAATGGAAGCAGAATACTAAAATCTGTAAAGGATTTCCATTGGGAGAATGTCTGAGAAAAATAATAAGGTTTATTAGTGACTAGCAAGTAAAATAAACTTATAACATCGTTGAGATTCTCATTATCTGAAGTCTCAAGGTCAATTGCATTACAAGACACATCTACACTATTTATGGTCACATGACTTTCGGCACATTTCTTTTGCTCAATTTCATCAGATTTTTTCTCATCAAGTGCTACAATTTTTATACTAAGATCTGGAGAAACTGTTCCAATTTTTTCATTTTTCAGATCAAGCACATACTTGCTGAGGTTAAAGAGCTTTTGTTCCTGTTCCGGTAATGTGGACAAATCCCCTATCAGAAGTCTATGTGTATGAGGTAGGGAGAACGCACTTCCCATTACTTATCTGAAATATAAATCAATGAAGATATTCAAGATAAAATAAGAAATATAACTAGTAAGTGATGCATGGGATATAAGATAAGATTTATATAACTTGTCACAGCACTAGTGCATGAAATATTGTCTACCTGAGTGAGTAGAACCATCATAAAGGAAGGAAACAAAACAACACTATAAAAGTGATAATACATGATTGTATATGTAATGGAACAACTTGAAAACTACAAATGTGTAATCATGCCATGAATGCCCCTGCATGCAGCCAAAACATTTTTTTCATTCTAAGTTCAAGGCCCTTAAACTATTCAATGTTAACACATTCCGATTTTATACAAAGTTTAAGGCCCTGAAACTATTCAGTGTTAACCTTTTGCATATTGCATATTTGTAGCCGAGATCAGTGGCGTAGCGCAGCCAAAAGTAATTATACGCCTTGGGGTGGGTTAAGGGAGGGGTGGCCCCCTCCCTTTGTAAATGGTAGGGGGTTCGGGGGTCTTCCCCCGAGAAAATTCGGATCTATAGATGCAAAATAACGCAATCTGGAGACATTTGACAATATATTTAATTCCCTTCTTTTCTAATAAAATAGTGGATATTGAAAGAGTGTAAGTTTAATACTAAATTTATTAAATGAGTTGAATAAAATTATATATTATGTGAGCCTCTTGCGTGTTAAGGGAGAAGATGGCCCCCTCCTTTGGTAAATGGTACGGGGGTTCGGGGGTCTTCCCCCGAGGAAATTCGGATTTATAGATGCAAAATAACGCAATCTTGAGACATTTGACAATATATTTAATTCCCTTCTTATCTAATAAATAGTGGATATTGAAAGAGTGTAAGTTTAATACTAATTTATTAAATGAGTTGAATAAAATGTAATATTATGTGAGCCTCTGACGGGTTAAGGGGGGTGGTGGCCCCCTCCCTTTGTAAATGGTAGGGGGTTGAGACATTTGACAATATATTTAATTCCCTTCTTATCTAATAAATAGTGGATATTGAAAGAGTGTAAGTTTAATACTAATTTATTAAATGAGTTGAATAAAATGTAATATTATGTGAGCCTCTGACGGGTTAAGGGGGGTGGTGGCCCCCTCCCTTTGTAAATGGTAGGGGGTTCGGGGGTCTTCCCCCGAGAAAATTTGAATTTATAGATGCAAAATAACGCAATCTGGAGACATTTGACAATATATTTAATTCCCTTCTTATCTTACTAATAAAAGATATTGAAAGAGTGTATAAGTTTAATACTGAATTTATTTAGCGAGTTGAATAAAATGATATTTTGTGAGCCTCTGGTGAGCATAATATCATTTTATTCAACTCGTTCAATAAATTTAGTAATAAACAAATAAACAATAAAACAAAGACCGTTTGAAGTGATAAAGAAACATTTTTCATTGAAGCGCCTATAGTATAACTCTAACATTTAGCGCGTCTTAGCGTTATGTTTATGTAACGCAAATGATGTCTTGTCAAAATATAATTATGCCAGTGCAATAACATTTTTGCGGAGTCGCAAAATCGCCACGGTGATAAATTTCATGATGATATCTATGCCGAGATGGTTTTTCTCTGAAGACAAATGCAAGGTGTTGTTGTTTTCTTGCAGCAAATTTATCAACTATATACTCAGAGTAAATTTTCATGTCTCTGTAAATATTCATTAGGCCAAGTCCAAACAGCCGTTCTCTAGTCATGGTAGATCTCTTCATGGTGCTGAATGATAGTTAGACACTGGCATAGTGAGCAGTACTAACAAACAACAACGGACTTTGGGATAGTACTGCTCATTAGCCAGTGGTAATGTTCCTAGAAGTGTATCAGGAGCTTGTGGACGGTCCAACTCAAGTGCCCTGTCTGTCCACCATTTAACCCACTTCCTCACTAATGACTCGTTTCCCTGGTAAAGTCCGTACGCCCTATACAACGTTTAAAAATGACTCTTTATTTCAGTTTTATTATAGATCTAGTTAAAAAAATAAAATAGAATAATAGTTGATGTAATTTGATAGAAAAAATACATTTGATAAGATTTAATGACAAATTGCATTATTTTACCTACTTTAAATTTCTTGATCTGCATAAACTTACCTCGATTTAAATGCATATTTATTGACATCGGGCCAATCTGACTTTAATAAAGTGACTTTCTGTCCATCGTTTAAAACGGTGTAGTCTACGTAAGAAGGCTCATGTTCTTCGGACGTTTTACATTGGGACGCCATTTGAATTTTCCCGCTAGTATAACTTCTTATATGTAAACAACATTCGGAATACAATATGATTCGACGATAAGATACTATAAAGTCAATACGCATGACACTGTCTTACTTAAAATAGTACTAGCTGTTCTACACTTGCAACAAAAATACCGATACACTATTTAAATCGCTTAATAACAATTTTTTTTGTCAGCAAATCCTTTTTTCTCCGTCAAAACTCACGGCGATGCCTAACACGGGTTAGGGTACTGATTTGGACAACTGTTTTCAACATTTAAGACTTTTTGATTTTTTGAAATTCATTTTCGTTTAGTACGCCTACGGCGTACTGGCGTATGCCCGGCTACGCTACTGGAGATAATGATTAGAAATTGGGAACTTTTAAATCTTTTCCCAGTTCAAGGGGGATAACTGTCAAAGAACATCTGACCATGACCAAATTAGAACTTGACCTGTATTTTCTGGTAAAATACCAGCACATGGATGTTAACCTCAGACATAATTTCTACAAAAGTTAAAGCAGAAAAAAAAAATCATAATTTTCTAAGTTCAAGAAGGATAACTCTGTCAACAATCATTGGACCAAAACCAAATTCGGTCTTGACTTGTATTGTCTGGTTTAAAAACCTGCATGTGCCATTTCAACCTTACACACACATTTCTACAAAAGTCAGTGCGGAAAATGAAATTTTCAAATTTTTTCCAACGTTCAAGAGAGATAACTTTGTCTAAAATCATCGACCCACGACCACATTCAAACTTTACCTGCTTATTTCTAAGCTGTATCTGTATGTCAAATTTGAGTTGAAAATTTGAATTGAATGTGTACAACTGTTCGGAAGATAATGAACGGGACCTAAATTTCGTATTTATTTCAAGAGGGATAACTCTGTCAGAAATCATCAAACCATTGCCAAATTGAACTTGATCTGCATATTCCTATGGCATATCCATATCTTAAATTTGAGTTGAATGTGTACAACTGTTTGGGAGATAATGATTGGAAACTGAAAAATTCACATTTTTTCTCAGACTTGACCTACAAATTCTCATGACATATCCATATTTTAAATCTGAATTGAATGTGAACAACAGTTAACTGCTGGGTAGATATTGAACTGAAAACATTTTTTTTCAAAGTTAAAGGGGCATTACTCTGCCAAAAATCATTCGTAACAAAGACCAAATTGAACTTAACCTGTCCATTCCTTTGACATTTTCATATGTCAAATTTGAGTTGAATACATACAACTGATGGGGAGATTATAAATGGAAACTGAAAAAAATTCTTCAAGGGGCATAAATCTGTCAAAAATCATCAGACCATAGCAAAATTCGGACTTGACCTGTAATTTCTTATGATATATATGTCAAATTTGTGCAATTGGTGCCAAGATAATGAATGGAAACTGATAATGACAGGGGCAAAAAAAACCAAGTAAAAACGGTTATGTTTAAAAAAAAAATTCTTAAAAATTTAATGTTTGATTTTTTGAGCTGCTGTTTTGTTTTTTTTTGTTCTTTTTTTTTTTTCTTTTCTTTTTTTTTCTTTGTGAAAAAAGTGGCTATTTAGGAAAGGGAATGGGGCCTCATTTGGGCCCCTGCCTGGTAATGTCAAACCAATTGTGGGGACTAAGACATGACTGTACACAATAGAATCCAGGAACCAGTCCCTAGCTCTTATTGAATAGACCTCTAATTGGTTCCTTTACATGCCCAGTGTTTAGCATTTATACATGCGAGGATAACCTGGATTTCTCAATTACCAGTACATATCAGGTAGGTGAGACACTCAAAATGTCTTTAAAAAAATCCCAAGAGTGTTAACCATGATCGAACCTGGGACCTCAGGAATGTCAGACATTTCACTCCCAAGACATTTCTCTATTGAGACGTTTCACTCCCAAGACGGTTCACAGTTGGACGTTTCACTCCCAATTTGTCAATTGTATGGACGTTTCACTCCCATTTTTTTAAGATATTTTTTAGGAAAGTTAACAAACTTATTTCCATTTTTCAAGAGCCATATCAGGATTGATTATGTATTGATGTATGTTTTACTGTTGTAGATAAGCAATTAAAGTTTTGTAATATACATTTTTTTATTTTTGTTGCATTGAAAAATGGTTTAATAGGTGAATATTAAAGATATGTTTGATTATTCAAATAAAACACACAATTGTTAAAAAAGAATTCATACTTATATAAACTATAATATAAACTATACAATGCTCATCCTTGAGAATAATATTTTCATTAGTACTTTCATAAAAAATAATTCACATGGAAATAATGTCATTAACTTGATATCAATTATTTTTATGAAAAAAAAATAGTTAAAATGATAAAACAAATCAATCATATATTAATATAAAATTTAAATATTTGTTAACAGTTATTTCATGTAAGTCTCAAAAGATGTGTATAAAATTAATTATTCTTTTGGATTATTTCTTTATCAATTTATTAAACAGTAGCCATTAAACAAACGTATGTAATTGTGGTTTTAACAGTAATCTCATCACCTAATTAGTTGTATAAACGCTGAGACCAACAACTAACAGTTTGACATCACCATTAAATCAGTTGTATATTATTATTAACACTACACTTTAGCATCAACAGTTTACTAATCAGTTGTTTATTGGACCATTAAATAGTTTTTAGATAACATCCAATTAAAACAAAAGTCTTGGAAACAGAAACTTCTCCATTATAAGATTTGTTTATATAACAAATTAAAATAATATTCAATCTGATATATAAATAAATTATTTTTATTTTAGTCTTAGAAAAATGTTGGTATAAAAAGGGAGTGAAATAGTGAAACGTCTGTCTACCGACCTCAGGATGACAGTCAGTGGTATTACCAACTGAGCTTTCGTGCCACCACAATCAGGCAATATTGGGTGAAAATGTCCTGTTGGACCAATATGTTGATGTGCGGCCGAATTGATTTGCATCAAGCCTAACAAGGGACATAGATAACTTGGATCCAAGGTATATATATAAAAGGAAAGATGTCAGAGTGTAGATAACATCCAGCTACACTAGACCAGGGCTTTATACTGGTGCCTCATATTTCCAAGGTACCCATATTTCCAAGGTATATGGCTTAAACAGTTTAAAGTGCCTCCTAGACTTAATGAACCTGCCAGTAGTTTTACTTTTACTATTTCATTGTATTTTTATCGAAATGCAACATATAGAACTAAAAAAAAAATTATTTTATTCAGATTAAGAGCAAAGTTATTTAATATTTCACCATTTTTCTTTTAGATTTCATACCTTTTAAAAAAATCTTCTTTCTTAAAGAACCATTGAGGTATTTGATAAATGCCAAAGAGAAAATCGCCCCTTACAGATGAGCCTAGGTATAGGTGTACAAATAAATAAAGTTTACTATTGGTTTTGCTTTTGAAACTGTTAAAATGTAATTGCCTTGGAAATATGAGAACACAAATTTACTCACTAGGCTGCAGATGGGTGTTAATTACAATGTTGTATACATAATTGCTTACATGCAAACATTAAATGGAATAAACTATGATGCAATTGACATGTCTATCCTACAATATTCACTTTGTTTTCCAGAATTTTATCCGCTTAACTTTTGTTGTCTGTGTTAAACAGTTAAGTACCACGGAAATATGAGGCACCAGTATACCAGCCTATAAAAAATTAATTTAAAGGAAAGCTATCAGAGTATAACAAACATTTCAAGCTTTTATACAAGTTCTAATCATAATAGGAAACATCAGAGTAATTAGAAATTATGATGTCAAGTTAAAAATACTAGTGAAAACCTTTAAAATCCACTCTTTATCTAGATTTCCTGATTGTCAAGTATTTTTGGTTGTTGTTGTTGTTGTTGTTGAAGCGTCTTCTAATTTTGGACGAAATTATTTTTGAAGCCTGGAAAACATTTTTAATTGTTTATTTTTTCTTGCCTTATGGAATATCCTATATTTATCATAAAACATTTAAGAAGTTTCAGAATAACTTAAATTATCTAAAGAAGTAAGAAATCAAAATTTTTAATGAAAATCTAAAAATTATTTTCGTCAGATTAAACAACTTGGATACAATATGGCGGAAAATGTAAACATGTTTGGGTCATGTTTGAAATGTTGGTCACAATTATCATTTGCAATAATATAAGTGCATTTTCATCTATCTTGTGAGACTTGAATTGGAAATTAATTATCAATGCTCGCAAAGTAAAGGTAATATTACTGTGCGTTAGTTCTTAAAACAGGTGCTTGTCTGTATCTATTTCTCTTGTAACACAATTTATCAGTTTATCATTATGTGTGTACTATGTTAAATGTACTAAAGAAACAACCTTGATTCAGTTGATATCATATCTTTTTGCTTGATTTTAATGAAATACATCCATACCGACTAATGTCATTCTACTGACTACAGGAACTTGAAAAGTTTAAATTAAGTTACCTGATTAATGCACAGGGACATAGTCTCAATATTTCCACTGCAAGACAGAGCGATTTTATAATCTGAAATTTCATAGATGTCTGTCTTTGCGAAGGGCGACCATCGTTTATACATTGTATAATAAAAAGCCCTAAAGCGCAAGATTTGTTGGGCTACACAGGGACCCATCAAATTGTTGGGATAGTGTAAACAAGTTATTCTAGAAAAAAAATATATATAATACTGTATATATATATTTTTTTCTAGAATTACTTTTTTACACTATCCCAACACTTAGCTGGGTACCTGTGCATGAATTTTTAATAAGTCTGTTTCTAATAGGGGATAGGTGGTTCCAGTGGTATACCGTCATAGGAAAAAATGAGAATTTATAATAGTCTGAAGTTGCTTTGAATAACCTATAACATAAGGGATGGCCATGGTGTGATATTCGGGACAGGGGTGTCAAATATTCTTCTAAAGGGCTAGCAACCAGACCATGGTGAATCTTATAGAGAAGGGATAACCTAGCATCTATACGTCTGAGTTCCAGTTTTCGAAGGGATGGCCATGGTGTGATATTCGGGACAGGGGTGTCAAATATTCTTCTATAGGGATAGCAACCAGACCAGTTTTCGACGGTTTAGGGAGTGAAGCATGTCAGTGATGCTAGAGGTCTGACCATAGTCTAGCTTTATCCTTCGGGCTGCTCTTCTTTGGACATTTTCAATTTGATCTATTTGAGTTTTGGTGTGGGGAGACCATACTTTGAAACCATATTCAATATGTGTATTTCAGAAGTAAAACTTGTATATACTACAGTTAAGAAAATGAAATGAACCTCATGTATACACCTGGTTGGTTATGTATACTCCAGATAGCCCTAAAAATACCCTATCCCTATTTTTAAGGGAGCAAGACACTTTACCCAAGACTCTTCACCCCCAGACACTTCACTCCTCAAATTTGGAGACACTTCACCACTCAAGACACTTCACCCCCAAAATCAGTAAACACTTCACCTCTCATTATTGTGAGATGGCATGTCATAGTACAATGCTATGAGGGATTAAGTAAAAGTACTTGCAGTCTGAGGAAATCTATATTTGATGTAAAGATCAACTAGAAGATTCATCATTCTGTTCAGTAACTTGATAGTCCCAAGCCAATGAGTAAAAATATTACAAAGATATTGGACTTATTAATAGAATCAACTGCTTGATGGGCAGTGTTATCAAGTCATAGGTGAACTTCTCCAAAAAGGAAGGCTTAATTCTTTTGGCTGATCATATTGTCAATGTGCCATAGGAAAAATCACAAATAGTATCTTTTTCTAAAAATAAAATGATACTCCTACTTCATGTCAGTGTTGTTTTGGAGACGTCTGTGGCCGAGTTGTTAAGGTCATTGACTTCAAATCACCTGCCCCTCAGGGCCAGCAAAATCAATTGTCTGTATTGCCCAGGTTGTCCCACAGCCTGTGCGGACAAGTGAAAATTTTCAAGAATAAACTATGTAAATATCATACGGACAAGTTAAAAAATGCTTCACATAAAAACGGATAAATCAGATTTTGCCGGCCCTGCCCCTCATCGCTGTGGGTTCGAATCCCTACAGGGACTTTGGATTCTTTCATTTGAGGAAAGTATCCAGCTAGCTTACGAAATATCAGTGGTTCTACTCAGGTGCCCGTTTGTGACTGAAATAATGCATGGATTAGGGCCCCTGAGATCTTCCTCCACCAGAAAAGCTGGAACATCGCCATATGACCTATAATTTGTCAGTGTGATGTAAACCCAATCAAACAGTGTTGTTTTGTTACTGAGTTGCCCTTACTCATTGTTGTTCCGTTTCTTAGTTACCCCTTCTTTGTCTTGCTTACAAGAGAAATGCATAGACAGTGAATATCATGCATTTTTCCAATTTGTTGTAAATATATATCAATGTTAGATATTTATATCTATTAAGCCTGTATAATTCTGGGACTAGCATAGAAAACTTCTATAATTTGTTATCAAATTGGAATGACAAAACTCTTTGAAAGTGATCTACATAATTATTATGTCTATCATCTAATTGAATGTATTAAAAGTTAGTAGATAATGACATATAAATATTACTAATATACATGTACATGTATTGACATAACCATTTACAGTGTTTTTTTCTGTATATAACTACTACCCTAAAAGGGTACTGTTCCCAATAGAAAATAGACATTAAAATTCCAAATTTCTAATGTTTTAAATTCCCAAAATGGCTGGTCAAAATTCCCACAAGGCCAAGTGATTTCTCTAAAATCATTTAAATTCAACATATTCATATAAATCACCACTCAATAGTTATACCTGGATAGTGGAAGCTTTTAGCTATCTTATTCATGATGACTAATCTTATTTGTAGCTGAAAAATGCATAAAATAAATTTTCCCAATTTAAGTCAAAATAACACATTTTTTCCCAATCAGTCTGGTACCGGCACTTTTCCCAAAGTAGAGAAAAAACCGCTGATTTATAATGCTGTTTTTATTGTTAGATATATATTTTGGGCCGGAGGTTTTTAATTATGAAAGAAATAGTTGAGTTGAGTTGTCTCAAGTATTGTTCTGTTCCTTAGTAGTTCCTTCTTCATCTAAGTTAGTGTTTTTCTGTTCCTTAGTTGTTGTTCCTTCTTCATCTAAGTTAGTGTTTTTTCTGTTCCTTAGTGTTCCTTCTTCATCTAAGTTAGTGTTGTTCTGTTCCTTAATAGTTCCTTCGTCATCTAAGTTAGTGTTTTTCTGTTCCTTAGTTGTTCCTTCTTCATCTAAGTTAGTGTTTTTCTGTTCCTTAGTTGTTTCTTTTTCATCTAAGTTAGTGTTTTTCTGTTCCTTAGTTGTTTCTTCTTCATCTAAGTTAGTGTTTTTCTGTTCCTTAGTTGTTCCTTCTTCATCTAAGTTAGTGTTTTTCTGTTCCATAGTTGCTCCTAATTCATCTCAGTACTGTTTTGCTGTAGAGTTTTCTCTACCTAATTTCAGTGTTGTTTTACATCTTATCTCAATAAATTTCTGGTTCTGAGTTGCCCCTACTTGATCAGTCCTGCAAGGTCATTGATTTCAATACAAGTAAATTCATGAGAGATTATGAGATATTATGCTCTTTCCATGCTTGTTCTCTCATGAACAGACTTTACATCCAACTACATGTACAATATTAAAGGCTGTCTTTTTGTCTGTCTGCCAATCAAATGAAATATGGACTCTGCCTGAACTCAAAGAGAACAAAAGCTAGGTTGTTGGTACTTACATGTAGTGTATGGATAGATCATGGATGAATTAATGATGATTAGCTCATAGATGATAGTGGACCATTTGGTGGTTATGCTTATCACTTTAATTTGTTTCACCTGTCCTTCCATCTGTCTGTCTGTCATTCTAATCAGCATCCTGTAGGTGCTCAAAAAGTATAAAAGCTAGGTTTATATTAAGGGCCATATGGAAATTATGTTCTCATCATTTTAATTTTTCAATCAACCTGTCTGTCTGTCATTCTGCCCATTCAAAGCAATTGGCTTTGCAATTCAGCAGTAACTCAAAAAGTGCTAAAAAAGCTTAATATTGATGATACTTGGTTACATACAGATTGTGGACCTCATGGAGATTTATTAATTTCATGGCATATTGTTGTTTTTATCATTGAAAAATTTTGGTTGTTATGGTAACAGAAATTGTAAAAAAAACATAACTTGCATCCTGCAAATTCTAAAAAAGTTCTCATTAAAAATTTAATGCTTTCATGTAAAAAAATGTTGATTTTCTTAAAATTGCATAAGCATAAGTTCCTTCTAGTTATGTTTTGACTCTTAAAAAAATCAGACCAATTCTTAAAATAAGACCGGAATAACTATCTATTGAACTTAAGAAGACACTTTAAATTGAAAAATAAATATAAAGAGTTTGGTAATAAATTCTTGCTTTGAGAGTCATTAAACACTATGTTGGACAATGAAACTTAACTTTCCTTTAGTTTGAATGACGTTTTCCCAAACAATTAAAACTTGCCGTTAGTGTTTGAATATTTCGTTATATATACAACACCTTTTATGAATTTATTCTAATTGTCGGAATAAAGTGTTTCAAGTCTTTGTATCAATCAATATTTTGTACATGCTAGAAAAAATCAATACATTTATGCCCAAAGAACAATCTATTAAATAAGTACAATAGTATCTAAGATGTGCCAATGATTGAGATAATTGGCATTATCAAATGACGGACAGGTTTATAGAAGGGATATCACAGATATGTTTATGTCTGTTTAACTGTGTGTAAGGTACGCTCATAGATTTATAATTCTGCATTGAAAATTTTAAAGATATTTGTAAAATATTGTTGTTGGGTTTTTTTTGGTCTAAATTTTATAATTATGAATTAGATTGCCTTTGTTTACAAACTTAGGTTTAGAATTTGATGTTTGAAAGAAGTTTAAATGAAAAAAACTTACTTTAAGTAACACTCTTCTTGTTTCAAGAATATTCTCATATCATCACTTTATTGTCATAATGACTCCTTATATGATTTAATAGTAGTTAACCCGTTACTTCACTAAAGTGACAATATATGGAACAAATTTTTTCAACTTACAGATAAAAAATTCTTGTTCAATGGACTTGAACCTGCTTTACCTTTCAAAGGTAATTTCTGAGAGATTTCAGTATTAAAAACAGCATACCTCCAGATTCATGCTAATTTTCATGAAAATTTTAAAATTTATTTTAAAGTAAAATATTATGAAGTGAACAAAAAATGTCAGCAGCACATACATGTACAATCCACATAAATTACCTGAATAAGAGGCCAAAATATGCAAAAATAGCCCTTATTGCATGACCTATGCAGTAGAAATATGATGATAAATACTGCAGAATCAGTTATTTATCACATTTAACATGTCAATTATTACTTGAATGCTGAATCTTTTTACTTTATTCTTAAGATCTTAGTATATTTTTGTTCAAGTTAGATTTTCTTGAACTATTTTGGCTTATCTGAAGGCTTGCAGCTTTAATATAATTAATAAAAATGATAATTATGGCCTGTATCCAACTGTAGGGATAGTGCTGTGTACTCAGGTGACAGTTAGGCTAATACAACTTAGCATGTAGCATATCGACCTAGGGAAAAAACTAATAAAATGTTGCAAGAAACATATCTAGAACATCTGGCTGCTGGCAATAATGTTTAATTTATATTTATTAATTATCACATTTTCTGTTGTAATTTCAGGTTGAATCTTAGCAGAGTTATGTCCTCTTTGTGGTATTTGTAAACTTGAAAAAATGCCGAACATCAAAACATTTTGCCGAATCAAACCAACAAACGAGACATATGAAGAGTTTGAAGCCTCGAAGAAAACTATTTATCTACGAGTACCTGAGGTCCTTAAAGATTTTAATTCCAACAACAAAGGGTCAAGGTCATTTGTGAATCATGAGTTTAACTTTGACCACATTTTCATGCAAGATGCCACACAGCAGAATGTGTTTGATGTGGCTGCCTTGGATATAGTCAATGGTAAATAGAGATATTTTAGATGTAATTTGAAAAAGTTTGTGAAATAGTAGTTTTTGGTTTTTTCTATTTTTTAGGGGCGTCCGTAGCCGAGTCAGTGGTTAAGGTCGTTGACTTCAAACCACTTGCCCCTCACTGCTGTGGGTTCGAATCCCGAAAGGGACTTTGGATTCTTTCATGTGAGGAAGCTATCCAGCTAGCTTATGGAACGTCGGTGGTTCTACTCAGGTACCCGTTCGTGCCTGAAATAATGCACAGAAGGGCACCTGAGGTCTTCCTCCACCAGTAAAGTTGGAACGTCGCGATATGACATAATACTGTGTCGATGTGACGTAAAACCCAAAACAAACAAAAAAATTTCTATTTTTTATTGACAATGCGAAGAATTGTAGGGTTTTCCAGTATTAAGTTATCACTTTTACATTAACAAATGAATCATTTTGTAAGGGTTAAGGTATAACATTATTCATTAATTATTATAAAAGATATTCATATGCAACTTCACAGTGTCTTTAGGTTCATAATTGCATGTATCCTGAAACAAGACCAGTAACTATAGCATGGAATTTTACTGAAGTAATTCCCCCTTCTGAACATGAAAACATCCTTGTTAAGGTTTTGTGTGCAAGTTGTACCTGTAATAGTACTGAAAATATAACATTGTTATCTTGAGACTTAATACATGGCTGAAAATCAAAACACAAAAACTTTGGCATTAAATTTTACAGAGTTATTATCTGTTCATTTATTGCTTTTGTTAGACTTTCTATGGTTCAAAAATTGTATATACTTTATAATACTTTGATCATAAAAGAATTTATTTCTTGTAGAAATTAAAATATAAAGAAATCCATACTTTATGAAAAAAATTCAAAAGGTAATCTTTGGCTCCTAGGAATTTTAAAAAAAAATGCAAAGAAAGCTTGTCATATTCAGAGCTTTTACTGTAAGTGACATTGCCATCATTAGCCAATTCTCTAAATTGCGGGGCGAACAAAATTAAATTACCCATGGGGCAAAAAGAGGTGTTGATACCAAAATGTTGTGATTTGTCTTTTATCATATTATATGGTCTCTCTTTGTTTTTCAGCATTTTTGAGTGGTTATAATGGAACAATATTTGCGTATGGTCAGACTGGTACTGGGAAGACATATACAGTCGAGGGAAGTGCTAAAACATACCATTCTAGAGGTCTTGAACCCAGGTACTTATACTTGTTATTTTAAATCTAACTATGTGGAAATATATGTTGTTTAATGCTGTATAGTCAGCTTGTGGCAACAGATTTTACCTGTGCGAGAAGGGCAGACCAAGATCAGCCAGCACATCCATGCTGTCTGATTGTGGTCTGCACTGTTCATTATTCAGTCAGTACATTTGTCTTGAAATTTTTCTAAGATATGATGGATATTTTTGTCCAGATTGAAAGATGGACAAGTCCATTTAATAAACTTAATTAACATGCTAAAGATTGCTGGTGAGGATTTAATGTTTTTTGGTAGTTATCATGCATGCATAAAATTATGTTAAATGTAAAACATGTTATTTTTTGCTATGATACAGAAAATGTGAAATTAGGCAGAACATCAAGGAATATCTGTTCAAATTTTAAGGCTGCAAAATGTGTATTTTTAACAAATGAAGTAAAGAATTAAATACAAACTTATAATAGTTATTTGTTTCAAAATGAAGACAATTCCCTTTGTTCTGTATTACTACAATGTACTCAGATCAGTTCAAGCATCTTAGAAAGTTACAATGTTTATTCATCTGCCTAAAACACATTACTACTGTATACACTTCATTTTTCTTTATTTATCAGGTCATTGTCTATGATATATCAAGAATTAGAGAAGAGAACAACAGAAGATCTTAGTATACATATATCATACCTAGAGATCTACCAGGATGTAGGCTATGATCTGCTTAATCCAGGGGCCAGAACTCAGTCTTATGTAACACCATTTCCCAAGGTAAATTCTATACCACTGCTCTTATTATAATCTTGCAGACCATTGCTTTTATTATAATCTTAAAGGAGCTCTCCACTGAGGTCAGAAAGCCTAAAACATAAAATTTGAAATTCTTACATAGATCAAGTGATGCATTTAAAATGGAAAAATCTGCAAAAGATACCAGTATACCAGTACTCATAAATTGAAATCAAAATTTTTATGCGATCGTAAGTCCACTTGAGTGAAATGATTTGCAACGCTTTTCATTGTTTGGTCTGACATTTGGCACGATAAGTAATTATTCTGGAAAAACTGAGAGAGGAAATGATTTGAAAATGTGCTCACATGTTATTAGTCTAGAGCTACATTGAATGGTACACAATTCTCGTAAAAATATTTTCAGTCCCTTCATGTAAAAGTCCTCAGGTGAGTCCCTTTAAAGACCATGCTTTTACTATGACTTGGAAGGCCGTGGCAATTTTAAGTATTGAGACTAGTACATTGTAATAATGGGCTGTATTCTTATTATGGTCCGTCTGCTGTTCTACTTTAGCTGGTAGATTTATAGGATGGTTATCTGCTATTATTATACCCCCACCACAAAATGTGGGGGGTGCTATAATGGATTCGCTTTGTCGCGTCCGTCCGTCCGTCCGTCTGTCCGTCGGTCAGTCCGTCTCCATTTTTGTGTCCGCTCTATAAATTCTATACCAATTGAAGGATTTTCAAGGGGATGTGCAGAACCCATGTTGCCCATGTGTCAGGTCAAGGTCACACTTGAAGGTCAAATATCAAACAATGAAATATTAGACAGTATGTCGTGTCCGCTCTGTAACTCCTACACTTATAGAAAGATTTTCTTCAAACTTGGCTCAAATGTTCACCTTGACAAGGGGATGTGCAGAACCCATGTTGCCCATGTGTCAGCTCAAGGTCAAGGTCACACTTGAAGGTCAAATATCAAACAATGAAATATTAGACAGTATGTCGTGTCCGCTCTGTAAGTCCTTCACTAATTGAAAGATTTTCTTCAACATTTGCTCAAATGTTCACCTCAACAAGGGGATGTGCAGAACCCATGTTGCCCATGTGTCAGCTCAAGGTCAATGTCACAACTGAAAGTCAATGTCACAACTGAAAGTCAAATATCAAACAATGTAATATTAGACAGTATGTCGTGTCCGCTCTGTAAGTCCTACACTAATTGAAAGATTTTCTTCAATTTTGGCTCAAATGTTCATCTCAACAAGGGGATGTGCAGAACCCATGTCAACCTTTTGCCGTCTTAAAGTCAAGGTCACACTCGAAGATCAAAAATTGACTTAGAAAATATTCTTAAATTTTAAAATTTAATTGAATATTTCTGAATTTAGAAAATGTATTTGCTTAAAACTTAAAATATATATGAAGTGTCACAATTAAGATATGCTGGTCAAGTTTCATAACTCTGTATTGCATTTTAACAAAGTTATGCCCCTTTTTAAGTCTTCAAATTAACATACAATCAAATATTAGACAACATGTCATGTCCGCTCTATAAATCCTATACTAATGGAACCTTTACTCAAATGTTCACCTCAACAAGGTAATTTGCAGAATCCATGTCACTTTGTGCTGGCTAAAGGTCAAGGTCACACTTGAAGGTCAAAAATTGACTTAGAAAATGTTCTTAAATTTTAACATGTACTTGAATATTTCTGAAACTAGCACAGGTACTTGCTTAAAACTTAAAAGATATATGAGGTGTCACATATAAGATATTCAGGTCAAGTTTCATAACTCTGTTTTTTACATTATGACAAAGTTATGCCCCTTTTTAAGTCTTAAAATTTACATACAATCAATGCAAGACAATATGTTGTGTCCACTCTATAAATTCTATACTAATGTTAGGATTTTCTTCAAACTTTACTCAAATGTTCACCCCAACTGGGCCATGTGCAGAACCCATCTTACCCTTGTGCCAGCTTAAGGTCAAGGCCACACTTGAAGGTCAAAAATTGACTTATAAAATGTTTGGTACATTGGGAAAATGAAAGGTTATTTGTAACTGTTTCAAACATGATTTGATAATATATATTTATACCATTACCTGTATAATTAGTCATTCTTTCACCAGAGATAATTTCTTTTTATGTATTTGTGCCACTTAAGTTATTCCCTTAACCACCTTTCCAAGATGTCTTCTGTCAAGGACATTGGTGGGGGTATGAATCGTATTCAGCGATAGTTCTAGTTATAAATGAGTTTATTAATGTGTAATATAAGTTATTATTAGCAAACTGTGCTAAAATGAATATTTTAGTTTTAGAAATTTCCTTTTGAACTAATGATGATCAATATAAAAAATGCATGAAACAGAATCAAACACAGGCTGGTGTTATGGCAAGGAATATTAGCATCAACAGTTTATGATTGTTATTAGGCAGAGCTGCTGCTGAACAGTTTCTGAAGAGCCAGATATTCCCATCTACAACTATCAGTCAGTGTGTGATTCTTTTGATATATTTATTTAGATTTTGATTATATAATTATCATATACTGTTTAAAATAAATATTGTTATTTCATTGTGATGATTGAGCCGAGCCTACTGGTTAAGATGTTGTCACCTTACTGCAATTACGGGTTGACTTCCATTAAATTGTATAAGGAGTTAACCCATTGCACTAAGGTTATAATGTCCACCTTTCATCCCAAAGAATGTAGTGTTATAGCCCTATTGTGGTGAATACCATGTTGCAGGAAGCAAAGTTCTAGTTGCAGATTTCAGAGTTACTAAATATAAAGTTTAAACTTTAAAGCACTTGTTTTTCTATTAATCTTTTGATTACATACAGATTTCTTTAAACTATTATTTTATAATCTAGGTCAGTGTAGTAGAAGGAACTAGTGGCATGTGCGTGGTACGCAATCTGTCCAATCATCTCGCAGCTAGTGAAGATGTTGCTCAGAGTCTTCTGCTTCAAGGTCAAGCTAATAGAAAGGTCGCAGCCACGGCGATACATGACAGGTCATCAAGGTCGCATGCAGTGTTCACTATACAGCTTACATCAAAGAAAATGGATTCTGATACTATAATAAGGTAAGAATATTTTAATCATTTCTGCAATTAGACCTGGAGAGCGGGGCGTTAATGGTCACTGATTTCAATTCACTTTAATTAGCCGTCATGAAATGTTTCTTGGTATTTGAGGGCTCTTAACTTTGTGGATTGTCTTGTTTTGCAAAAAAAGCAAAATGAAACTTATATACATGTATTGCAAAGATACTCTTACAGCAAACATAATAAAAATTTGTTTGATCTTAAATTCCTGGATTGACCTATTGACTTATGGAAACTGCAAAAAATAAGTGCCCCAGGAATTTTTATGTTTTTGCAGTATCTGAGATAGTTGTTTGCTACTGTATGTTTATTGAAAAATTAATATGAATTATTACTTCAAAAGTGTAATAATAACAAATAAGAAAACACTAATATCAAGACAACACATTATTGGTTAAATTCAACAATGTTAAGTTCAACAATTTATGTGTAAAGTACATGTCTTAAAATGATTGAGATGTAGAATGTTTATAAATAATGTCACTCTAATACTAATATATAATACAATACGATAACTAGCCTATCAAATATCCACCAGATAAGCAAATTCCCCTCGATGATAACTTCCCCTGATCAGTACAGATCAAGTATCAGAGCATAGAGAATGTAAAATGTAAACATATATGGGTAGTAGTGCCCCTTGTGGCTGAGGGGTTGAAGCATCAGAATTGCAGCCACTGTTTATGATGTTTTTATCCCTGCGTGACCATAAGAGGTAACTGAATAGGTTCAAATAACAGGAGTCTTTGCATCTCTTAAATAACTCCAGCAGGTGAGGTGCTTTTGACCCCTGGAAATGCTTTAGTTTGTAACACCAAAGGTTAGCCAAAACCTTTCCTGTTTTGGCGCCATATGACTAAAACTGTGTTGGTGCACCATAAAATCAAACCAAAGAAAAAGTGAGTAGTAGTTTTGTAAAAAAAGGCCAATTGGTCCTTATTGAAACATTTTACAAATGCGGACATGTATGCTGACATGAATGATCTTTAGGTTTCTACTGGTTGCCTTGGTAATGACAAACAAAGTAGTCTGTACATTTTACGAGAAAAAAAGTTACTGTTGCATTGGTCTAGCAATAAAATCCCAGTCGATAAACTGTTGTAAACTTAGCCTGCTAGTGGTGACTGAACAATCTACCCATGCTATCAATGCAGACCAAGTTCAGCTCGCACACCTGTTCCATCTGATCTTGAACTGCACTATTTTCCATTCAGTCAGTATAATATTTAAACTGTTTTGTCCAGATTGAAAGTAGGGCTATGAAGTCCATATATATTATAATAATAATCCATAATTTAATTTCTGGTGTAAGTAGTGTAACTCTGAGGCTAATTGTTCTTTCAATTAAGGGTTTGTTCCCCTGTTTTGGTCAGCTTATCGAGGGATGACCATAAAACTGCAGTAACTTATATGAAATAAAGAAGGACTTACATCAGTCTTGCTGTCAAACCTTGTTATGTATATTGTTTAATATTTATTTTTTAATAAAAAGAAAGCAATCTTTATAGAACAAATATTTATCCAGAGAAAATGAAAAAAAATGTTATGTATGTTATTTAATCATAAATCACATTGTCTGTTTCAAAACAAATCCTGCAGCTATTTAATAGGGATAAAATGGCTAATTACTGACTAATATAATTATGCCATTGACAAAACATAAAAAAAAATATTTTTATAAAGATTAAATAGCATGTTTATTGATAAGATATTCTCTTTTTCATAAAGTTTATTTAATCTTTAATCTCATAATTGTCCAAATGTTGCACAAATATTTGCAAAATATTATTTACATTATCCCCCGTTAATGTGGACTTCTTTCTTTCTAAACACCATTTTGTGAACGGTTTATTTATTTTTGCTCCGTTCTTTTGTGATGGTACATTTAATCAGATGTCATTGAAAATGTTTGTTTCAACAAAGAACCGTGTTATCATTAAACAAGTCGGGCTATTGTAAGTTATGTCCTTTTTGTTCTCATCCAAATTTGATCCCGGCTGGGCTATTTAAAAACTTTTTGAGGTATCGCAAATTCTGTGGACCATTCGTTTTGTTTTGTGTGTGAAATTTAAAACTGTCCTGTTTAAAGCAGCCAACCCCCAGATTTATGCTGATTTGTATGAAAAATTTAATTGAACTTTTATGATTCAGTAAACAAACAATGTTAAAGCAAGCATAAGGTAATTATAATTAAAAAAAACTAAACAGATTTGTAAAATTATTGAAAAATAGTTCTTTAAACAGGTACTCGTTTAGTAACTGGGCAAAATAATAATATATTACAAGTGCATACTATTAGATTGTCCGGATCATGATCTGCACTATTTGCTAATCAGTCAGTGCAAAAATTATTTTTAAATTTTTTCCCTAAAAATGATGATTGGTTTGTCCATTTTGAAAGATGGACAATTCCATTTAAGATATTAAGCATGATTAGCGTTAATTTATTATATGCCTTGTGAATATTGATACAATGCTTAAACTTTAATGCATTTTCTATAGGTTTTTTAAACTTTATTTGCTTATCAAGGGGTGTGCACCTTTAAAGTTCGAAGTTAACTATATCATTTAGTTTAGTCAGATTCAGTATTAACTGTAGACAGTTGCAATAAGAATGTATTAATTGCTTAAAAGGATACATGACTTATTGGGAATAGTGTAATTTGCTTGATTTATTTTTAAAAAAAGGAGTAATCAAGCAGCATTTTTTTTTTTTTTTTGATGTGCAAAATTTTAGCATTGGAATAGTGGCAATATTTTTTACTAGATTGAGGGATATCTTAAAAACTAAACAAAAAAAGAGTGTTATCAAATGAAAATGGAATTTTAAAAAGTTGTTAAAATTTGTGTAGGTTCATATTTTGATTTTTTGTTCTTTACTGTTATTAAATTACTTTATTATAGCTTTTAAGGCAATTTTACATAACAATTTTGGAGAAATACTGCAATTATGCTAAAAATGTGTTTAAAATTGTACCAATTTAAAATAACAGAATTATGAAAGTTACTTATAAAATAAAAAAAGAACTGTTAACATTATTATGATTTCTTTTTCAATATATTTTGTAGAATCAAAAACATAACAAACAAAAATCTTTAAATTCCCTTGCTATTGTAGTAGTAGTGCAAAACAAAACTATGAAAAACTATTCATGTACTAAGGTATTGTTGTAACCTAATCCGACAGAGTATGAAAACGTTAAATCTTGTAGCAGGATTTTTATTGCTTTTGATGGTATATCAGAGGTGGTCTTTTTATATGGGTGATTTTTTTAACACAGGTTTTGCAATACTTTAAATTTTTAATTTGAACAGAATACTTTATGATGGTTTAAATAATTTTATTTATGAGCTGCAGCTTAAAGTGCTTGTGCACATAAAACGTCATTCTGTCTTTTCTCCCTGATTAAAAATCAGTTTTTAAGTCGATTATATGTTTGTATGACATATTTATGGTCTTTAATGTCAAGTTGAAATGGTTGATTGTTTTATTTGATGGACCATTTATCAAAGCAGGGATTATCACATGACATCTATATCTCCGTGGAAGTGTTTATTGTTATGTTATAAACTGGTGAAGCTATGTAGTTACTTAGTTTATTGTGCAACTTGATTGTTTATATTCTAAGAAATGATCCTTAAAAGTATCCTGCTGAGTTTGGTTTAAACATATTTATTTAAGTTCGATTGTGAAACAAGTTCTTGCAACTTTTATTGATCATTTTCGAGTCCGCTTCTTAGAACCAACCAGTACTGGTGTCTGATATGAAGAAACATGGTTGGGATCCGATTAGGGCTCGAAACCCATGATCCCTGGGTTGAGAGGCAGACACCTGCTGAGTTTGTCTTTCATACCTGTTTTGTTTACTTACTGTATATAAGAATCGTTTGTTATTCTGTTTAAACATAATTAAAATAAAAGTAAAAAAAAATGAAACTAAAAAATCCAGAAACATAAATTAATTTTGTTTGGCCTTAAAGGTGCACAAATTGTTGATTCTATTTTAGAAGCCAAGATTACACAGGAATGTAAAACTCATATTAAAACTTAATAAAGCCTAACCTTTAGGTGCCGGATTTGTAATTCATTTATTTAGCAAGACCCCCCTGAAATCATGCTCGTACAAAAAACCTGATAAAAACGATAGCTCACAGTTCTATATATGGTTAAACGGGGGGATTAATTGATCAAAGTTATCAGGAGCTTGATGTTTGCTCGCCTCAAAATTGTTTCTATTTTCTGCGTGTACTCTCTAATCCCGTTGTAAATATTATAAAAATGATTGATTCAAACGTTTGATAAATACACTCAATGCATTTTGATAAAACATTTGCAATACAGGTGTTTGAATAAAGTCTTTAATTTTGTTTTTGTTTCCAAACTTTGCTGAGAAAGAAATAAAAAATGTAGTTAAATTGATTGTTGAAGTTATCGCAAATTGATGCTTAGTTGAAATTGGACAGCTGTTTTATCAGGATTTGTTTTTGAAAAGTAGGGCTTTAAAGTTAATTGGACTGATTTTTTATCACGGTTCAAAATCTTGAAATAATCTGGACATTTTATCGAACAATTAAGAGTTACTTTTGCTTTAATCTGAATTTGAAAAGAAGTTGGTGGTTTGGTATTAAATAATAAAGGGATGAACGGACTACTTTGGTGATCTCAGATTTATTTCAAAATCTGATTTTTGTGCACTCACTGTTTTTATAATACTAAGTTTGTGGATGCATAAGGTAAATTTTGTTTGAAAAGATTTTTTTTTAGTGCAGTTTATTTCATGACTTAAAATATTGTGTGATTAAAATGTTGATTTTCATAGGGTGATCAAGAGGAATACTGCGTAATCATTATTATTCGTGGGACACTTATTTCATCGATAGATATATCGATCCACGAATTTAAGATTCTATGAAATTATTCTGCTTGAAAAACAGTGTACATGATCATGTAGATGACTATATAGCCAGGCCAACCTGCTCATCTGTTAAATGTGACCAGGCTCGATATTGTTTTAGCTCAATTTTTGTATTTGTATACAGAAATCCCTTAAGCACTAAATGGACTGTTCCAAATTCAATGCATGGGATATACATTACACAAATGCTGCAGGTTGAGAATTGAAAATATGGATACATTTCACACAGTACTTTATTGACCTTTTGGGTGCCAGCAATAATAATGATAAACCTTAGAATGTCACCAGTATAGAGCTATGGGCCAAGCAGTCTCCCATGCCATTAGCGTGATCCTGGCCTAGTAAAATCCACATGGGGTATAATACCAGTGAAAGTGAAAGCTTATAATTACCCTATTTTACAATCAATGGTTGTGATTTAACTGTTTTCAATACTACTTATGAATTTTTAACAAAGTTTTAATTTTATTTTCAGGTCAAAGCTACATTTAGTGGATCTTGCTGGGTCTGAGAGAGTTGCTAAGACCCGTGTGCTGGGGCATCAGTTAACAGAAGCAAAGAGTATAATCTCTCCCTCCATCATTTAGAGCAAGTTATTGTAGCTCTGCAAGAAGAAGCCCTAGCTGGGGAGAAGGCTAGCAGAGCTAGGACATCTGTTGGTAATAGAAGGTAAGTATATTTTTACCATATGTTAATGCCTCAGTCACAAATAACAAACGGTGGCCAGGTGTTGTCTGTTTCTTTAAAAAAATCCCAATATCGGCTGGGAATGACAATAGGATGGCAGCAGCAGAAAATTTAGCTCAAAGGGTAGGCGCCGTCAAGTTTTAAGTATAACTTAAAATAGCGGCTTCCAGACCAATATTTTTTGGGTCATTGAGTTTTTTGAGGCGATGTTTTTGGATCAGACGCTTGTTTTTTTATACCAAAAACATCGTCAGATTTTAAAGGCACCCAGGTGGATATCACCATTGACCCTGCCCAGCACCCAAATTGACACAAGTTGGCAGGCGGTCATCGTCTGGCAACCGGAAGACTTGAGTTTTGTTGTTATTGCCTCAAAAATACCTTGTGAATACCTTTGGATTTAACATTTCAAGAAGTCTATGCGGATTATTCATAAGGCAAATGCAAAACATAATTGTTGAAGCAGCATTATATGATTAGCACATAGGTTTCCGTAGAAGGTCTGTGTGGGTGAAGCCATGGCAGCAGAGAATGATTATCTATGCTTCTAGCAACTGCCTTCTATGATGGCATATTGACAACTGGCTGATTTATAGAAGAATATCATAAAATGTGAAGCCTTAACCACCTGGCACTCACACAGAGACCATCAGATCTTTTTATGAATCGCACATGCAGTTCTATTACTCTTCCTGTCTGTTTTCAGATATAATTTTGTAACAAGACCCAGCAGTGCCGATGGTATCCGAGGACCTCGTCACGTTCCATACAGGAATTCTCTCCTTACCATGCTGTTACGTGACAGCTTGGGTAAGCTTACCTTTCTCATAACAAAATAACAAAAAAGGCATTGTTAAAGGGACTCCACTAAGTTTTTTTGACATGACAGGACTGGAAATAATTTTTCGCGATTAATGTTCCATTTGAAGTATGTCTAGACCAATAACTTGTGTGCAAAGTTTTAAGATCATTTGCTCAGTCATTTGTCCGTAATGATTAATCTAATTGTTAAAACTGATCCAAAATTGAAAACACTTTTCACTCAAATCAGGTCAAAATAGCAAAGAAATACAATTTTCAATTTAATCTCAGTATATTTCTACTTAAAAAATGAAATAACCTCATAAATTGATGTCAGATCAGGATTATCCAATGAAAAGTGACGTTACAAATGTGCAGTATAATATGATATATATATTTTACAGGTGGTAATTGTATGACCGCTATGATAGCAACAATATCATTGGAAATATCTAATCTAGGAGAATCAATATCAACGTGTAGATTTGCTGGACGTGTAGCCTGTATTGCTAATTCTGTATCGTAAGTATTTTATATTTTCCGGGTAGTATTAAATCTCTGAGAATTATTATATTTCATTCGTGTTTTCAAATTAAATGGTGCATATAACTCTTGAAGTCTTGTTTGGTGGCACTGTTGCGAGAAGTGGTTAATCTTTCATATATATTTTATCATTACTGTAACCCAACGAATATTCGCGACCAATTAATATTCGCTTTATTCGCGGATGGCCACGAAGCGCGAATATTTGTTTGCGCGAATAAGTCCGCACGATTTCGCGAATAAATTGGAGAGAAATTTTTATTTTAGACGTTGTTCATGCAAAGGTTCTTGACCGGATATATTCGAATTTTACCGGCACCTGTTAGGAAGTAATGAATTGTTATGAATATTGCCATAAAGCAATATAAACACAAACTAAGTAAACTACTACTATTTTATAAATATAAAAATAAATGCAATCAAAATAAACATCCACATTTTAATACTATTAAATATGATAATAAATGTTTGAATAAATCGTTTGACAAAAGTGGGAAAACTATCGAGCATCACAAAAGACTATTGTTTTTTGGATCGTATAAAATAATTGTTTGAGTGAATTGTTAAGACAAAGGTGGTATAAACCTATCGAGCATCACAAAAGGGTATTACAAACAGTGAAATACAAAATGGTTTCATACTAGTATCGATTTTTACCCGTCAAACTTAACAGCCTGTATTATAACATAATTTTCTCGACGTGGGATCGATCCCTGATTGGAGAAGGTATTTTTTTATGAAACGCTTAAATTGAATTCCTTAAAGATTTTTCTAGATAAACTGTGGGTACAAAATATAAATATGTTATAGAAATAACGACATGTTTAGAAATGAAGACGAACGATGCGTACATGTACATATATAGAGAAAATGTTTTGCTGAATTTTGATCACAATTCACATACCAATACAACATAAGGCTAGCGTATTGTTAATCCCATTTAAGACACCAATAATGACCTCAATAATTGAAGATTAATAGTCGGCAAATGGATTTTACGGCCCCATCGGACTTTCCGATCCGCGAATATTTTTTTGTCGGAAATCAAGAAAACGCGGAAATTAATATTCGCGAATATGTCTGACCTCGGCAAAACGCGAAAATTTGTATTCGCGAATATAAATTGGGTTACAGTATTTAATGGTGACCATCTATTGGAGGTAATTTGTTTTCTTGAAGTCCTAAATTTTGTCTTTTCATTACAACTCTTGATTTGAACTACTTTGAGATTAAAGATTTTGTAAATACATGTACTATAAAAATCACAATGGTACATCTTCATAAAATAATGTTTTACTGGAAGTATCACGTCTTAATCTCTTGACACAATATCATACATCTAATTTGAGGTAATTTTAATGGCAAAAAAATTGGCTCCTGATAGAAAGTTTTAAACATTATAATTATGTGATTTAACCAGTATCTATTAAAATGGTAAACATTTGTTAGAAAAAAACTGCTAACAATAACAATTCATATTTTTTGCTATTTATTTATTTTTTTGCTGCTAGAGGGTATATATGGTAGGTACTTGTTGTTGTAGGTTCGTTTTTTTTATCCCATAATTCAATGTTGTATTTCCTTGTTTGCATACAAACTATGTTGAATTCCCTGTTTCTAAAGATTTGATGCAAAATACAGCTAAACCTTAAATGAGATAAACATATGTTACCTGTGAAGCCATCCAGTTCTGTTAACTTTTTTAAGCTGGAGATTTCTAGATACAGTAAATTTCAGTTATAACAAACACCATGACTTGTGGGAAACTAAAATAGACTGAGCCAGACTCCTCACAGTGATTACCTCCCTTGGCAGATAATGTATGTACTGATAAGGGGAGATCACTGCTTAGGAGATTGACTCTTGGCTTATAAAACGGTTACAAATAACCTAGGAGATTGACTCTTGGCTTATAAAACGGTTACAAATAACCTTTATTTTATCTTGTATTTAATGTACTCTGTACATCAAGTTTGTCATGTACAGAATAAACATGTTTGCCATCAAATTTTTATTTGATATTTTCAAGGGAAATTGACCTTGACTTGTATATGATAATTCAATGGTCAGTACTTTACATACTTATACTTATTAGTATCAGCTGTATTAATTTAAAAGTCTACTGGACCATTATCTTTAAGCACACAGGACTTATTAAGTTATTAGGATATTATCTTTTAGTACAAAGAACTTGTTAAGATATTATCTATATGAATTACCAGTTTGCTTTTAGCACATGTTAGCTCAATTGAGCTTGGACAGTCATTTGTTATTCCCGTTTTGCCTCAGAAAGAAATATTTGTTTCCTTCTTTACAAAGGGCAAACATAGTTTATAACATTTAAATAATGGTTTTTGAGCATGTTAGATACTTATAACTAAAAGAAGGTAGCGCTGAATGTGAAATTATATGTCTTAAACAAACTACAGTCAAATGTGTATTAAGCTTAGCTGTACAAGGGAAACACCAAAAATGGTAGCTAAATACAATGGTCTCTTAAGACAAAGCATGAGAAAATGTCAAAATTTGTCAAAAATTGATATCTTTCCTTTGCGGTGGAGAAGTTTTTCATCTTCATTTATATAAATGTTTAATAATTATAACACTCCCATAATCTAAATAATAAAATGATTTACAAAACACAGTTTTGACCCATCACGTACATGTTTGACATTTCTCCAGGAGGCGGAAATCTCAAGGCTATATTCCTGGGCCTAGCGCTTGGTGCCTTATATTGCTGTAAAAGAAAAACCTCAAAATGAATATCCTTTCAAATCAGATGAAATCACACAAATGCTGTTCTAACGTTTGACCTCAGAATATGTTTTTACAAAATTGTTTTCAATTTATATAAATAGATTAGCAAGTAGATAAATTAGATTAATTTATAAATGTTTTGCAGGCTCTTAATATTGGTAGGTAGAAAGTATAAGCTATTGTGTATCTATTTTTATTTCTTTGTTGTTTATTTTGCTTTGCATTCCTTCCCATTCTGTTGCATGACTGTTGTTTAATACTCAGTGAACCATGGCGATGTGCATGTAAAACATACTTTCCCTTATTATTTCAATTATGCACACTGCTTTACTTGCTTTATTTGTATGTCGTAAATTTTTAAATACCTGATCAATGATAAATAAAGTCTTAAACTGATAGAAATGTATTTTCCGTTTACCACCAGTACAGACTGCACGGATGTGCTGTACTAATGTTAGCTTAAGTTTTTTGGTTTGATCTTGAAATTCATTCATCATTGAATGGACTGTTCCACATTCAAAGCTTGGCAAAGCAAAGCAAAGGATAAGCTTATTAACTAATTACAGTATGTATCCACTAAAAGAAGCACTTTGCCTAAAACATTATATTATATAAGTGGGAGAAGCCTGGCGCGTTCAAGTTTTCACCCTTACATTTGCAGTCAAATGACGTAAAATACTAACTTGGGGCATGCATTTGTACAGAAACTTTTAATTATTGCTATATTTTTCCCCCATATAAAGCATTGCAGCTGTATCATTTTAATCATTAAATGTATTGCTGCTGTTTATACCATTTCCCCCATTTAATGCACATGGCTGTTAATACCATTTTCAGCCATTTAAATTGCATTACGGTTGTTTATGCCATTTTCCGCCATTTAATGCATTACGGCTGTTTATACCATTTTCCCCTTTTAAATTATATTACAGCTGTTTATACCATTTCCCCCCATTTTATGCATTACAGCTGTTTATGCCATTTTCCACCATTTAATGCATTGCGGCTGTTTATACCATTTTCCACCATTTACTGCATTGCCGCTGTTTATACCATTTTCCCCCATTTAATGCATTGTGGCTGTTTCAACACCTCTCATCCATTGACTTATTAACGCATATTACAATGCAATCATGGTATCAGTGACTGTATGGCTTATTTCCCAAATTATACTCTCCACATGCATGAATGCCTCAATGTTCCCTTGTATGGTAATAATTTATGTAATAATGCTATTTTTTAGCTCACTTGAAACACGCAGTGTTCATTATATGAGCTTTTAGCTTTGAGGGTTGTCCGTTTTCCATATCTGCCTGTGAGCCCAACATTGTTTCACACTATATTTCCTCTTAGCATGGATGTTCCCTACGTCTACCAAAGTTGTTCAAATAATTCAAATTTAAGCTATGAGGCTCAGTGATTAGAACTTGCCTGACAAATGGTTCTCAATTTTAAGACTATCACAACGTTGTTGTCTTTGTTTGGTGTACATAGTATCATCTCTTTAAAAAAAAACTGATACAAGTTTATGATTGAATTTACAATTGAATATCATAACATGAAGTCATCTAAAAAAATGTTACACTAAAGTATTATAATTAATCACTGACATTCTCACGTAAATTGTAAGAATGTCAGTAAAGATAACATAGATTTTTTTGCTTCAGACTAGTGCATAATTAATTGTCTTGTTGTATTTTAGAACCACAGCACTCATTCTGAAAAGAGACAGCATATACCTTCCTCATTTTTAGGTTCTTTGTGTATATTTATGCATGAATCTAATATTTTTCAGGCGTAACGAAGAGCTAGACGAGAAATCATTGATCCGTAAACTAAGGAAACGTATAGCTGAACTAGAAGCAGAACTGGCTTGCTTAAGATTAACTGAGGTGAAATTTTACTGATTTTAAAGATTGATATTTTCATACATAATGATCTTAGTGATATATCAAATGATGTTATCCGGAACTCGGCAAATTTGGGTTTTCCCCAGCTAATCCATAGGTACAAGCAAAATTTTACTGTTATAGCTTCACAGTACATATATACCCTTCACAATAGATTAGTTAGCCTGTTGCACTTGATTTTGAAGCTGTAACTGTAAAAGTTTGTACTTACAGATTAACTGTGAAAACCCCAAAATATTCTTAATAGTGGAGTAGGTCTATTTCATTTAAGAACATCATACATGTTAATGGTCTAGAAAGATACCCTACCAACCGAAATATCTGGAAAGAACTTTTGTGTCTTTTAATCGGGAAAAGACCATTCATCATTTTAAGAAAATATTTCAAAATATGTATAGACTGAATGAATAGCAAGCAGTTTTGACCATGATCAGATGGTATATGATAAAAACAAAGTACATGATGATTGTTTTATGTTGAAAACTTATGAAACTTATCTTAGGGGCAAGTCGTTGTTTCAAAAAGAAAGAAACTTTACATTCATTGCTTGGTACTGGTTGATTCCAGGAGCAGATTCAAGACTGTTTCAATAAGCTTATAGCTTCCAACACAATTGAACTAAAATAAATTTGTATAAACGAAACTAAAACTTCTAAATTTCATATGAGAAAATCAAAGTTGATATAGTATTGAAATAAACTGGCAAGTATTTGTTTTTTGTTACAGGCTGGTGAAGAGGTGGATTCTAGAATGAAGTTAAGCGAGGAAGACAAAACCATTTGTTCCCAGGTGGTCAAACAATATCTGGCGGGAAAAATTGCTGACCCTATTGCAGCAGGTGTGGGATGTTCTGTTATTTCCATATTTTGACTAAAATCACTGACAGAGGCACTACACCAAGAGTGTGTGATTTTGTGATGAGTAAGGGGAAGTAAATCCTCAAGTCTTGAATTGAATTATCTCCCCTTAGATTTTTTTCCACTGTTAAATTGGTTATTATCAAAATAGGGGAAGCAGTGGTGTGCTTCTCAAGCTAGGGATTTTGTAGGTTCAAACAGTACTGTGTCCATAACTGAGTTGCCTCATAGCAGTACTTGTAAATTCCAGGAAGTGGACTGAAATGTAATAAATACATTAATATATTAGTTGCAATCACCTTAGTGCAGTAACAGAATACGTCCTTCTCTATTTTATAGGAGTTAATCAGTTATTTCACTATGGTGATGAAATGTAAATATTTAAATTCTTTAAAACAAAAAAGATATTGAATTCTTTTTGAGTAGAATTAGATATTAAAAAAATGACAAAAGTCTAGTGATAATAAAAGTTTATATAACCATTTGATCTATGATATACATGAGATTTAATAGTATTTTGCTAGACAAAGCAAGTATTTTTAACTGATATGTCACTTTCAGGTATAACAAATCCCAACAAGTTTAGAGAATGTCTCAGAATTCTAAAGAAGGTTGTTGGTAGCCCGACATTTGGACCTGTGAACCCTGGCGGAAATGAACAGAGAAGAAATTCCTTGTCAGTTACTTTACCTACCCATGCTGCGTTGGAGAATGGAACCAGCCCTGTAAATGGGGAACCAGTAGATGGGGAAACATTGCAGAGGCATAATGTTCAGAAGTTAAAAGTTGATGCAGACAGGTACATCTTTAATTATAAAACAAACATGATTGTGCATGTGTAAATTATGAGTAATTTTGGTTGACACATGTTTGTGTATTGTTTTGGTTGGGTTTTATTAATTTGCATTAAATTTGAATAATTGTGTTTAACAAAATTTTAATTTTGGTTGCAGATTTGCTAGGAAAATGGCAAAGTAAGGAAGGAAACTTCTTAAAATTATACTTAATTGACAATTAAGAAAAATAAGAATTTGAAAAATAAATCGATGAAATATTTTATGTTGGCAGTAATCCTTACAATACTAGTCTGACAAACACAGTAAATTTTTATAAAAGCACATAATTATATCTTTCTCCTTTAACACAGTTAAGTTTTATAAAAACACATATATCTTCCTCCTTTTTGTTTTCTTTATAGACAATTTTGTTGCCTATTTTGGCCTTTTTTGATATCCAAAAGGTAAAACATTCCACATTTATAGTGCTTTAGTAATCTTATAATAAGTCTTCGATGCTTTATAGTTCAATACAGAATTACAAGTGCCGACTTGTAAGATCATGAAAAAAGGAGGGAGGTAGCACGGTAGTTGCTTTATACTGTACATGAATTTAGTTTATACATATTAATTTTAGTTTGATTATGTTGGAAGCTATAAGCTTATTAAAACACTCTCGAGTCTGTTCCTGGAACCAACCAGTACTAAGCAATGAGTGTAAACTTGCTTGCTCACGGAAACAAGGCTTGCCCTTAATTGGGTTTGAACCCACATGGCCAGCAATACATAGATAACTAGTCTGACACTTTAACCACTCAGTCTTGCCACCACATATTTATTTAACAAACAGTTTTGAGGTATATTTGGTAAAATCTTGTTGCACTGTAAAACCATTACCACACTGAATTTGTGTATCACTGACATGACCTGTTTTTCATTTTGAAACGGCATATTTATAATAGTTTAATAGTTTAATGGATCTTAGTAAAAAAAAATACATATAAAAATAAGTCGCCAACAGTGTAGTGTCTGGTCAGAATACACAGATCTGCAGGTCAGCAAAGTTATATTCTGTTAACTGAATATGGTTAAACAGTTGTACAACCTCGGTGTTGATTGTAGTTTAGTTGTGTTAAGATTTTCCTTTTCAACCATGTTGATTTGATATGGTGTTGATTTCATGAATGGCAATGTTTCCACTAGTGTAGTTTAATTGGGGCTCTGTATGGCAGCATAGAGTGTAGTTAAATTTAGTGGTTCCCTATTGCACAAGGGTACTATAATAATCAGGAAATTATGATGGGTATACTAGTTTTTACAGCATAAATGTTTGTAATCTTAAAAGCCCATTATGCCTCAGATATAAGCTTAAAGGCCCATTATTTCTCATAAATTCAATCATTTTTATTACTCAGAAACTTATTTTTCTTTTTGATATAGTGTAACAGTTTTCAAAAATTTACTCATTACTCAATTGCCATGTATTGCTTCTCTTGCCTTGTTGGCCATTGGTATAATTGTAGTGAATTAGTATTTTGTATGGAAGTCAAAATACTACTTTATTGATATTTTGCTTCTTTTGTGACTCGTTACTGCCAGTTCAGTGTTACTTTCCTCAGTTATTAGACATCTAATATGCTCTAAATCCAATATTAAACACATGCTGGACATTTCAAGAGAACTGAAAAAATAAAGATTTCTGAGGCATGATGTGCCTTTAAATAACCCTAGCCACTAGTTATCCAGTTTAACCTCAGCAGAGTGGCCCTCTGTAGAACTGTAACCTCTTTACAGCAACTGTAATATTTCTTCCCAAAGTAAACATTCACAATATACATGTATTTAACCTCTCTAGAGCAAACAACTCTCTAGAGCAACCAAGCTCTTTGTCTCTTATAGGGTATTGCTCAGCAGAGTATTGTACTGTATACTGCAGTGGTTGTACTGTGTACTAAACAACCGTATTTTTGTACACAACCTAATTTGTAGCATTGTTGTATATGGATAATATAAGGATTATGATTAGCCAGTTAAAAGCTATGTAAGAAACATAGAATATTATAAAACTGTATTCAGATGTGCACTGTGAGTGAAATGCATCTTGTTTACAACTTTCAGCAGGTCCTTATGATGATTATTGTTATGATTGAAACTAGAAGATATTTGATATGATAAATAGACTAACTTCAGAATTATGAGTACTTGGGTTTTTCCCAGCTAATCTGTACAAACAAACTTTTACAGTTACAGCTTTGAAAATAAGTGCATCAGGTTGGCTGATCTTTTGTGACAGATAGTACACCGTGAAGCTTTAATGGTAAAAGTTTGTTTGTACAGATTAGCTGGAGAAAACCCACAGTTGCCGAGTTCCGGATATGTTAATAAACCAGGTGCTGGTGGTGATGTTTTATTGTTAGTTTTAGTATTTTTCTGACTTTAATTTTTGCAGCAGAGTAAGACCAAACAATACAGTACAAGGATCTAGATCAAACCAGAATTCTAGCATCAGAAGGTCAGCCTCATTTGACATTCCAAATTCTGCAGCGCCCCCTGGTATGCAAAGGGAAGTAAGCAGAGATGCTGGTGCCCCTCCTAGCAGACGACAGGCAACACAGGCTTGGGTTAATGGTAATGTGGAAAGCCGGGTCACAACAGCATCAACTGGAGGTAATAATTCTTTTTTTATATGCAAAATTTTATAATGACCGTTTTAAAGCAGATTGCTTCTAGATTCATGCTAATTTCATGAAAGTTTTGAAAATATGAAAAGTAATATGTTGTGAAATGAACAAAGAAATTAATTTAAGGATTTTATATATTGCATACGGTGCTTACAATCCATGTAAATTACAATAAAAGAGGTCAAAATATTGAAAAATAGCCTCACCCAGTAGAAATATGGTGCCAAAAATTTGTCTGTAATCACACATCATGTAAATTATTACTTGAATATTTCTAAATGTTTCTACTGTTCTCAAAATCTTAGGACATCTTTCTCAAGTTTGATTTACTTAAAATATTTTGGCACATATGGAGGCATGCAGCTTTAAATATCTGAAATATTGTTGAAGATGAAACAATGTTACTCTTAAACAGTATCTTAAGTGTTTGAAGCATGATTGATTTAGAGATTGTACATTTACTCTGCTATAAAAAATTCAAAGAAGGTCTGCAAGAACATGGAAACATACGAAACATTGGTGGTTCTACTCGGGCACCTGTTTGTACTTGAAAAAATACAAAGAAGGGCACCTGATGTCTTCCTCCACTAGTAAAGCTGGAAAGTTAGGTGTTTGTGCAACGTAAAATCACAGAAAAATTTAAAAACTGTATAATTTTTTTTTAAGAGTAGTAATTGACAAGTTGTATCATTTGCAGCTACAAACACCCTAAGGTATACTAGTTTGATATGTATTGACCTTCAGTATGCCAAGTAATTCTATCCATGCCACCAGTGCAGATATCTTTAGTCAGCAGCACACATATTGTCACCTTAGTGCAGTAACATAATAAGTTCTTCTAAATTCAATAGGGGTTACTAGTAATCAGTTATTGCACTACGGTGTCATTTTGTCAGTAATTGTTTCTAATACAAGTAGCAATTTTATTTATAGAGCGATTATGGACAAGCAACAGTAAAAAGGACCCCGAAACTTTGTCTCAGATTTTAAAAGAACAATCTCGCACTCCATATGAGCAGAAGAAAGCCATTGAAATTAAAAGATTGAACTCCAAGGTTAGTCCTTTATTCACTTAACATATGACATTGATTATAAATGTTTCTGGTTGTGTTTACAAATATACAAATATATAATATCTATTGAACATATAATACTAAACAAAGTGAAAGAAGATAAAGTTTATTATTGGAGGAAATTGTATGATTAGTACTCTATAGATATAATTTCAACCAACAACAAAATGGCTATTCAAAAATTGCTATATAAAACTGAATGTTTGTGACATCAATTTTCATTGGATTATTGCGGTGTTTATATTATCTATATACACGCTTGCTTTTAATTTAAGAACTAATTTTTATTGTTTGGAAATAAAGGATATGTGCTGTATTATTTCTTTGTTCTTGTGATTTTGACAGGTTATATATACCAACATAAATGGTTGTTTGCTATATAACCATGCATAGCTTCACAGGTTATATAAGCTTACAGCCATTTAAACTTGGCTGTATAGTCTGTCAAAGGCATTTATATGGCTTCATATTTACATAGGCAATGAAGTGGTGTAAAGTCATGTATATTTACATTGTTTGAGAAGTTGTATGTAACTGTATATTGACTGGTGGAGAAGCTGTAGAATGAAAGGACTTTGCAAGAGCAGCAGGTGATAGAAATAAAGCCTAGAAGGCTGGGTTATATGCTTATACTTGGTAATATAATATGTCAGTCATTATAAGGCTTTCATATTTGTACAGGTGGAGAAGTTGTATAAGATTGTTTACATTTGTACAGGTGGAACAGTTGAATGAAATTGTTTTTATTTGTAAATGTGGAAAAGTTGTATGAAATAGTTTGTATTAATAAAGGTGGAGAAGTTTTTTAGAATTATTTAAATTTGTACAGGTGGAGAAGTTGTATGAAATTGTTTACATTTGTACAGGTGGAGAAGTTGTATAAAATTGTTTATATTTGTACAGGTGGAGAAGTTGTATAAAATTGTTTACATTTGTACAGATGGAGAAGTTGTATGAAATTGTTTACATTTGTACAGGTGGAGAAGTTGCAGAATGAGAGGACTGAGCAAGAACAGAAGGTGATAGAAATGAAGATACAAGTGGCAGAGAAGGAACTTGATCTCATGGAGAAACATATGAAGTAAATGTTTATTTTATTATTACAGACATGATAAATACATTGAACTGTAGATCAAAAGTCATAACTTTTAAAGAAAAATGATAGATCTTATAATAGCTCAGCAAATTTGTAATTTCTGTTACGACTGCAAGGATACTGTTGGCCATCTGTTACAGAAAAGTTAGTTATAAACATGCATGATTTTTTGGGACAAAAACCTTAGTGTATTTTTGTTGTGTTTTTTTCAAGGACTAAGTTAGGAGTGAGTACAGCCCAAGTTCAGGATCAGAGTGCCTATGTGAAACAGCTGATTAGTACAGATGCTGACCCCTCACTGATAGAGCAAGAAAAACTTGTGGAGAGACAACTAAAGAAAAGAATGGTAATGCCATATAGAAAATAATTGCAGCTTGACTATTCAAAGAATAGCATGCACAGGCAATCTGTAATAGTATGTAGGGGTTTCCATGGTTGAATGTTTAATGTGATTGGCTTCAAATTACTTATATCACACTGCCTAGGGTAAAACCTTGAACAGATATCGAGATTAACAGTGGGGGTACCTTTTGTACAATGTCTTCTCTCACCTTAAAGTATTCCTATACGGTGTCAGTTTTACTTTACCCATAACCCTTTACTCCCAAATTTGGCTGCTTAGTTCATATTATTTTTTGTTTATATCATTCAAACTTGCAAAGATCAGTTTCAGATTCAATGCAGAATAATTCCATTGGGTTGGGTAAGTGACAAATTGCAAAACTAAGCTTTTTTCATGTCAGATTTCTTTTTCTATATTTATATAAGGCAAAGATCATGTGACGTATTGAGGATATTAAATGAATGTAGATTTGATATTAAATTTATTGAACTTGTTGAATAAAAGAATATTATGCTTGCCAGAGGCTAGCATAACATGATTTTATTGAACTTGTTGAATAAAAGAATATTATGCTCACCAGAGACTCACACAGTATGATTTTATTCAACTTGTTCAATAAATTTAGTTTTGAACCTACACGAATATAATAATCTATTTATCACTTACACGAAATAAGAATGGTAAATCATTTTTCATCGACGCGCCTACAGTGTAACGCTTATATTAGCGCTCTTTAATACTATGTTTATATATAACACAAATGATGTCACGTCAAAGTATTATTACACTAGTGTAATATCGTTTTTGTTAAATGGTTTTATAACACTACTGCGCCACAGTTTATGTGATCAGATTATTTACATGGTATAAAAATAGATTGACTATATTCCTAGGACAAGTATGATCGTCAGCTACAGTATATAGAGTACCGGCGGGAACAATTAAAGAATCAGACGGACGGTGGGGTAGAAGCTGCAGAGAAAATTGCCAGTATGCAGGAGAAGTATGGACAGTTCAAGAAGAAAGATGGCTCTCTTAATACGAGACAGGTGTTTCAGATGTTGAAATCAGAGGAGAAAAAACAGACTAAGGTATGACTAGATTTTTACTTTCCACCAGACTTAGTTGAACAGAGTTGGCAGATTTAGTTCATTTCATTGCTTAGGAGGGATCTATCTAGTTCATTATCCATAACCAAATCATGAATTGAAGCAATTTTGTTTTTCTGGATAATTGCGAAAATATTCATAAATTTCTAGCTGGCGTATAACTTTTCTTTGACAAAGATGGCATCTGCTTAGTTTCTTATGCATGCCAATTATATATTTTTTTTCTTTAAAATGTAGGTACACTAGATTTGATTTATTGAATTATTTCGTAACTTTGTCAAATGAAAACTTCATTTTTAAAATGTCACAGATACTTTATATCTATAAATTACAAAGTGAGGAGCAGGTGTCGTGATAGCTCAGTGTTTCATTATTCGTTTATTTTAACAATAGGTAAAGAATCAAATTGAAAGGGAGAAACTTCTAGCAACGGCTGAACTTATGGAGTTAAAAGAACTTGCCACTCGTCAAAAACTTCGTGAACTTAAAGAGGCAATGTCCTCAGGTAAACCATTTGCACCTCAGACAAATTTTGCCTCACAAATGAACGGACATGTAGAGGACGGTGCTAGGGAAAATAGTTTTGCTAATGAGTCAAAATCAAAGTCGTCTCGTGAAAATACTTTTGTTGTAAATGGAGATAGAAATGAGGACAGTCTCAATGTATCTGCTAATGTGCCAAATAATGAATTTTATTCAAAACGTAAATCAGAGAAAGACCCTACATCGAGATGGGAGTCAAATTATTCCCGACCGACGACCCCGTCAAATTTAGCATTCGAGTCGTCGGGTAAGAGAAAAGGTAATAACGAGGAGTTAAAAGTAACATTTGACGAGAGCACTCAGGACAATGAAAAATTAGATAGTTCTGTGATAAAAGACAAAGATAGGAAATCTGTTTTAACAGCAGACGACATGCTTGAAATTCAAAGCAGACGTGTTGAGAAAGAGCTTAATAATAGTAGAACAAACAGGCAAAGTAGGGAAAAGTCTTTGTTGATGAAAAATGATCAAAGAACTTACATGCCTAGTGAATATATAAATGGTATATCAAACACTGATCACTTTGATGCTAGAAAAATGACTCTTTCATCCAAAAACTTTGATTCAGCACTGACATCCATGTTAGGCCAGGAAAATAATCCTGTTTGTCCAGATAATAATGAGTATGAACAATTTGCAAGGACTTCTAAATATAGACCAAACCCATATCTGGAATCTCAAAGGACTCCATCCAGACCGAAGGCCAGTAGAGGAAATCAGAAAAGTGGGCCAGAGAGGTCAAGAGAGACAAGGTCAGCTGAAAGGTCAAAACTGGAGCCAGATGCAGGGGTAAGAATATTTACATAACTTGTTCTTTTTGTTTTGAATGCTTTTAAGTACATCAAAACCATTATTACATTTTGCCGAAAATGTACCAAGTTTGCATATTAGTGGCATATGTGTTTGAAAATGAATACATATTAACCATACCTTACAAGATTTATGTCTCTGAAACTATTTTTTAAAAACTTTAAGACCTGTAATGTTTTATTAAAAGAAAAACAATATGGTTTTCTGTAGCTCAAAGGTCAAGGTCACACATGAGGCCATATATGGAGTACATTTTTGTGTCTGGATTCTTTTCGATTCTTATCGATTTAAAATTAACTAGTTCAGTTTTTCACCAACATGAGACCATGACCCTGTCTTGAAGGTCTTTGCACAAAGGTCAAGGTTACATTAAGGCCAAGGACGGGGTCTCTTTTTTTTCATGTCAATAAGTTTGTCATTTCTTCAGAGATTTTGAAATTACTTGGCACATTTGTTCACAATCTGAAGTCTAGATTTATACAGATTTTTTGTCAAGCATAATCATCAGGGGCATATGATACCTTTAGTAACATATTACGTTATTTTTCAGGAATCGCCTATGTCAGCAAAAATTTCCCGATATATACAACAACCTCCTAGTAGAGAAAGACAGTCCAGACAGAAAACCAAGTCAAAACCTAGGCCATCTTCTGCAGGTATGTTATATATTTATTAAGACATTACAAAATATTTAAATAGATTTTTTTGTAATTATTCTATAACTTTGTACATTATTTCTTTCACATTTGCTATTAAAATATTTCTCAAAGGATTTCTGTATTTTTTGTCACAAATATCTTTTTAATATCAGGTAATGGCATTTTTTTCTTTTTTAGAAATGATTATAATAGAAAAATGGAAATTAAAAATTAATCAGAATTTATCTTTAGCTTAGCTATTTATAGAATATTTGGATTATCTAACTAACCCTGACACTGGCACTCCTGTGTGCAACTTCTCATCTTATAAACCAGTTATAAACTTGATACACTTGAAACTTCACATTTAGGACCATAATTGTACATTACTATCCAAGACCCATAACTCTAGCATGGATTATTATACAGGTATTCCTGTTGGTGATCTGAGAAAATGTTTGGTAACAAGTTTGTTATTAAACATATCTTCACGATCATAATTGAAGGTCACTGACCGTTAACTCTGACATGGAATTTCACTGGGTTATTTTCCTTAAATGAGAATTTAAATAATGTTGCAAGGCCGGCACTTAGAATTTCCAAGAACATTATCAGTCTGACAGCTTTGTTGTTTAATGTATTTTACATTGTTTAATTAAAGTGAACAACAAATAAGATAATTGGTAGCATTTTGTACTTTTTCAGCTATTTTGCATAATAGAAAATTTATATGAAGCAAAATTTTAATGAAAAAATACAATATTTTAACAATTCTATATGATATATTGCAGTAAATATCAAAATATTTTCATGAAATGTCACATTTGAAACTATTACAGCATTTTTTAAAGAAATTATATTATGCATAAAAAATTTACGTATGAATTTAGCGAGCAGCAGGGAGCACATGACACCATGGGGTTGGCAGGGTAGTAGTGCCCGTACGTCTCGAAGAAAGTGATAGGTTTGCTGTAGGCGTCTGACAACTTGTAGCCGTCCTCTAACATACTTGATGTGCTCATTTTATGCTATCATAAACAGTAGTTGCCATCTGAGTGATTTCATCCTAGGAGTATAAAACACGAGATTGGGAACCATTATTTCAAATATAATAATAGTATGATTCATGTTCCAAATTAAGTAAAGATTTCAAAACGACCTACTTTTATAGCTTGATGCAAAATGCTTGTATCTCATTTCTTACCAATGGATTTCAATTTGGAAAGTTAAACTCTTCAATACTTAAGTCTGCAATCTCATTTTGCATATTCCTGGATGTTGATTTTCGCTCATTTTTAGCATCTTTTTTGCTGTTTTATAAGCCAGGGGTCCCTATTATTCACAACCCAAACCAGGGCATCTGTCAACAGTTAGTGACTATCCAATCTTAATGTGTTATTTCCATGGAAGAAAATTATTATATCCACATGTAAGACACTTTGTAAGTGTTATACGTAACCTCCATGGAAGAATCGTTCCACATATAAGTGACTGCCCTCCAAATGTAAGTCATTGCCCTTATATATTACTTTCATGGAAGAATATATCCACATATAATAAACTACCCTTATATATAACTTTCATGGAAGAATATATCAACATATAAAAAGACTACCCTTATATATAACGGTCATGGAAGAGTAATTATATCATCATACATGTATAATTGACTTCACTTATAAATATGTTACTGACCCATGGAAGAAAATATTGTTATTCAGGTGACATATTATCCATATTTTCTAAGGATATGTTAATTCTCTTACCTGTATGATTTCAAATCCCATAACTTTTGTCTTCCTTTTATACTCATTCTTTTATTTCTGTTCTGGTATTAGACCATTTGTCATTTGTACTTTCCCTTATTCCAACCAAAAGATGTCATGATTAAATATGTCTCAGCCAGTTTACACAGTTTAAATTACAACTGCTGTGAATGTACTCTAAAGCTGACATTCAGCGATGGTGACATTATGTTCATATCATATTTACTGTGCATGGCCAAATGTAGGGCTTCATTTGTCATAAAATTATTTAGTTGAAACATGCTTATTGTTAATTTACATTTGTTTCTAATTTTGTAGCTTTAGATGTGGTTTTTGATAGCTTGTATAATTTTGTTGTAGATTCATGCTTGAATGTTTGTTTCAGGTGTACTGAAGTACTTGTGTTTAAAAGTTCAGTCCAATATTAACCTTATTTGTAAAGAAAAAAATATTTGAACTATTGGTAATTATTTAATAACTTGTGAGCAAAATGTGGAAGCAAGGGTAGACCAGTTTCCAACTTTGTTCAGATTGTGTCATCATCAACAATCTACATGATTTTGCCAAGTTTTCGTGTGGGGGAAAAACAAAACCAGTCTGAAACACAAGCCATCTATTGGCTGATATGATTGTTCAAATTCAAAATTAACCTATGGCAAAACTGCATTTGGAGACTGGTCCCTTTTATCAATTGAGTGACTGCAAGATCTAATCAGAATGATGCATTGTAGTGTGTGATACTTACATGATAAGCCATAACTGGATTTCTGATATAAGGACAGAAAATCTGACTATGCAAACTTAGTTAAATATTGTATATGATTATCATAAAGATTTTAACTAGAGTAAAAGATAGAATAGTAAAATGCTGATTATAACTTAAAATATTAGATACTAGAAGTAAGTTTTTGTAGATTTCAAGATATATATAGCGTGAATCAGATTCAAGGCACTTATTTTTCCAAATTTGCCTTTGCATTTAAATTAGTACAGACTAGTACAGTTTAGTGATTTGTAATAGATCTAGCTTTTAGCTGAAAGTGTAAAATTTAATGTCATTAGCTGCCTCTAAATGGTATTTTTATGTTAATTACACTTGTTTAAAGATGATTCATTCATTATGACACTGTGAACATTTTCTCTTATTCTGTAATGGTTGTGCTAGATTTGTTTTATATACATGTAGACTATCTCACATGAGTAATCATTTCATATAGTTTTGTAAATTTATTCTTCCACAGTCCTCAGGTATATTTTATATTACCATTCCCAATACATGAAACAAATTTGGTACAATTGCTGGATACTTATAGTCATGTGATATAAAATTACATTTCTTCATGTTGTTTAACTACAAAAGTTTAAGCAATTTTTTCTTCTTCTATTTTTCAGAGGAAGGAATAGACATGTCTAAGTTTTTAATAAGGAACTCTTCATTCAACATGTCACAAAATGACTTGGTGCCAGACGAGGAATTAGATACGCCACGTCGTGTGACAGCATTTAAAGACAAGGAACGCGAGACTAAATTTATGAGTAAAGCTCATATGGAAAGAGATCGTGTGCATAGAATACGCAAGGCACGACAGTCGGCGGAAGTGATACAGAGGTCCTGGCGTCGTTACCTAGCAAAGAAGAAATTCTACTTGAAGAAAGTGAAATTTACGTAAATGTCGCTGCCTCAGTCCGGACTGCAAATTTGTTGATATTATTTATTAAGATTTTTTCGAAATGTTTGTTCAAATGTTAACCAAGTATTTACATTTTTTAAATATGTTCAGGATACATTTTAATAAATGCATCTATTCAGTGAAATATATAAAATGATACATGTACATTCCTCAGATGAAAGATTTAAATACTATCATTTTTTGCCTTTATTGAACAAGAAATGAAGCTGGGGGGTTATACAAAATATGTTTTCCAAATGCTTTTAATTTCTGTAAAAAGTAACTGGATATTACATCAATTCGTTTGATTTTACTTTTAAGTTAAAAGTACCCTCCATTTTATAACGTTTATCAAAACATTTTACAATGAAATCAGAGGTTACAAATGGCAGCTTTTGTTTGATATTTTCAAAGATTTTATGGCTGCCAAAACAGAGTAAGCATTTATAATGTATCTTTTCATATCACTCTGTCCTTCTTATTTATTTTTTATTTGTTTCAGATCATTTTTCATTTCTGATTATTCAATGAACAAGTGTGAATAATGAAGTTTTGATAAGGTTTCAAAATTGGGAAAATATATTTCATTATGTACATCTGTTTACAGATAAGTCTGCTATATGTTTTATATTAACCTATCTCAAATTGACTTAATTGTACCTCTTTCAATCTGGGGTGTTGGGTTTTATATCTCACCAAGACAGTAAAGGTCATATAATGTGGCAACTTTCCAGCTTTACTGGTGGACAAAGACGTCTAGTGCCTTTTTGTGCATTATTTCAGGCAGGAACAAGCACCCAAGTAGAACCACCAATGTTCCGTAAGCTAGTTGGATAGTTTCATCACCCTGTCGGGATTCGAACCCAGCGCTGAAGGGCAAGAGGTTGTAGTCATAGACTGTAACTACTCAGCCTGGGACACCCCTTCAATCTGGGTTAAACGGTTAGAGTTGCTTACTAGTATATACAACATATTTCATTAAACATTTTACATGTAAATAAAACAAACACATTAAATGTGTAATAAGTATTTTAATTAGTCATTAAAATAGATAGTAATTATTGTCTTAGTAGACAAATAATGTCAAAAAGTACCTGTCATTTTCAATAACAAGATAACTAAATGTGTTTAAATAAGTATTTTGTGATATCTACAGCATTATAATCCATGTCTTGCCAACCACATACTATTAAAAGGTGTAAAGCTATATCTGGCAAATGTTTTATTAACTTTAGAATACTGTAAAATCATTTAATATCCGACTAAAATTTCAGCAATGCCAAATCTCTATACATCAGTCTTCTGAATTTAGGTTAACAAATGTACTTCGGTAGGATTTTTATCACAATGAAAACAAATTGATTATTCTTGCATATCAGACTGGCATTTCCGTGAGTTTTACCCATGCCGGAAATTTCATCTGGCATGGGGGGTTCCAGATGAGTCGCGTGCTGTACAATGGTACGGTTAGGATGACGTCATTTTACCGTTATGAATGAAGTTGTAATTCATACGCTGTTGTAAGAAAGTAGTTACGGTTGTAATGATATAAATTTTCATTGAAAATAAAGATGAAGAATTTTAAATATAATAGAATATGGTAGAATATGCAAGAAAAAATATCTGACATGTTTGCGATTCGGATTGGAATATCCGTCCCTTGGTCACCCGCCCATGGGCGGGTCACCTAGGGACGGATATTCCAATCCGAACCGCAAAATATGACAGATATTATTATTCTAGCCTTTATCGACAGCCAAATATAGCTAGATACCCTTTAATCTAGATAGCGTTTTATAATTCTGCCATTATATTTACTTTCGACTAGTTAACCATACATCATTAAAGTATAATTCCTAGTTGTTTTTTACGAGGCATATAGTTACATTGTTGGATTGACCTTGGACTAAAGGTCAGTTATTTTTTTTTAAAGTACAAATATTTGTTGCATTTATAATGTATTTTAATTTATAACAGAAGCTGTGATATTAATTGATAAGGAAATGTTAAAATATTTTGCTATTTTTGTTGAATAAAAACACGAATTTATATTTCAATATGTGTCAATTAATTGCTTTTATTTTGCAAGGTTGGGATTTTACACAACTCTGGAAATATATGTTCAAAGCTAGACTGTTTTTGGAAACAATGGCAGTCTGCTAACCACCGTTTAAACCATCACCTCTGAATCCACTTGACCAAAATTGGTAATCAATGGATGAAGCTAAAGTTGTTCCAGTCAATTAATTGTATGTCTTGTTCATAGGGAGAACATCATGATGGCCCTATATCAATCCCATTAAGATTCATTATTGGCAAAGACTAGATTTCTTCAATGTAAGTCACTGGGCCTTATCCAAGGCTCACACACTGAAAATTAAGTGGTTTGTACTTGAACAAGAGGGCCATTATGGCAAGAGATAGCTCACCAAAGATCCAGGTGTTTTTTTGGCTGGGTTTTACTTTCGCACCAACACAGTATAGGTCATATAACGACTCCAGCTTTACTGGTAGTGCATGACCTCAGGTGCCCATCTGTGCACTATTTCAGGAATGAACGGGCACTTCTTTGTAGTTTCATGTGTTTACCTATACAAGGCTAGTAGGTCAATGGTTTCTCTGAAGTACATTTGCAGCCAGTATCATTGCTACATGATAATTGTGGTCTTCTGTCACTGGCTAATCAAACATAGTGTGTGAAGCAGTTGCAATCAATGTTTAACAGGCTAGTTGCAGCATCTAAGTGCAATGACAATATTAACTTAACAATACTCAAATGTTTTTTTAATGTATCTCTCCAAGCAATTGTTTTAAATATATTGCACTCTAGACATTATTTAGGTAAGGAAAAATATTCTTCAACCTGTAACTGTTATATGGTAACTAACCATTACATGGAACACTGTGGAAAGTTAAGGCACGAGTGGACACCGGAGTAGAACCACTGACCTTCCATAAGCCAGCAGGGACAGCTTCCTCTAATGTCCTTGTTGGGATTTGAATCAATAATAGTGAAGAGCAACTTCAAACGTAATTTCAAGTTAGCAATATAAACCACTAACCTAGCTTTTAACCAAGAAAGCAAAGAAACAAGAACATCAAATTTTGTCTTTTATTCTGGACATGTAAATGTATAATTTAGAACAGTTCTATACTAGTTCCATAATGACATAAAAACATAAAATTTCCTTATCCTCAAATTTCTCCCCCTTCCCCCGAAACATTAAAATTTGCCCAAAATTTATCATCCCATTCTCCAAGGTAACTTTTTTGGAAGCCTGTTTTATTCACCCCTTATTTTAAATATAGACAAACAGGCTTGTGAATTGAATTTAAAGCCCCAACCCTCTCCTTAGCCCCAGCCCTGAAAAAGAAAATAATTATTCCTGCATTCTTTAAATCCTCCATGTTCAAGAATTTTCACTACACATATCAAGGAGACAATGTTTAATAATTTTCACAAGATAATTATTTCCATCCACAAAAAAATACATTTGTACTTGAGTTCCTTCATCATGTAATTCCAAAACTTTGTGGTGTTTTCATTTCCTTTCCTGTTGTTATTCAATCTTTCTGTTCCTTTGTGGTGTACCAATTCTTTCTGGTAGTTGTTCCTCCTTTCTGTTCTTTTCCAGTGTAATTCCTCATCCCTTTTTTATTTCATTGAATCAAGTTTGCACATGTGTATTGTCATATCTAGTCAACAATACGCAATGAACACATGATTTTTTATATGTCGTGTAGAAAATGTTTACACACTATATGTACATATCTAGGGACCGAAAACACATCAATGACAAATCTGTACCTACAAAATAGCAAGAACAAAAAGATACATTGAACATGTGATCAATTCAGATTCTACAATGTTTCTTCCATTTCCCAGGGATATAGATTATAACCTTAAAATTCTTGCAAAGATTGAAATAAATTCTTTCTGTGTCAACTTGCATCAGACATTAAGAAAAAAACAGGAAATTTGATAATTTAAAAGTACAATGTAAATACAAACATAATAAAAGATGTAGAATGTTACAAAATAAATACAATAAAATAGAACATTTATATGCTTTACTAAAGAAATGTATCTAAATATCTTGTTAATAAAAAATCTGAAGATGGAATTTCAAAAATTACCTATTGACTGTCAATAATAGAATTTTTAAGGACTGAAATTTATGGACAAAATCATATTTAATTTTTTACTTGTATCTCACATAAGTGCACCAGGAAATGGAAGAAACCTTTTTTTATCAAACAACAAGATCTCCTTCTCATATATGTATAATTGTATGAATAGAAGATTCCCAGACTCATGAACTTAAACAAGTGTACACATTAAAGGAATTCCACTGAATTACAAAAGACAAAAAACTTAAAAGTTTCACATAGATTCTGCTTCGGCACTTAAAACAGGAAAGTTATGCAAAACATTAATAATTAAGAAATATCCTTAGAAATAAATTAAAAATCGTATTTTTGTGCTATTTTTAGCAATATTTGAGTGAAAAAGTGTATTCTGGAAATATGTAAGCAAATGATCTTAAATTTTGCACACAAGTTATGAAGAAATGAAACATTAATCTCAAAAAAAAAATTCCAGTCCCATCATGTCAGTGGAGTCCCTTTAATTATTTTTAGTATACCAAAAAAAAAAAATACATTTCATAACTAGCTATAAAACCTATAATATTCAACAACATGATATATGATAGTAATAATTATCAACAGAAATTTGAATAACTTTTGTCAAAAAGAAACCATTATTCTATTATTCTGACAATTCAATGTGTTTTTAAAACATAAAATAGATAAACACAATTTTACCAAAAAGGAAAAGCAATACTTCCACGAGTTAGCAAAATATAATACATAGAAAAATGCATAAAAGGTTATTGTACGAGTATTTTGTTCCAGAACTGGTCTTTTTTGCCTTTTGGATTTCCCATACATGGCACTGCAAAGCCAAGTCCAATCCATTCTAAGGCCAAATACCAGTACTACATCAAGATACTTTTACAATGACCCTTTTAATATATTCCTTCTTGTAACTACATATTTGACCATAGAGTGCACTAGCTCTCCCTATTCTTTGAATAGAGGAGCTAAAAACATCAAAAAATATCCAGGTATATCTCAAATACCAACATTAAACAGGAACAATAAATTTTCATTACAAATTAAATTTGTTAAACCTAAATGCCTGTTGTTTTTTTTTAACTCATGAACTAGTCATGGTATACTGTAATCTATTTGGCACCACAATTCAATCACCAAAGGACAACAGTGGACAATAGAAATTGCTAAATGTTGATCATCGACCAAATTGCTGTCTGATATGCAACAAATTTTCACCTCGCCCAAGGATAAAACCAGGGTCTTGTGGTTACATTGACCAATCACGTTCCTTTGTTTTATTCACAAATCATGTGAATTGTAAATAGTTTGCTAAAAGATATTAAATCATTTTAACAACTTTGATAAACATTTAATTAAATTTCTTACTTCAATTAACAAGAGAACAAAATTGACTCATAACTTTCCAAACATTTTTGTCAGTTTTTTCGAGTTTCTTAAATAACAGTAGTGTGTAATTATATAAGCAATATCACTGTTATCAAAATGACAATATTCAAGAAATTTAAAAATTGGCAATACTCAAGTTATTTATATACTGGCAATATCAAAGTAACTTTAATATTGGCAATATCCCAGTAATTTGAATATTAACAAAATCCTAGAATACAAATCTTGATAAAAAAATATAAATCTTGCGAGATAAATTCTGACAATATCCCAGTAATATCAATATTGGCAATTTCCAAATTATTATAAATATTGGCAACGTTCAAGTAATTCTCACAGTGACAATATACAAATAATAGATAATGACATTACTAAATATAGATATTGGCAATATGAAATGATATGGGTATATTGGCAATATCCATAGATTCTAAATACTGTCTATATCTAAGTAATAAACATATTGCCAAAATCTGTTTACAATAGACATTGGCAATATTTGCAATATCCAAATGACATATATCTAGGCAATATCGATGTATGGATATTTGGCAATATCTGTGTAATATAAAGATATTGGCAATTTCCAAAACTAGATATTGAAAATAAGAATGCTGTTAGATATCATTATCAATAGAGGAAAAATGTTGTTTTGCTCTTGAATAAGAAATATATATATTACAACAGTTAATAACCTTTTTTTGCTTGGGTTATTCATTGCACAACTTTCCAGTTACTGGCCGAGGCAGACCCCAGGTGCGCCTCTTTGCATTAATTCAGGCACGAACGGGCACCCGAGTAGAACCACTCACACTCTGTAAGCTAGCTAGATAGCTTCCTCATATAATTATAAAAGAATTAAAGGTCCCTGGGCGGGGCTCAAACCAACAACAGTGAAGAGCAAAAGATTTAAAGTCAAAAATCATAACCACTCGTACACAGACGCCCTAATTAATTACTATATTGCCACTCAACATTTCGGTACATTTGTTTACTAATTATTTAATAGGAATAACCATTTAATATTTTCCATACATTTTATGCTGTTTCTGTGTTGTAAAAATCAAGTACAATGTAATGTCAAACAGTATCATGACATATGTTTTAACAAATGTTCTTTCACAAAAATTTGACACATCCGAATTCATCATCGTTAGGTCAACTGTTAATTAATAACTTTTATCACAAGCCCATGCCGCTTTTGCGACTCTGTAAAAATGATGTTGCATGGCTATATATTTTGACACGAAGTCACTGGCATTTACGAACATAGCATAAAGATGCGCTTATGTTAGCATTACACTATAGGCGCGTCAATGTAAAATGATTCCTTTTCACTATAAACAGTCTTTGTTTTGGGTATGTGATAAATAGAATATTTCTGAGATTCATTACTGAATTTATTGAACTTGTTGAATACAATAATATTCAGCTCGCCAGAGGCACACATAAGATAATTTTATTCAACTTGTTCAATAAATTCTGCAATGAACCTACTCTGAGTGCATATTACTAAATTTTCTAATCAATAAATAGATTTGCAACTCAAAAGGCTTCATGTTCATTTTTCTTCAAACCCTTAACTTAACCATCAAATAAACATTCTACCTGTAACATAGTTTTTTTTGCTGCTTTTTTGCATACATTTAAAATTTTAAACAATGTATATTTATCAACATAAATCACTTAAAGCAAAAGTACCTTGAAAATGAACAAGTAATACATTGGCATTAAAGTATTCCCTGTAAGTATATAGATGGTAAGATCTGCTAAATTCTGCATTTAACTTAACAGGGGGGATGAATTCTTTCCGACAGTACTTAACTTAAACCGTTATTTTTACAGCCTTCACTGCCAGTAAAACGCTTGATCAGCCTACACTTTTTTGCAGCCTGAGCAGACCGTATACTGTTAGCTAGGAGAACAACTTTTATATATTCACACCATGAATTTCCTTAAATTAATAAGAGTGATAAATAAGTTAAATAACATGTCAAATCTAGCAGGTTAATTTGTGAAACAAACTTAAGATTAACCAATAATCATCAAATCTTATATAATTTCATTAAAACCACAGTACAGATTTACCTATAAAGCAAACATTCTTATATAAACATAAATTATGAAAGTTGAGTATACATAAAATTGACAACACAAAGTCATCAAAACCATAAAGATTTATACAAATTTTCTAATATATACCTGAAAATAAAACTTATCCAATTTCATAACATACTCTTGTTTGTTAATGTGCTACGTAAAATCCAATCATATATTCTACATCAGTACTTGCCGGGAAAACAACATTTTTATAACATGAACTTTGAGGTCAGACACTGTTAGATAAAAGTAGTTGTAGATATACATAGACTTCAGCCAGGTACCAAGGTTTTGTGCCATTTATTTTTACTTCCAAGCATTTGACCATAACGATTACAAATACATATTTTTCTGTTTTTTGTTGTTTTTTTTTGGCTACAAGCACAGTAATGGTCACATGACGACATTCCAGCTTGACTGGTGCGAGAATATCTCAGGTGCTTCTCTATGCAATATTTAAGGCTCAAGGAGTAGGTTAACTGACTTAGACAAAAACTCTAACGTAAGCAAGACTTAGGTACGACCCAAACGGACCGACACCAAGAACAACTATAACACTTCCATACAGCTTTTAAGTTTTACAACTATTAGATATTATAAAATAAAACATAAATTCTAAACATATATTGCACATTATTATCATGCATTGAAAATGTAAACAACATGCCAATTTATAATGAACAAGTTTGTTAACAATCTGGACACATGGTCTGCAGCAATCATCAGGCTCTGAAACTGAACTTAACATTAGTATAATATAACAACAACATCATTAGGTTAAAACTTAGCACTAAATCTTAACAAATTGTAGATAAAACATCAAAACAGACAACCAATATCACCGAGTGTAAAAGGCTCGAGACTTAACATATTATTGCATTTATCAAAGACTTTAACCTGCGGAATTTATGTAATGGATTTGCCCAGCTTTGAATATGAAATACTTGAAATCAATATGTGGTGTAAGAGATTCCATTTATTAAAATGAAAAAATAAAAATTGAGCTACCAACAGTATAGAGTCAGGCCAGCCTGCACATCCGTACAGCCTGACCATGCACTTTACTGGTGGCAAAGGGCAACCACTTTCGATTCCCACAGGTTAGAGGCTAAGCATGTGAACACAATGTGAGAGGGTGGTAGAAAAATATAAATCATAAACTATATACATACGAAATGGTTATCACAGGAAGTTATGAAAGACCACGGGCATTATGGGTCAACATATGACGGCAGTAAATAACTAATACCAATTAAAGAAGAAACTCTCTCATTCCTTTCAAAACAGGTAAAAAAACAAACATAGAATTTTTTAAAAGAGCCCTTCATAAGTAAGAAGTAAGTTTAATAATAAAATTAAAGTATAAATCAAAGATAGCACCATATAGATTGTCAATAAATACATAGTCTATTTAATGCTCAGCATTACAATGTAAAGTCATATACATGTACATCTATTTATTGAATCACATAGGGCTTCGTTTGGGCTCAGCCCATTCCCCTTTTAAATTCCTTCCCATTTAAATGAATAGTTTTTATCACAAAGTGACATCAGGCAAACATCAAGTTTACAGTAATATTTACGACATATTTTTTTTACATATCACACAATTCACATATGGATCAGCATTGTATACACTAAATGAAATGTGGTCAGAATACAGTAAAGATTTTTGATTCCTTCCAATCCTAAATTCAATTTTAAACAGATTCAAACAGAAGGCGCATAAATGCCATTTGATAAACATATCTGTTTCGCATGTGTATAAGAATGTACACAAAAACAAAGACCCACATATGAATCATTTCTTCAATGCAAATAATTGAAACAAAAATAAGAATTTATACAAAGAAAATATTCCATTCCATTTCAGTCCGTACAGCAAAAACTCTTAATTTTTTTTTATGAAGAGTGCATGAATTGCACAAATTAAGTTTTTTAAGAAAGAGTACATGTATATCTTAAAATCTATCTTGCATAGAAATCAGTAGACAGTTTTCACACATTAAGCTTAAATTTACTGCAAAAGTAAAAGGCTGAAAATAATGAAATTTTCAATTTCATATGCAAGCATTAATTGCATGAAAATAAGGAAGGTTGTGGTAAATAAATATGCATTGGTGTCAACAAATATGCAATTAAACCGACTATATCACATATTATAGTTACGATGTCAGATTACAAACGCATATTTAAACATGACATTGTCAACATGAACAGTGTGAAGGTATCTCTTAATTCACTAATCAATGGCATTTAATGAACAAAAGAAACACAAGTAGCTGAAATACAAAAGAATATGTTCTAAGACGTATTCTACTGACTCCATAATTCCAGACACATGTGTGTATATATATATAAAAGCTCATAGAGTTAATTTCTTCACTATCTCTATTATAGCCCACACTATTTAAGACATATGAGCAAATTTTAGTATCAACAGACAGTTCACTTTATATCAAGTTAAAGTGCATAGTTCAAATTTTTCCATATCAAAATTCCTATACATCTTTTCAATTAATCATTATTCATTACACATTCAATCACTTGTTCAATCACTTGCAAGTTTTCAATTATATTTCACTCATAAAAAGCCTAAATCTAACTAAAATAGTAACGTCCTTAATATTGCAAGACACAATTAAAATTTCAAGTTAAAAGATGATTGCTTCTTATGCTTCATTTTCTGGGCACACTTTTTTTTGCATGAGGAATTCTTGATCAAAATCACATAGCAAATTTACAAGAAACTACAATTTACTATACCCTAAAAAACTGCATATCCCATATATGAAAACATAAGTTATACAGCACATGAAATGCAATTATGACAAATGACATGGCAACATGGTTTTTAATGAGACAGATGGATGGATGATGTTACAATGATGTGTTGTGAACACCTATGAACACCTAAAAGCTATGCCACCAGTATAAAGCCAGGCCAGCCTGTAATCCGTACAGTCTGATCAGGCTCTTTACTGTTGGTTAATGAATTTCACATTTTCGATATTTGAAATCATTGAACCTTACAATTACACAGCACGGTTCCAACCCAATACATTACAAGTTAATTATATAAATGCACATGGGTAAGCAATGAAATTGCTATTTGGTGCAATTTATGATGATTTTATAGCTACAAAGAAATTCTATCACAGTAACGACATAACATATAATTATACAAGAAGTAATTATGTTCCGAGACAAGCAAGGCAAAGTTGCCTTGGCTACCTCAACAATGCTGTGTTTCCTATAACCTTACAATAAATTTATAAATGATAACGGGTGTCTACTGTAAAATCAGGAAATGTTGGGTTTTTTTTGTTTTTTTTAATGATCCAAAAATAAACATTTCTGCATAGCACATAGTTGGGTTTTCTTTCCTGATTTTAGAGTAATTTACAATAGTATTTAAATATTTGCACTGCAAAGTCAGTTTGTCTTGTTGACCTTATAACACTTGTTTAAGACAATTCTAGGAACACATATTGATGCAAATTTTCTTTGTTAGAAAAAAAATCTACTTTCAAGGACAACATTTTTTTGGGAAAAAAGTACACACTAAACTATAGAAGCAAATCTTGTATGGCTATGACAAAGGAATGTTTATTTTGTGTTTGTGACTTTGCAATGCAACGTTTACAACCAATGTTAATAATAAAGCTGGGTTGCTTTGTTTATTTCTAAACTGTAGTCATTGTTAACACATATATATGTTTCAATTACATCAAGAACTGATTTTAACATATTGTTGCACCAATCGATTTTTACATCTTTTTTGAAACTAAATCATATATTACATTTCATCATTTCTTTAAATAATCAATAACTTACCGAACATTCTCTCAGCATTTAGAACCAATATTTTAACAAATAAATGTTCTACACACTTAGTACTCAAAACCCATTATACTGTATTTACAAAGTAACATTCAGTAAAAAAAAAATTCTCCATAAATCAACAGAATTTTAACAAATTACCGGTAATATAAAATAATTTTACACATTATACCACCGTTTTCACATATACAAAATTGCATTTGCATAAATATGACAAAGCTATGTATATTACCAACCTTAAACTAAAACTTGGCAAAACTTTAATAAATTAACAACTAGATTAGAAATAGTGTTTATTGATTAAAAATATTAAATCATCAGTAATTTTATTGAAATTGATAAACATGAAAGTGTTTCAATAAAAAAAAATCCACATATATTTCTTTTCATAGAACATAAACATATGGGAGCTCTTTGAATTTTCAAAACTTTTTGAAGAAAAAAATCCCAAAGTTGAAATGAGATATTGGAAAAAAAAAATTTAGGACAAAATCATTTAAAACTTAAAGTTAGGACATTTGGATATATAAGTAATTATAATAAATAGCAAAGAAAATAACAAAAAATACAGTAAAAAACATGAAAATTTCATTTGATCTATGATAAAAAAAAACCACAGAGTAACAACCATAAAATCTTTCGTCTTAAGAAATAAGACCAGCGCTTGTACTCTTGTGCCTGAAGGGCGGATAGATCCTCGTTAAGCCTAGAATACACAAAGTAAGACCAGCAACTGTGTAATTGTTAACAAAAGTACATGACATTTATTTCATTTCGAATTGATTTCAAGTCACATCAAAACTGTCACGGTCATAAGACCCTCCAGCCTATATCCAGGACCAAGGTAAAACTACCGACCTTTAAATGATTTGCTACACTCACATAAAAGTATTCAACAATGAGAGATTTGAATCCATAGTGTTGTAAAGCCAATCAAGTAAGCAACTTTTACCCCTCAGCAACAAAGGTTTGAACATAATATTTTTATAACAGTATCATCCATTCACTTCTTTCTATACAAGTATACCTTATATTTATAATTGTCTGAAATCATGATACAAAGTCATCTTAATACAAAGAAGTTCCAAATTCTTTCAATGAATAGCTTTAACATACAAGCTTTTAAATTTAGTCATCAGTTTCCATTTTTCTAAGTTTGAACCACAAAGCAACCCAGCATTCTAATTATATATTACACAACAGAAAAAAAAACAAAGCCACAAAAAAATGAGGTAAAAAAAAAAATTGCGGCAAAATCAGCAACATCTGGTTCCCTGCTTTGGCACTTGAGAATTTTTCTATGAGATCTTTTATAAAGCTAGGAAGCACCGAAATCAAGAGCACCTCCAAAATTTTTTTGGCTGAAAAAAATAATAGACTAGGTAAATACAAGGCACTAACCTGGACAAGGTCTATTATAACATCCTACATATTCCTGACTTACAAAAATACAAAATTTACCAAAAGATAGTCACTTACCTGCAGCACTTGGGATTTATATGAACATCTAGGTAAATTCTGCTAGGCATTCAAACAATAACTGGCTAAATAAACATATGAACAATGCATCTTTTATTCATATAACCTCTTTAAAAACAAAAAATCTACTCCTCAATATTCAACATGTCCCTACAGACTTCAATAAAAACTTCCTTTAACTGAAGCCTGCAGAAAACATCAACATTTGATATAGATTTTATTCCATCGTAATACTTACAATTAAAATAAACAATTCCGCCAAATGTAACTAATGACGACTACTCCTGTACTCTCGCTCACGTTCCCTATCACGATCACTGTCCCGTCTGTCACTTCGGCTTTCTCTGTGTCGTTCCTCGTACTCTCTTCGACTGTCTCTTTCACGGCTACGTTCTCGATATTCCCTTTCACGACTACGGGACCTGTGTCTGCTTCTCTTTTCACGTTCCCTGTCACGATCACGTTCACGGGAGCGAGACCTTCCGCGCTCTCTTGACCTGAAACAAATTATTAACCAATGAGATTGATCTGAATAAAAATATCAACTCCAAATATTTACATAAAACATGTACCTATGTATACTAACAGATGCAAAACAGACTTGTGAGTTTACTATCTGCTCATCTTTTACATAAATGCAATAGTAAACATGCATGTACACTAAATAGCAGGTGTCAATCCAATTAATGTCCTGAGCTGTTTATTGGTACAATTTTATGTTCATTGCTACATTTTTATGAATTATTTAAACCTTTTAATGATATTTACATTTTAATATTCACTTGAAAGCACATATTCTAGCAACTAAAGCCAACATTTTATTTCAAATAAAGTAAAAGGGACACACACAAAAATGCACTTGTACCTTCCTACCATCTATCTTATCCAATAAATGGATGAATTTTCTAGAGTAAACAAATCTATATGAGAAGAAAACTATGTATCATAAATATCTTATCTACTATTATTCTACACCACACACAAACACACACAAAGTATATTCAAGAAATTTTATAGTTTTAAAAGTTATGGGTGTCTTTTTATTATTTTATATACCATTTTTTCTGTGGAAACTATCATATTACACAATAAATTTCATGTTAATGCAGATATTAAATGTTAACAAAGAACTTCTTTGTAGTTTCTTGTAACTTTAACATAATTCTCTATAATATACATATATTTATTATTATTTTAGATATATATTTCAACAGTCTAATGTCTATCAGTCATGACAAAAATTACACCTAAACCCATAGCCTGATGGCTGCATGACTATACCCATGCAATCAGTCCAGACCAAGGTCAGCCACTGTTTGCCACTCAGACAGTACTGATTTTGATTTCGCTTTTAAATGACAAATAATTTTGTCCAGACTGGGTAAGTCCATTTATTATACTTAGCATGTTAGGGGTTACACATTTGCAGAAATAATGATAGATCTATAACAAGAAACACATAAACAATATACAGACTGGTCTTACTTTCACTGTTGGTTACTTAATGACAACCAGACAGTTTGCAATTTCAACTGTTAGGCGTGCCATGCCAATCATGCAAATTTTGCAAGGTCAAGGTTCATCAAATATCAGTCTAAAATACTTATTCAAGTGGTAAAGATTTTCAATACTAAATGGAAATACTATTCATTGTTTGTTTTGTAAGTATGTGAAAACCCTTATGCCTGTTGAGAAGTGAATATATTAATTCCGGAATGTAAATCTGTATTCAAACATTATGAAACTATGTAGATATAACAGGAAACTTACAGTTAATAGGTTTCAAGGGGTAAAACAGCTAGCATAATAATATTACATAAACATATTTCTATAACCCTTATCCTGCTGAATTCTGTAACAAACTTTTTCTGGCTCGGTTTTTCCGGAACTATCCCGAGTTCCAAGATACCAAGACGGAAAATTTCAAATTAAGTCAGCCAACAGTATAGAGCCGGGTCATACTACACATACAGCGCAGACTGGCCGGGCTCTATACCGGCACTTTCGGTTTCGAGCAGGTTAAGGGTTTGAACTTAGGGAAGGGATTAAACAACTGACCGTGACACTACAGCAGATGATGTATGTTTCATGGAGCTTGGACTGTAAATCAAAATATTTCAACATACAGCATGAAACTTATTCAATTCTAAAAAATGTACAAAATTTAAACCATGTTCAAGTTATAGTCAAATTTACAGACACAATCATGTGATTATCTTTTTGACCAAAATTAGTCTCTCCCAAACATTATCAAAATTTGCATTTATAAAGTTACATATACCCTACTATGAAAACATGCATTAAATAAGACCTTAATTTCAGCAATTACAAAAAGTATTCTAAATTGAAGTATTCTGCTTTAATAAAATTATAAAAATATCTGTTTAAATTTATGTAATAACATCTTACAATACCTATGTATTTGTATTAAGATTTTCATTCAGTCCAAAATCCATTTAACAATATTGAATAATAATCAGACATGCTTTATTAAATTTTGGTTATTTCAAGCAAGGAAACTTTAACGCATCGCAAGCAGCAATTAATGGCCACAAATTCTAACGCAAATGAACTAAAGATAATAAAAAAATAACTTATTAAAACAAAATATTGCTAAACAACTTACTTGGATCCGTATGATTTTTCCTCTATTCCATGAAGCGTGTCTTGTAAAGAGCTGATGAGGATTTTACATCTATCATCGTTGGCAATCTTTGACTGTTTTATTAATGATATGGCTGTGACTAGAGTCTCTATAGCACTAGCAAAGTCACCTGAAATTAGTCAAGTACTTAGTCATACATATTCATTTAAATCCAGGTCACATAGGTCAAATGAAGATCAAGTACTAAGACATACATACTCATCTAAATCCAGGTCACATAGGTCAAATGAAGATCAAGTACTAAGACATACATACTCATCTAAATCCAGGTCACATAGGTCAAAATTAAGATCAAGTACTAAGTCATATATACTCATGTAAATCTAGGTCACATAGGTTAAATGAAGATCAACAATTCAAACAGTGAATAAATTCGATTATATGACCAACTTCAAATTTTCCTCCTGATATCCTCAATATTGATAATGGACAGTTCCAAAATGGAAGTTGGACAAGTCCATTTAAGAAATTTAGCAGGTTAAGGGTTAGTATAACGTACCTGCACTTGCATCTTGTACCGCACGGGAAATTGCACTGCTAGAAACTGTTTTATTTCGCTGAAAGATTTCCTCAAACTCTTGTTCGGATAATTGTGGTGCTGGGGGCTCACTCCTTAAATAAAATACAAACAAGAGCTGTCCGTAAGACAGCGCGCTCGACTTTTTTATTGCTTGCCAATAAAAAAAGTTTTTGCAGTAAAAGGCAATACAAGAATCTCTGTATTTTTAAAGTGAACAATGGCCATGAGCATTAAGATATTTAGTGAAGAATTATTTGCCAATAAAAAAAGTTTTTGCAGTAAAAGGCAATACAAGAATCTCTGTATTTTTAAAGTGAACAATGGCCATGAGCATTAAGATATTTAGTGAAGAATTATTAACCAAGATTCTAAGTCGATAAAAGGCCTTAATTTTTAAAACAAATCCTTGACAGAGTTACCTTCTCTTGCGTACAGATGGGGGTAATGATGTGAAATAGCATTAAAAGTTTCAAAGCAATATCTCAAAGGGTTAAGGCAATAAGTGGATTTTACCCATATTCAATGTATTTTCTAAGTCAAAAAGGGGCATAATTCTGTCAAAAACCTTGACAGAGTTATGTCCTCTTGTCTGTTGATGAAGGTCGTGATGGTAAACAAGTATGGTCAGTTTCAAAGCAATACCTCCAATGGTTTTGAAATAAAGTGAGGTGGTACAAAAAACTTAACCAAGCTCAATACACTTTCTAAGTCAAAAAAGGGCCATAATTCTGTCAAAAACCTTGACAGAGTTATGTACTCTTGTCTGTAGATGGAGGTTATGATGGTGAACAAGTATGGTAAGTTTCAAAGCCATACTTGTAATACTTCTGAAATAAAGTGGGGTGGTACGAAAAACTTAACCAAGGTGTGACGCCAACGCCGACGCCGACGCCGGGGCGAGTAGGATAGCTCCCCTTTTCATAGAAAAGTCGAGCTAAAAAAGTACATTTTTAAGTCCTAGTAATACATTGTCACAATCTACTTTCCTTATTTAATTCCTTATTTCTACATTAAGTCATTTTACTTGAATGGAAAATTAATTTCTGTTCCAAGAATTAACTCAATACTCATACTACTATAAAGAATTTCACCAACTGCTTAACTAATTTATTTTCTTGCATATCACAAAAAATCTAGGCAACTCCTCACTGCACAAAGTAAAATCAATGTTCATATATATTTACTTTTACCAATAACCAACTGAAAAAGATAAACCCCTTAACTAACATTCTAAAATGTTTTAGAAGTTTATCCATCAAGATCAACTTTTAGTTTAGTTAATGTGGCATTAAGTCCATCTGAGGGTAAATAGTGAGTGAAAAGGTAAATGTCAAAATGAGTTTATAGTTTGTCATAATTTCTGTAAATATACATACCTGTAACGGTCATTTATAAAGAGTGGGATAATCTTTTTATCATTTATGCAGTTTTAAATCATTTTCAATATCAACTGTTGGTCAGTCAACATAATATCAGTCAATCTTTTGAAATATATAGTCTATTCAGTTTAAACTGACAATCAATAAGACGAGCATTATGTCACTTTCCATTTTAAATTTTTTATTCTAGCTTCATAGTGAAAATTATTAGATTGTTTGAATTGCTGTTCAGTGCACTTGCTCTTCATTCTAGCCAATTACGAGTACTTCAGATTTTTTTTTAATGAAATATCCCCTTATATCAAAGTCATCACCCTTTAACACAAATAAATCAATGCTCATACAGTGTGGATTTAATTGACTAGTATTATTGTTTGTTTGTTTTGGGTTTTACGTCACATCGACACAGTATAGGTCATATCGCGACGTTCCAGCTTTACTGGTGGAGGAAGACCTCAGGTGCCCTTCCGTGCATTATTTCAGGCACGAACGGGCACCAGAGTAGAACCACCGACTAGTATTATAATCTGACATAGAGAAACAAGTATAATGGATGGCCAAAGGTAATGTTGATTTGCCGATTTGCCAATAAAATGAAATGAAATGAATGTTAAACCTTTTAGGATCATATCTGTCAGGAGCGGGCCTGTAGGGATCTGAGGGAGGGTATGTGGATGTTGGAGGCGGTCTTCCATATGGATCAACTGTTGGGGCTGGATGAGATGTCTGAAAATAAAATCATTTATTTCTAAATTATCGACATTTGCATTAAATCTTCTATTTATATATACAGCTATCAAAAAAGCAGAATTCCTCAATTATGAGAAAGAACAGATTGCAGTTGTTGATAGCATCCCCTAGGACTTTCTCAAAATCTTACACTGGACAAATAAAATGCCAGTGTGAGATAACTATCAATTTGGTGAGAAAATTATCTATAAATAACCACTAACAAACATCATTACAGCATAGACAACTTGTGAATAAACTTAACTAGACAGTTGTTAACCAAATACAAAAAAAACCTTTCCAGGCCAAAACGTTCATCAAACCTTTGTTTTGTTCAAAGCTTAAATCATTTTTCAAGTAAACATTACTGTATATAAAAGACTATTAGCATTAACACATCTTAATACATGTCACAGTATTAAAATCATCACTAACAGGGGTCACACAAAACACAATTGGTAGAGCTGTGGAACTATATTACCGGTCAGGCGCCAAACAAGGAATTGAAAATTCCACGCGTCAACTCATAATAATGAGTAAAATTTAAGAGAATACTATGCAAAATGAGTAGAAAAATGTTGCCTGCACATTGGATTTAGAGGCTACTCGTCATGCATGACAAGTGACTTTGAAAATATTTTTTGATGCCTGTAACTCTTAACATTTAGATATTGCTATATACATATATCAAATTTGTACAATAATAATAATTATCTGGCATATCAAATCTGTACAATAATACTGATTATCTGAAAACTTACCGGAGGAGGCAGAGCGGAGCCGTGAGCAGGGGGAAAGAACGCTGGATTGACATGAGGAGCAGGTGGTGCCACTGGATGTCCTGGCGGGGGAACTCCTGGTGGAGGCTGTGATGGAGGCATACCTATTTTATAGAAATAACACTTGAAATATCTTGTATCAAATCAGTATACTTTTATCCTATTCATTTTTTTCCTGGTTCAAAATTATTCAATAACACTGATGTATCAATCTGCAACGATTATAATAAAAGCAATTAATGATAATGATAAATCATCATTTGGAATTTGACCTAAAGCTGTAGATTTATAAACATTCTCAGAACCATTGCAACAGAAAATGGTGGTTCTTCGGGATCATTGATGCTAGCACTATTAAGTGTTGAGAATTGAGTACCGTTCAAGTCGGTGCTAGGGGGCGTGAGGGATGTTATATTTATTCATTATCCCTCATGTACAGACTCAATCAAACTGAGTCTACAAATTTCATGTAATTTTGTTGTGATTAATGCTCTTGATTGATCACTTGGTTTCCAGACACGTGTATTACATTTTAGCAACATAACTGAAATTGGTCATCTAAACTAAACATCTGGTATCGAACCATTTTTCTTTTAGAAAAAAAATAGAAAAAATAATTGAACAAAAACTAAAACAATACCTGGAATACCTGGAGCCACTCCTCTGATACCTGGAGGGGGTACTGGCTGGGGCGGGGCTTGGCCTCGCACTGGGTATGGGGCTGCAATAGGACGTAGAATGCTCGTAACTGAAAGTAATTCACTTGATAATTCTCGACATTCTAGTGTATCTTACTTACCAGCTAACCATTTAAGCAACCATTTAAAAATATTTCAGCATGGAAATATAATACATTACGTAATAATTATAAAGAAAAGAAAATAAAATGTATCCAAAATCAATATATGAAATGAAATAAACCCAAAACCATTTTTAACAATAGCCTTCACCTTAACTGTACCTTACTTTCAACCATAGAAAGATCCTGAACCTTATAACATCTTGTTTAAAATGCTCATCCTTAGGAATTATGTAAGTATAGGGATTCATTCACCATAGGAATTCTTACTTATTGAAATCCCTGAGCAATTGTAATTATCCATAGGAATTACTGAATCATAGGAATTCTGAACAACGACTCAAAAAACCAAAGGGAGTCTTTAAACCATAGGAATACAGAAAGTATGTTTGAACATTAACATTTCCCAATTACCACATTGGAATTTAATCAAACATTTATAAATTTAAACACCTTTCCCCACAGCAAAATAGCAACATTTTTCAGACCAGATTAACTTACACTAAGGATAACAAAAATTTGTATTTAATACTATTTATATTATTTAGTATATGTATAATATTCAACTGACTGAATTTTTTTTATACACTACACTATAATTTACATGTTTTTATCTGAAATATAGTTAAGAGTTTAATAACTTCTGCCTATAAATAGATCTAACCAGTTCTTTTCTCCAAATTTCAACAATCCCTGTGTGTTCTACAAATGTTATCCTGAACTTGGCAAATAAGGGTTTTTCCCAGCTAATTTGTAGGTACAAACAAACTTTTTCTGTTACAGCTACATGGTGCACTACCCATCACAATAGATCAGTCAACCTGTTGCTCTTATTTTCTAAGCTGTAAGTAAGTTTGTACCTACCAATTAGCTGGGAAAAACCCGTACATTCTTCATTCCTTAGTTAGCCTATTTACTTTAGTTATGAACTTTTGAGTTTGGATCAGACAGACACAACACAGATAAGAACAATGGGTCCAAACCAAAACAATGGGAGGTGGGGGGTAGTTTTTATGCAAAAACATAAAATGAAACGTACTTCCTGGTGGCGGTGGTTGCTCATATGTAACATGTACATGCTCTGTATATATAGATATATAAAACATATGTATAATTGAAACTGTCTCTAGTGACCAGACTTTGAAAAGTGGTCTTTTTTGACAAGTGGACACTCAACAGGAAAATATTTTTTCCCAATTCCATTGTATAAATAGGAAAATAAATGGTAACTTCTTTAACAGTATATAATTTATGTAACATAAATGCAGGCCCTTTTGGAGAAATGCTTTTGTTATGTCTGCACTTACTTAAACATGTTCAATATTTTAGAACATCGGCCAAAATCCTTATAAATAACAATACTGTCACACAATAGTTTTGTATTCAAGGTTTTTTCTCAGTACTTTGGAAAGTGCCCCAACCTGAACAATTGAGAAAATTTTAACTATGTTTTAGACAAATTGGGAAAAACTGACAACATACTGTTTATATCAAATAAATCAAAGAAATCAAATATTTGATTAATTCACTCAGAAGCAATATAAGGTTAAAATTTTCTATGACACAGTGCAGTTAAATGTAACAAAATGGCAATAACTTTACTTATTTTATTTTCTGTTCATTTAAATGGAAATTTTCTCCTTGAAATAAGGAATAATACATGGCTTGTGGCAATGGAACATGACCCATTATCAATCATCAAAATGGGCCAGGAAAAAATCCCTGATAACCGTTCTTAACCATTAACCTACAGGAACCTTAAGAGCTTAAAACCAATTTCAAAATTGAAACATGAATATCAGATGTCATAAACAGGTAAATTTAAATACAAGTGAAACAGTGTCATCACAACCCATGCATAATGTATTATCAACCATGCCTATTTTCTTTAACTCTTTCCAACCTTCCCATGCAGATTTGATCTTATTTTACTGGGGGAAAAACAACAACTTTTCATTAAGCATTGTTACATCATGCGGCCTGCAGATTTATGAAAGGAAACAAAAATTGAAATGATGTACAAAAAAAACTTACCTCCTGGTGGAGGAGGGTCTATTAACCTGCTATCTAAATATTAGTATGTGATTGGGTTAGTAAATTTTCTCCTGGTTAAATGCGAGATACTTGGTTGGCTTAACATATTTTAAACCAATAGTAATGACTATGGCTTTTTTTATAATTGGTCAATCTGATGATCTGATATACATAAAAGGGAAAAACTTAACACAAGTCATTCGTTACTAAACCATGATACGTAACCAGTCTTTGATCTGTTATACTGATAACAGATATGTACTGCATCAATACAAACAGGCCATTTGAAGCAAAATCATTCATCTGTTAGTCATTAACTATCTTATTAACTTCAATGCAAGTACTTATTGAAAACAGGCGGAATTTTTAAGCAATAAAAAAAATCCAATAAATTTCTACTATGCCAAAGTTGTTGTTGTATTTATTGAGTATTTAGTCAATCTGAGACAGACCAAGGTCATTTTTTTTCTAAATAATGCAAATATTTATATATACATGTATAATGATATAGCAAAATATAAATAGATTGATGGATTAATGTAACTATGAAAATTGAGAAATATTCTGGAAGTCAAATCTCTATCATCTTTAAAAATGACGATTGTTTACAAAACTAGAACTACACATACCTGGAGGTGCCCCGGGCCTCATGCCTGGTGGTGGCAGTCGGTGCTCGGGCCTGGGTGGCATGCCAGGTGGGGGCTGATTCATTCTGGGTGCCATGATACCTCCATGAGCCATGCTAACTGGTACTGATACTGGTGGCATTCCTGGACGCTGACCTATAAACATCAAGTTTCAATAGTAAAAATTTTGCAGGAAAAAAAATGGGTGAAGAGGGTTAAGAATTTAAGATGGGATCTCTATAGTTGAGAGGTGGACCTAAAATGACACTCTGTGCACTTTTTCTAGGCACTGGTAAGTATTTAAGAAGAGTCATGAAATCTTTCTTACATTAATTAATTGGACAGGATAAATTCTATAGATGAAAAAAATTTATTCTTAAAACTGAAGTCAAGATAAACTAACAGAGATAAATGGATAATAGTTAATACCCAACCCTTTCAAAATTTTATCAAATTTTCAAATGAGTATAAATGGGTTGAATCGATTCGAGCTGCTCATTTCACAAAGTTTAAAACCGAAAGTCTCATTTTCAAGAATGACTTAAATACTTCTAACCCTTTTTGCATTAGTCCAATAAGCATGCTGATAATAATTGGGTAATTTTATTTAAACAATAAATTTGCTGTATACTGAGAGTTTCGAGTAGTTGAACAACTTTCATTGCACACTTGCGTATTTCATTGTGTATTTACACATTTCTGGTACTCTGGTAAAATCAGAATTTGTCACTTAAGCTGCATGAAGGCAATCAACCGAAACACGTCAACAACCCATTATCGCAACAAAAAATGCAAATCTATTAAACGAATCCCACTGCATAAATTATACATATTTACTTGGCATAAATATAAGGGCCTCCCAGTAAGCTTAATTGGAATAGTATAAAAGTTTGGACCTTTTGGCTAGAAAGGGTAAGGAAAATAATAAATTGATTCACAGATTCAATGAAAACAAGTGAAAACTATGTTGCATTTGGATATACACAGGTTGGTATGTACTGATTCATCTTTTATAAGCAAACATTTGAAGAGAAAACATTAAAACTTTGAATCCACATGCAATGAAAGCTTTAATGACTAAAACACTGTTAAGCCCTATCTTTACTACATATGAATAAAACAACCACTTACCCCACAAAAATGAAACTGTCATACAGTAACAATCTGAACTCCCGAATTATATTCTGACTTTAAAGAAGCGTAATCAATTAATATGTAAAATTTATCTTTAATTCTATCTTTTTTTACATGGAATTACATTAAACAAAAGTTGAATATTATGTGAATGACTCACCAGGGATCATCCTACCTGGGAAGAAATTAGGAGGAGGCCCTGATGTAACAACAGGAGGGCCTTGTGACGGCGGAGGCCCTGCCATGTTTGGCGGAGGGCCTCGGACTGGTTGTGGGAATGGATTTGGAGGTCTCACACCAGGCTGTGCTCTAGGAGGTGGCTGCTGTTGTGGCTGAGATGCAGGGGCTGGTGCTCTTGGTGGCTGATCTGGTCTGCTTTCTCCACGTCCACGACCTGTATTAAAGAAAATAGTTAGTATGACACTTTATACTGCATTGGCACCCTCCTACCACAAGAATGGTGTCCATGCCATACTTAAGGAATAGTGTCAATGCAGGGCTTTGGGAAGGTACTTTTGGAAATGGTGCCAGTAACAGACAAAGTGGGAAAGTTAAATAGATCAAACTCTAGACAGTACTCATTCAACCTAATATTGAATTTGTTACTACTTTCCAAGCAAGATCTTACGGTATCATTTTACAAAAAGAAACTCATTTATTGTGAAAAATATTTGAAAGTATTTAATGAATATTGTATATTGCAAATAGAAATTCTATTTGCTTTTGAAAGAAAATAATATATTTCAACAGAAATATCCAGAAAGTGATATTTTATCATATCTTATTCAGATATTCATGTCAACCTGGATACAGTGGACACCTGTCTAAAACGGTCATTTTAGCTGGGTCCCCTTACTGACCACCATAGACAGGTTAGACTGTACTTAACAATTGCCCCTTATTAATTTTCGGAAAGTTTTAAATTGCATTAACAGTTACTTTACAGCTTTTTTAATGTTTGAAAGAAGAACTACTACCCTTATAGGGCCTCAATACATAGTATCTAACCCAAATAAATAACTCAAAAAAAAAAGATCCAAAATTACCAAAGTTTCCTCCATTCTGCTGCGGTGGGGGTTCACCTTTCCTCGCCTGTGCCTCAAAGTTGTTCAGAGCCTGCTTGTTACAGTGCGTCACCATGGGTGTCTGTCCATGTAGTTCTTTACGTGACAGCTTGTCAAATATTGCACGAGATGACATCTCTGATTTTACGATAACTATAGCAAACCTGGAACATAACTTCATATATTAATTTCAACATACATTTATATACACAGTAACAACAGTCAAACTGTCATGTGACGCTATGTTGAGTAGATTTAAACAAAGACATAGAATAGTAAGCTTTGAGTTATGACCACTCGTTACTTTAGCACATCTGCTTGACCCAAATAGCTAAGAAAAGTTGTCTGGGCTCAAAGAGGTGCATGCTAACAGATATATACAGCAAAAACCAGCCATTATCATTAACATCAGGTATTCATAACACAGGTGAAAGAAAATGCACCATTCTGAAAAAAAGAGAACTTCCATACAGCTTATTTCTCCTGCAGATAATCTCTCTGTCTAGTAAACTTCCAAATTTACTGTTAAAATTGCTAAGTTGCAAGACTTGCTTGTAAATTGTTTATTCTGATTTTTTTTAACTGTTCACATTGGTATCATACTGAAAACATGCCTTTTTCACCAAACATTCTAGCCTGACCTGGTCATCAACCTTCACCAATTTGTAGTGAAAACTAGATATGTGTCGGACACAAAGGACACATTTGCCCCCACATTCCATTGTTTTGTCAGTCTACTGACTGTGACATTAGGACAGCCAAGCAAGGGCAAATCTATTATGTCTTTTGTGGCATAATAACAAAAATGTCGAGTAAATTTAAACAAAGAAAGAACAGAATCAAGCTTTGAGTTATGATTACTCTTTAGTATAGCACTTCTGCTTGACCTAAATATCTAAAGGAAAGCTAGGCTCAAAGAAGTGCGAGAAATCATCTGTATTTACATTCATTGTAGAAATTATTGTATAATTATTCCTACTGTTTGTTTTGGCACTAGATGTTTCATGAACAAGGATCAACATGTGAATACCTGCAAAGTCTTCGACTAAGAACCCTGAAAACAATTCAAACAAATATCAAGCAGTTACGCTACAATAAATGACAATAAGTAGGCTTATAACATACCCTTTTGACTGGCCATTTGCTCTGTTTTCATAGAACTTTATTTCTAGCAGATCATTTACACCTATACTGCTGAGGGCATCTGTTAAATCTTGATCAGTTGTCCACTAAAAAAACAAAGACATGAACTAAATAGCAATAATTTAATGGAAAAGCTGGCATTAACTTTCCTTAATCACTTTTCTAAATGTGACCTCTGCTTTAAACAATATAAAGCCCTGTTATTCATTTTTAATAATATTTACTACTGTTTTATGAAAACATCTATGTTAAGGTTCCAGGAAAATTCTTTAAAATCATGCAGTTTTCCTCCTAAATTCAATTTTAATCATAATCAAGGAAAAATGGTTTTTCATCATCTTTTGCAAAATCACTTAATTTTCCAAAAATTCAAGGAAATTGCCCCTTCCTGCTTACATTATATTAGGATTATGAAGTACTGTAGAACCCACAACCTTGTTTAAACAAGCTTCAAATTAACAGCCCACTTTTATGAAAGAACTCAACATCTTTAGCGTGTATCAATCTAAAGAACAATGAAGACCTTTCACTTGCAAACAGACATCCATTATGAATGTCAAGATAAACAACATACATAATGTTCAACAAACATACCCAGGTAAGATTTCCAACATAAACACTGAACCTGCGGCCAGTATAACCAGCTGGCATTGAGGAAGGTACATTGTTCTTTTTCGGCTCATCTGAAGTCGGTGACAATAAACCAGACTGAAATGAGAGAGCAAGATCGCAAACTTATTTCAAACAGGCTACTTTATAACTTGGTGATCAAAATTTATTAAAGTTTAAACTGAAGAAAAAAAATCAAATATTTATAGGTAGCCATCTTTCTTCTTAAAGAACTGTCAAACAACTACAAAGTTGTGCATGGGTTTTAAGCTTTTCTAGATAATGCATTAATAATGATTGATCCTGTCTCATCAACCACTTAGAATCCCAACTCCAAAATCCTAAATTATGTTAATACATTTTGACAATGATATTTTTTATATTTTTCTAAATAAACCTAGTAAAAGTCATTTCAAGAATAAACAAATACTACTCCACTTAGAAAACATTTAGTGCTATCTTCATCACAACTGAAGACATATAATGATAAATTACTATGATAGATTATTTTCACTGCCTCATAACTTACCGACTCTTTTATATCATTGCTGGATGACTGTGTTATAATGACATCATCATATAAATCTGCATCTTGACCAAACTCTCCATCCTGCAATGGTTCAGAAAAAATAAAATTTTCATCCTAACAATTACTCTTAAAGGTATATATCTTAGCAGTTTTCCTGGAAAAAACACCAGTAATCACCAATTTCTCCACAAGCAATTTATAATAAATTTTCTGAATCTGTTACCCTGTGGTGAGCAACAGATGACCATAAGACCCAATGTCAAAGATCATTAATTGCCATGGAGAAATTTCACATTGCTGGAGAATGGAACCAGCAACCCCACTCATACATATTCGATCCTCTCTCTTAGTCCTAAAATTATAACTTCATCCTGTCTAAGCATTCATCGCATATAACAAATGCTCTTTACTTTTATTGAATGAAAACTGATAAAAGATGGATAGAATAAGTGTCCGTCACATAGCTGTTTGACGGTCTCCAATATTTGCAGGTCTGGAGACCAGAGCTTTAGGTTAACTGTTAACATGAGTGCCTGCTAGGTAGTGATGGTTTTGAAAACTTTTGCCGGAAGTACTGCAAAATTATGACCAATAGCAACTTTTCAATTTACAAGGATAAAAGCCAAAGAATTCTGATTGAAAATGGATCATGATTAAATTGAGTCATTTAGTTAATGAAATGCTAATAATATTCCGGTAGACTTATTCTGACTGGGGCCAATTTGGTAAAGGGCCGAAAGTCTGGGGTCGAAATGCCTTGGGTAATTTGGGGCCCGATATGTCTTGGGGCCGAAATGAAAAGTCCTTTATTCATGTTAGAAAAAATCCCAGACTTTCGGCCCTTTACCAAATTGGCCCCAGTCAGAATAAGTCTACAAGAATATTATTAGCATTTCATTAACTAAATGACTCAATTTAATCATGATCCATTTTCAATCAGAATTCTTTGTTTTTTAGTTGTTCATTGTGTTAAAAAGTGTTTTATGAATATACAAGATATGTCATAGTTTTTCCTAGGGGGTATCAAATGTTATTTTGTCCAAGGGAGGCTATTTCATTTAATAGGTTGTCCAAGGGGTCTTTATTAGCGTTATACCTATGAACAAACTTACTTAAGCTTAATGCAGACCCTGTAAACTGCCAAAACAATATTGACCATTAAAAATTTAGTCTATTATTTCCAGTTTATTTGTTTTCATATTGCTTTAAACATTCTGTTTTTTACAAAAATACATGTAAAGGACGGTTTGATTGCATTGCTAATAATAGCTTAATTCTTGGGAAATCAGATCTACATGTAAAGAAAGTAGATCTGATTTCCCAAGAATTAAGCTATTATTAGCTATTATTAGCAATGCAATCAAACCGTCCTTTACATGTATTTTTGATACGAGAAGGTGACAACCTATTGCTGATAATCAGATCTATTGCTGATAATCAGATCCTAAAGCGTTGACATATGAAAGATGTCCTAGGGGGTTAATTTGGTAGTTTTTCCAAGGGGCTTGGGGAAATTAAAACTTTGTGTCCAAGGGAGGTCATTTTGAACGAAGTCTCTACTATAGGGTGTCCAGGGGGGTCTATATTAGTGTTATACCTATGGAAGATGTCCTAGGGGGTCAATTTCAGTAGCTTGTTCAAGTGAGATGTTGAATGTTTTTGTCAAAGGAGGATCATTTTGAGCAGATGTCTCTTCCATAGGTTGTCTAGGGGGTCTATTTTTATTAGTATTATACCTATGGAAGATGTCCTAGGGGGTCAATTTCAGTAGCTTGTCCGAGGGTGAATATTGAATGTTTTTGTCCAAGGGGGCTTATTTGGAGCAGACGTTTCTTCCATAGGTTGTCCAGGGGTCTATTTTTATTAGTAATATACCTATGGAAGATGTCCTAGGGGGTCAATTTCAGCAGTTTGTCAATGGGGGATATTGAACATGTTTGTCCAAGGGGGGTCATTTTGAGCAAAAGTCTCTTCCATGGGTTGTCCAAGGGTGGAATTCCGATCAAAAGTCTCTTCCATAGGTTGTCTTTTGGGTTATTTTGGGCAAAAATCATTTACATTTAAGGTCGTCCAAGGGGGTCATTTTGAGTAAAACTGTTTACATTGTGTTGTCCAAGGGGGTACCTTTGAGTGTTTGTCCTAGGGGGGTTATTTTCATCTCAGACCTCTTCCATAGGGGGGGTGCGGATATTTTCTGGAATAGCCCAATTGTGAACTAGTCATGAATGATGTGAAAGTGAAAGTCCTTAAAAAGCCGGACTTAGATTCAATCATTGCTAAAGAGTTGCATTGGACGTGTGTGTTTATGAAGAATAATACAGTACTGAAAGCAGAACTGTATAATTACTATAATGTAGTTCAAAATATGATTTTGTTCCGCGTTTGACCTAGTTAAAATATTCTTTTTCGTCTGATATCATTTTGTAAACAGTTCAATGCATAATAGTTCATGCAAAACACACGACAGATTGTAAACTACATTTTTTGCAAAATGACATGTATCATTCTCTATAATAACCTGGTCAAAGCCCTCTTCAATGTTTTCATACAAATCAATATCCACGCTCTCCGCCATAATTTTACCAATTGCCCGGATGACAATGGCGATTGGTAATCTCTGTTGCGTGCCGTTCTTTTATCCGGCTTTAAAAAGGTTCCAAAGTACCAAATTCTGAAGAAGAAAAAAAAAACGATATCTCTCAAATAAACAAATAGTGTGTGACAATATAGACAATTTTTTGCAGACAATGTGTTTTGATTATTGAAAATTGTCATTAAGTTTAACTTCTTTATAACTCATTTATTATTATGTAAGTCAGTGTAATAATTTTACAGAAAATGGACCCCATTGGAAATAAGCTTTTAGCTTAATGGGCAATCCTAGGGTTACATAGAACATACTTATTAATTAATCTTATAGTTATTTTTGTGCATTTATGTGTGTGTTTTTATATATATGCAAGTTGATATCTGTGATAAAATTGTATGTGTATACATGTATGTCTATTCCCTGAATAAATCGATCGAATCAAAAGTAAATCACCCCTTAA